AGGCAAGCGAAGACTCCACCTGTGTGTAGCCTCCTCCTCCTCCTCCTGTTTCAATCCTCTTCAGGTCATGAGAGACAGCAGAGAAGGAGAGGTGGGAGCAAGAGAAGAAGGAAGAGGTGTGAAAGCCTTTGACTCTCAACCAGCCCGACTTCTCTCTCCCTCCTCCTCCACCTGTTCTTCACTCTCCAATCGTGCAACTTCTCCTGCCTCTGACTCTCATCTTCTGGCTGTTGCAGGCTACCCCAGTTCACTGCTCCCATCTTCCAAGCCAGCCTCCAACCCCTGCTTCTCTTGGTACCCATTCATCAGTATCCAGCCACCACTCCTCAGGGTCCAGCGAGTCCCTGACATTGTGTCTTCCCTGGGGGCCTGAGAAGACACAATGGTGTCCACCTTGCTTGGTGGAGGGTTCCACAGGATGGGCGCCTCAGCAGGAGAAAGTCCAGTTGATACTGGCTTTGTCTAAGGAGGGCCTCAGATAATGAGTGGAGCATGCTGAGAGGACCACATGGAAGACCACAGTCTTTGAGCTACCGTGGTCCCAATCCATTACTCCAGAAGTTGACTGTAGCCCATTAGCTGGCCCTTCCCTGTTTCAGAAGAGTGTTCTGCAAGTGCGGTGTTGACTTTTAGTTGTCCTTGGCTTTTAAATGGCCTCGCAGGAGTGATAACCTGATTTGAGAAGCAAGATGACTAGGCTAAAATGGAGCATCCTTATTAAGCAGAAATTAGCTGAATCAAATTGGCCGAACAAGCCCCATGTGCAAAGCAACTGTCGATGCCTCTCAGTCAGTAGCTGGCTCAGTAATGGGTTTCTAGAGCGAAAAGGAAGAGCTCCAGGTTATTAGGGACAGACTTGCACTTTCTTTGTTAATAATGAGAGAGAGAGAGAGAGAGAGAGAGAGAGAGAGAGAGAGAGAGAGAAGGCAGCTAAAGACTGCTTGACAATTCTCTTCTGGGGGAAAGGGGAAGTGCCTTCTAGCTGTTTCATTGCAATTTCGCTTCCAGCAGGATGTCATTTGGTGAACAGCCGAGACCTGGGATGTGCTCTGGATTCTGAGCTGTCAGATGCATTAGAAGCCCTGAGATGTGCACTTTGCAAAAGGGTAAATGCTAGTGGGGAGCTGCAAAACCCCAGCCCAGTTCTAAAAGTCAAGGCAAGCCGGCCTTCTGCTGACGGTGCAGGTGGCAAAAAGGGCCATTTCTGAATCTGCAGGTTGCCAAGAGACCCTTCAACAGACAGAATGCTTGCAGACTTACATTAGATGGATGAGTCTGGGTTTCAGGGAGAGACAAAACTTTTTCATGGAAATACAGCGGGGCTGTGTGTATGCAGTGACTTGCACAGAATGCGGTGTGTGAAATGACATACAAAAACTCAGCTTGCTTTTTTGAAAATAATAAAAGAAAAATCCATAAAACTCACTTCTTCTGGCTACAAAGAAATGGTGGTCATGGCTAACTGAAACTCCAGAAGGCAGGAAGCCAGCAGAAAAAAGCTTTCCAGTGGGTGATGTAGCTCCTTGCTCCCAGTGGTGCAGTTAAGACAATTTTAGACTCTGCACTTAATTTTCTTACAAAGGGTGGTAATCCTCAGATGGTAATACAATGGTACCTTGGGTTACAGACGCTTCAGGTTACAGACTCTGCTAACCCAGAAATAGTACCTCGGGTTAAGAACTTTGCTTCAGGATGAGAACAGAAATCATGTGGTAATGGTGCGGCGGCAGCAGGAGGCCCCATTAGCTAAAGTGGTACCTCAGGTTAAGAACAGTTTCAGGTTACGAACGGACCTCCGGAACGAATTAAGTTCTTAACCCGAGGGACCACTGTTGTCAGGGAACTGACATCGGAGCTAGAGGCGGAGGGAAGGCTCTCAAATGATGCTGGAGAAGGGTCCAGCAGGGAGAGAGGCAGCTCAGCAGATGGGGAAGCAATTCAGCGCAACACCAGGAATAAAGGGGGGCAGATGGGGGAATCGGCGAGAGGGCTCCCAGACTCTTCACCGGACACCAGCGGGGAGAGCACGGGTCCTCCGCTACCCACGCCCTCCCTGCGCAGAAGACTTCCGCGCAGAGAGAGTAGGAGGAGACTGGGTGTCAAACAACTTTTATGTTGGAAAAGGTTTAAGAAACGCCCACTGACGGATTCTGCTAGCGACTGAGGCAGCCACGAAGTGAAGGGCTGTCCAGACTGAAAGGTTTAACAAGGCAACAAAGCCAGGAGAGGCGGCAACTTACGCACGAGCAACCCATACTCTTTACAACTGTATATGTTTCTTCACTTACTTCAAAATTCAGTAAGCTGCTCCTGCTAAATTTAGGGCCCTCCTGCCTATCTAGCTGAGTTCTGGACTTCTGCCCCAAAGCCTGGCCCTGGTGCATATATCTTAGTCTTCATTGCCAACTGAAATGAAGCCCTTATTAGTGCACTGAGAGCTCATTTTATGGCATACCGTGAATCGTGGGGTTTGCACTGGCAAACGTTTACCAGTGTTTGGCACCATTTTCAAGTGAATTGGACAATGTCAGGTTTTGGGCAAAACCGTGACCCCCCACGGGTTAGGGAGCCAAGGGGTCATTTTCGCAGGGAGCTGCAACTAAATGACTCCAGGTTTTTCCTTGCTTCCCGGTGCCAAAAGGGCTATTCTGGACTTACCAGTTTGCAACCTTTTGGAGCCCAAATGGTTTGTAAGTGACTGTGCTCCTGAACAAGGGACCAAACAGCTAGCGTGAAAGTATGCAAACAGAACAATGAATCTTGTGAAAAGAAAAGTTTTTAAGATGCGGAACAGAGGAAGCTGAAATAAACCGAAGCTCAGCTGGTCAAGGCTGTTTTAGAGGCACCCAAAGAGGAAATAATAAGAATAAGGTGACATAATGAAGACAAAGTTCCTAGCTTACTACTTCCCAGTAAAATAGCAGCTGTGGGTTACTGAAAAGGATGTCAATTTCAACGGCTTATTAAGATGGATGAAGGAGAGCAAAGAAAAGGTGCAATGGGAGGTATTGTGCAGGAAGGTGGAGAGGGATGCAAATGAAAGCAGCTGAAAGACTGATTCAGAGAGTAGCATTTGAGGGAATAAGTGAATCCTTTTAAGTAGGAAGGAACATGGTGCAGTCAATACAGGACTTTGGTCCAGGGTCTCAAATAAAAGAATGAGCAGGAGGCAGCAGGGATGGTTTAACTATATCTTGATATAAATGATGGCATGGGCATTAATCACCTAAAGACCATTAAGTCCAGAATCTAAAATTACTTAACTGCACCACTCAGCAAGAAGAAGAACATGAACACAGTCATTTAAGGTGAACTACAAAGTTAAAAGGGAAGCCTGCCTAAATAGTGCAAGGGGAAAAGTAAATCAGACAATCAAAACTCAGGCAATTAAATCAGCTAAAGCACAATCCTATGCACACTTTTCTGGAAGTAAACCTCATCTAACACAAGTTGGGATTGACTTCTGAGGGAACTTGCATAGCATTGCAGCAGACTTTCTGACAGCCTTAGCATGGAAAAATGATAAGTAATTCATATCAGAGTTATTGCTGCCACTGAGACACAGAGAACATGAGAAAGAACATAAATGAATAAAACCAAGAGAGACAAATGAGGTGATAATCAAGCTGGGTTTTAGCTGAGACTGGAATACACTGATTGGTGGCAGAGATTTGAAAGCTGCCTTTTTCTCAGTTCAAGTCCCAGAGAGGCCAGTTGCTGCCATATCTCAGTTCCCACTGTCTCCAAGATCGCAGGCAGCGCTCCCCACCTGCTCACAGCATTTCCTCAAGGAAAGCCCCTTACTTTTCCAGTACAGGTCAAAGGAGTGAATATCCTCCAGCTCAATGGCCACACAGAAAGTCCCGTTGGCTTTACACTACTATTTGACAAACCATGGAATCAGTGCTTTAAGTGGGAGTCTCTGACAGACACAAATCATCGAGCTGACAGCGTGTCAGGCCTACTGTATTTTGAAATGAGCGCCTCAGTACCTAAGGCACCCTTGGCCATGTATGTACAAGGCAAGATACCCAATATGATGGGAAAGCAAAGAACCAGAAAACCCAGTTTTGAAACATGCAGTCAGAAAACATTAATGCCAAAGGAGAGCTGGAAAAGCAGAACATAGCAAGATCAGAATTCACATTCTCTTATGAGATGTTTCTCCCGGGCTTGTGGATGGGGAACAGCAGGGGGAGAAAAGGTTCATACAGTTGCATCTTCACTGTAATAGGTACAGGTGGGAGACTGGAAATGGTTCCTCATATGTATATTTACCCATACCAAATGGCAGCAAGTATACTAATATACTACGGGAGAGAGATTCTTACTAACACGAGAACAAAACAGGTCTTCCAAATGTTGTTCAGGAACCGAGCTTGAAGGCAGATAATCATTTCTAAGAGAACTGTGAGTAGAATGGACACAGGCCTTGTTCCCCTTGGTGTAGTCATGCGTTTCTTTTTCAGCATGAGGTCCAGGCCTGGAGCTTCTGCCCTGTTGCTGATGGGAAGTTCCAAAGCCGTTGCAGCAGCCCAAGTGGGACTTTTTGAGTTTCTGGTCCATGGTCTCTCTAGATTCAGAGATGCTAATACAGCTTCCTGCCAAGGGTGCAAGAGATGGGGGCGGGCACCAATATGGCTCCATGCCAAGAACACACAGGAGCCTAGTTACGCCTCTGCCCTAAGATAGTTGGATAGAAGAATGGATAGAAGAATGTTAAACTGTAACTGCTTTTACATGTTTTTAATGATAATTGTTTTTTAACTGTTTTAACTGTTTTAGAATGGCTTGGCTTTTAAATTGTGCATCTGCCATTCTCAGCTCCTTTGGAAGAAAGAGTTGGATATAAATTCAATTATTAATATTATTAATAAATTAGCATATGAAAAGTTGATGCACATCAATGTCTTTTTTTGTGGGTGATGCATTTCCTCTTTATTTGGAAAAGTAACACCCACTGTCTCCCAAAGTCACATTCAGTGAGGCTCTAACATGTCAACTTTGTTCTTCTGCTCGGCTTCTGGAGGAAAAAAAATCAAAGAAACCCTGCACTTGCCAAAACATCTTAGAACCAGGAAGCAAAGGCTCAGCACCACTTACAAGGCTCAGATGAGAGACCCTGTGAATGATCCCCACCCTAGCTGGAATGCTCCAGATGTTTTGGATGTGTTAGACTAGGACCTGTGAAAGCAGGGTTCAAATCCCAAACTCAGCCATGAAGTCCACTGGGTGACCTTGGGCCAGTTCCTCTCTTTCTCTCAGCCCAACACAGAGTAACACATGAAACTGGCCCATTCAGTTCAGTATTGTCTACACCACTGGTCTTCAGCTGGTGGGTTGGCACCCACTAATATGCTGCAGCCCGGTCCAAGGTGGGTTGCAACAAGAGCGCTACTACCCTGCAAATATATGGGAAAAGATTAAGAAATGGGTCCCCAAATGCATGTATGATTCAAAGTAGGTCCTGGGTCTTCAAAGGCTGAAGATACTTGGTTTGCGCTGATGGGCAGCAGCCCTCCAAGATTTCAGGCAGGACCTCTCCCAGTCCCACCAGGAGATGCTGGGGACTGAACCTGATGCCTTCTGCATGCTAAGCAGTTGTTCTGCCACTGAGCTATGGCCCTAGCTCACAATATTGCTGTCAGGATAAAATGGAGAAGGTGGAGGCTGAAGTGTGTATGCTCTGTGAAGGAAAGGTGGGATAGAAGTATAAGAAGGAATAAAGTGTGTCAACTAGCCTATAAGTGAATAAACTACAGTATATTTTTAACTTCCTCTCCTAATAATTTGTATATAAATTATAAAAGTGGTATATAAATTTTGTTAAATGAAAAAAAAAGAGGAAATGTTCAGACTTTCAAACAGTATGTTATGCCTGAGCCTTCATTGCTGAAACTCCCAACAGCATTTTCATGCTCAGAAACACCTGATGAAGGAACCATTGTGACGTAACACATTCAAGCAGAGTGAAGGGGCAACAGGCTGTCAACAGTGGCAGTAGTTGGGGGCTCCCATCTATTCAAAAGCCACATAGAGTCTTTTCATACTGCCTGAGGAATTAATCCCTTATTTAACGTTCATAATTGCTGGATCGATTTAACAGGACTGGAGCTAACCTTTGCTTGGATTTGGCACCATTGATAGGGAACTGCCTGCTGCGTCCTCCGCTTTGAAGTCACCCTGGTCTTTGGGCCTCCAGCACCTTCTTCAGCATGTCCAACCCATCTAAGAGGCATATGATACTGGTGTTCTACTGGGTTAGGAAGAAGCCCCTGACAGAGAAGCCGTGCTCTACCATCTCGGCCAGACCTTCTGCCTCTGCACCAGCTTGCAACACTCCTCACATTTCACCGTACTTCACGAGGAGCAAGACACAACCCGCTCCGCTCAGGAGGTCCAGCAGGCACAAGGTGCTGCGATTTCTGAATCTCACCGACCCCATGTTTTTAAGATCTGTCACTGGCAGCGTTGGCCGGAAGAGCAGGCGTGGCAAGCAAAAGAAGACTCCAGCAGAAACAGGAAAAGGGGTGAGGGCTAGGCTAGAGGCAAGAAGGCTCCAAAGCTATTTGTGGGGTGGGATTGCTTTGGAAGATGCCTTCTCACAATCTCTACCCTTGAACCACGTAAAGACATAAGAAGTGCCTGCTGGATGAGGCCACATTGGCCTGTCTAGTCCAGCATCCTGTTCTCACAATGGCCAACCAGAGGCCTGCAGAAACAAGAGCATTCTGTAGTCCCTTCCTGCATCTTCCAGCAACTACTATTCACAAACGTTACTGCCACTGACTGTGGAGGTAGAGCATAGCCATCGTGCCTAGTGGCCATTGATAGCCTTCTCCTGCATAAAACCATCCAAGTTGGTGGCCATCACAGCTTTCTGTGGGATTGAGCTTCCAGAGGGGTAGCTGAGCATGCCTGCTGCAGCAAAAACAGGCATTAAAAGCACATTTCTCCCAAAGAATCCTGGGAACTACAGTTTGTAAAGGGTGCTACAAATTGTAGCTATGTGGTAGAAGGGTAATCTACAGTTCCCATGATTCTTACAGGGGAGAAGCAATAATGCTTTTAATGTATGGTGTGTACACAGCCTCAAATTAGCTACGCCAGCTCTGTAATACTAGAGCAAAGATTATAGTGCATATTGTTGTTGTTGTACTTTTATAAATATTATAAAACCCATTCCTGTAAGCCATGTAGTCTGGAATAAACTCAGTCACCCCTCCCACCATTAATTGTAGTCATAGGAGTTCCTACATGCAAATGGAGTTCATTAATAATAACTAATAACGACTTGGGAAAGAACCTCCTGAAGCTTCGGAAAGACCAGAAAGGTTAGTTTGTATGCTGCAGGGACGACCTCTAAAGGTGTGCGTGTGTGCTGAACTTAATTACCCAGCAGGTGCCCTTTCGCAAAGTCTTCTTTTGTCCTTTTGAACAACAGCCATGGGAAAGTTGCAAGTTTAAGAAGAAAGAGGGGTGAGAGGAGAGGTTGCTTGACCCTGCGCCCCCCCCCCCGGCATTTTTCTGATTCAAAACCTCCCACCAGCACCGCAGGCTGCTTTTCTACTAGGTGGGGAGGGGTGTTGGATCTGCTTCCCTGCCTTGAAGAAAGGCGCAGGTCAGATGTGTGCCCAGACCTGGCCACGCTTCGCAAGAGAGGTGTGTTGGTTCAAGGTGGCCACGCTGCCTGCAACTTGCACTCCTTCCTGACGTGTCTTCCCCAAACCCCTTCTTCCAGAGGCTGTGCTGAAGTTTTCCATCACGTGGAACACAAACTCGCGGAACTACCTCGAGGCTCAGGCAGTGGTGGGAATCCTCCTCAAGCCTGAGACGCCAGAGAGCCTCTTGCAATACAAAGGGATCAAAGCAGCTGTGGAGCCTCTCCTACCATACACGGCACTCCAGAGGCCGGGCTGCAGGCCTCCATGTTCCTCGATTTCATGTGCTGCCTGACACCACCAAGTGGGACGAGGAGATGGACACGTGATGAGCTTTGGGTGCCAGTGACATGCAGGGCAGAAGAGCTGGACACTTCTGCCAAGTTGGCACTGCTCTCACCGGTGGAATATGTTGACTTGGTTTGTAAACCCCCCCCCCCACAAATGTACGTTTTTCATTTTGTAAAGGAATAAATTTCCCAAGAGTGTCTTCCTACATACATCCCTTCCCCATCCCCTTTAAAAATGAAATAAAATTCTTTAGCATTCTGAGTTTTCAGAATGAAATAATACTCCATTCTTAGCTTTGTGTGTCCCTGGGTTTGTGGTTCCTTAGATGAATGTCCTCTTTCCTTCTTCTTTTGGAAGCTTGGATGAGGTTGCATTGGCCTTCCTCAACTCATTGCCTTCCAGATGTTTTGGACTACGACTCCCATAAGCCCCACCCACCATGCTTATGCTGCCTGGGGGTGAGGGGGAGCTATGGCCTAAAATGGCCGTGCCAGTTGAGGCTGAGGGGGAGCCAGAGTTCAAAATGGCCGTGCTGCTGGTGGTAAGGAATAGGGAAGAGAAGCCAGCTTCCCTCTTTAGCTTCACTATGAAAATAGGCAGCGGCCCTGACCACCAGAGGCCATATCAGAAGACGGGAAAGCAAGTGGGGATTGCCCAGAGGACAACATTATGGCTATAAAAGAGGCAGCCCAACACTAGGTGGGGCGGTCTGGAGATTATGAGGCGTTTGCGAGGAGTTGACGTTCAATTAGCTTCACAAAGAGCCTTAAGCAAAGGTGATAAACAGTGCTGTGGTGACTGTGCCCTTGGCTCTGTGGGAGGCAAACCGTGGGTCACAGGAGGTGAAAGAAGGCTTTGTCAACAGCCCGGCCCACCACATAACACTTGCAGTGAAACAGATCCTCCACCCGGTTCCATTTCAAGGTATCCAGTGGCTTGGTGTTCAGTGTTGTTCTGAGCCCCCGAGGTGGGGGGGGGGTACAACAATTAAAGCACAATACTAAAAGCAGTTTAAAGCATCTTGAAATCTCAGAAATAAAGTGGGTCCTAAAACTATACGCCTCGTGAATCAAAAGGATATGAAAGGATTGGCTAATTTTTTTTAATTTAAATGCACCCTATTACACCAAGTGCTTGAAGCATAACACAACCAGTTCAACTTTGTTCTTCTGCTCGGCTTCTGGAGGAAAAAAATTCAAAGAAACCCCGCACTTGCCTAAACATCTTAGAACCAGGAAGCAAAGGCTCAGCACCATTTACAAGGCTCCGACGAGAGACCATGTGAATGATCCCCACCCTAGCTGGAATGCTCCAGATGTTTTGGATGTGTTAGACTAGGACCTGCGAAAGCAGGGTTCAAATCCCAAATTCAGCCATGAAGTCCACTGGGTGACCTTGGGCCAGTTCCTCTCTTTCTCTCAGCCCAACACAGAGTAACACATGAAACCGGTCCATTCAGTTCAGTATTGTCTACACCCCTGGTCTTCAGCTGGTGGGTTGGCACCCACTAACATGCTGCAGCCTGATCCAAGGTGGGTTGCAACAAGACCCAGGACCACCTTTGAATCATGCATGCATTTCTTAATCTTTTCCCATATATTTGCAGGGTGATAGTCTTTGGCTAAACAGGTTTTACAAATTATTAAACCACGGCAACCTGCAAAACCTATTTTCTAGAGACGTTCTTGGGTTGAGTGCACACACAGGCAACTAAGTTCAACATTTTAACACTTCCAAAAACAGTAATCTGCTTCCAGGCTACTATATAAAATGCTATTTGGAGAACTTCCAGCAGTGACCCATCAAAAAGGATCACCTTGCCCCACATGTAGTGCTCCCCCCCCCCGGTACCTAAGAGTACTTAAGGGTACGCGGTACCGGCACTTACTTCAACAACTTCATGGTGAGTACCGGCACATCCACACACCCCGCATATATAAAAAAGAGAGCACTGCCCGATGTGCTCATTTGCCCACATCAGTTTGCAGAACTGCCACTTTTACAAGTGCCACATTATGCTTGTTCTGCATTTCCAAGTCACTGATCCTTGAGTTTGGTAGCACCTACTCTTCGGAACTCCCTGCCCATTGATGTTAGACAGGTGCCTTCGCTGTGTTGATTTCAGCACCTGCTACACACTTTAGGTGAGTCTACCTACCCAGACGTGTAATTTGAATATCATTTTTTTATGTGTATCTGCTTTAAAAACTGTTGGTTTTATTTATATTCTCATCAATGTTATGTCAGCTGGTTTTTAACATTTGTTTTTATTGGTGATTTTAATGAATAGTTGCTATTGTCCAATGTAAACCACTTAGGAGGTTTACGTCAATTAAGCAGTATATAAATTCTGGCAATAAAATAATATCGATTATACCACAATTTTCATCTTTTCCAATTAATGAAGTCTTGGAGTCCTGAGGCTCTCTCAAATAACATTAGGTTTTGTACCTTGTGTTATGACATTAGTGTATCCACACCTTGTAAATTCATCTTTGCGGTTGTCCACAGATGCATGTTGAGCTTCTCTGCCACCTTTTAAAATGTGCTCTCCTGTGTATAACCTTCTTTGTCCTTCACCTTCAGCAAAACGACCTGCTGAGACGACTTTGCTCATTTATTGCTTTGGAAAAGTCTCAGCTGGCAGCTTCTTTTCTCAGCTTCTCTAAAACTTCATTGGGAGTCACTGGTGCCAAAATCTTCACTACTTTTTCTCGAGATTTGCCTCCCTGTTTTAATAAAAAAGCAAATAACTTTAAGATGATTTCACACATTAACACCTGCATATTTTGACAACGTTTCTACATGGGACTCCTGGTCATCTCCAATCCAAGTTTCTGACCAAGTTTCTGTGCCTGCTTAGCTACAGCAACGCTACAGCATCAGCTGCTATCAGGCACTCACTGGACTCCTTAAAGAGTTTGAAAAAGTCATGGACAATATTTAAAGGATCAATTAATGTGAATGACAATAATGAACAGAGAATTGGACTACAAACCCGGTCACTCCTGACCATTAGCCATGCTTGCTGGAGCTGATGGCAGAGAGAATTGTAGAGTTGGAAAGGGTCATGAGGGTCATCTAGTCAAACCCTCTGCTTTGCAGGAATATCAGATGGTCCATGACAGATGGTCATCCAACCTTTCTTTAAAGGCCTCCAATGAAGGAGAGTCCACCACCTTCTGAGGGAGTCCATTCCAGTGTCGAACAGCTCTTACTGTCAGAAAGTTCTTCCCGATGTTCAGTTGGAATCTCCCTTCTTCAGTGTTCGAAACTCCCATTGTTCTAGGCACGTTTTGTGACGGAATTTCATTAGCACGAGTGGTTTCCGAGCTCTGGGCACAGTACTACGCCTAAGATTTCAGATTAAAACTGCAGAGTGGAAGGAAACGAGGACCTTTTTCTGCCTCCCCACTTCCAGCTACTCTCTGAAGACCCTCTTATGAATATTAGGGGGGTGGACAGGGAAAGGACTAGACCATGTGAAAAATGAACATAATATTTCAGCTGCAGTTCATTCATTTTCAGCTTTGAATTCTTATTAAAAAAAGCATGCCTAGACATTCTGTTGTTGCACCCATAACTTAGGTTTAAGGTGCCGTTTAGCTCCTAGCTTTCATATATCAGTTTCTAACATTGCCTTTCTTGTAACTTGAAGCCATTGGTTCATGTTCTACCCTCCGGAGCAGGAGAAAACAAGCTTGCTCCATCTCCCATGCGACAGCCCTTTAGATATTTGAAGATAGCTATCATATCTCCGCCTCTTCTATGTCCATCAACATCTCTTCCAAGGCCTGTGGTTAGACAGCCATTTCTAGTTCTTCAAGACAACCTTTTGCAGGAATTGGTCCCCTCCTACTTTTTACCGTATATCAGTTGGATTAAGAGCGTTCCCCATGCTGGTAAAATGAAAGTTGGCAAAAGTGACCTGCCACGGTTAATCAGCATGAATAAGTTTCAAGAGCCCCACATATAACATATTAAAAAGAGAGAGAATGGAATACCTTCTCCAACACAACCTCGCTCTTCTTAACCTCGAGGACCTTAGAGAGGTAGCGACATAGCTCTGCATTGGCCTCCCCTTCGGAAGGAGGAGCAGCAATGGCCACACCCACTGCATCTGTCGTCACATCTGCAAGGAGTATTTTAAGGCTTTTATTACTCAGATACTCATTAAGCTTTTTGTGATGTTCAAACCATAAAATGCTTCTTTGGAAACTTTCATATACCATCAACATGAAACTCGCGGGTGAGATCATCTGGTGATCTGGGGTAAACACACATTGCAAACAAGAATGTTGAAGTGCTAAATTGGTGTTGACTGAGATTTTAAGATGAGCCCTGCTGAATCAGGCCAAAGGCCCATCTGCTGCAGTATCCTGTTCTCACTGTGTTCAAACAGCCAGGAAGCCCACATAACAGTGTTCTTCTCTCTACTTGTGTTCCCCAGCAACTGGCGCTGACTACGGTTTATGGACTGGTTAAGTGCTAATAAGCTTAAAGTTTTACCCAGATAAAACACTAGATGAGTGGAGTTCACCCTGTTTGGGGCCGAATTACACTTCCTGTGAAGAACGTTCCAGTTTTACCAGTTTAGGATGGTTCACTTGCTGTATCCCTATCTAAGCTGAAATAGGCTGACTTCAGTGATCCATGCTCTGGCAGCTTCAAGGTTAGACTACTGCAATGCATTCTACATGGGGCTGTCTTCTGAAGATAATCTGGAACCTGCAGTTACTTCAGAACAAACCTCCTAGATTACTAACAGGGACTGATCATATTATAGTGGAGATTTGTCCACTGCACTGGAACTTGGTCAATTTCCAGACCCAATTCAAAGTACTAGTTTTGACCTTTGAAGTCCTTTACAGCTTGAATCTAGGGTATCTACCCATAAACTGAAGGCATCATCAGAGGTTTTTCTCAGGGTGCCCCGCAATATGAAGTGTGTTGGCTACTAGGGGGAAAACCTATTCAGCAACGGCACCCCATCTTTGAGATGCCTTTGCCAAAGAGGTTAGCCTAGCATCAACTTTAATCCCATTTGGCACCAGGCACAAACATTTTCATTTCCCCAAGCTTTTAAACCATGCTGATTCATATTGTTTTATCCTAGTTTATGTACAAACCTTTAGTGCTGTTTTATGGATGTGTTGTTTTCATTAGCTTCACATACTTTATCATATTTAAAAAATGGGGAAAAATGAGAATTTTTATCGTGCTTTTCTACCCCCCTTAACACATGTAACAGCTGTAAGGCAGTTCACCCTCCCATTCCTTCTTTTCCAATAAATGGACCCTCAGATGAGTTGCTGAGTACTGGCCGCTCAGAGGGCCTTTTGCATCCAGTCCACATCTAAGTTCTAGGAGTTTTCTGCCTCTTCCAGGAACCAACCCAAGATTTGCACAAAGAAAATTTCCCATAACAAGGAATTAAAAACATTATCCCCTCCAACTTCCAACATACCTGTTACAGCATTTTGTTTGGAGCCAGGTTTGGCATGGACAGAGATGGTAACGGAGCCACTTTTATCTGTTGCCACAGGGCCTGAAGGAACCGAAGACTTTGCTATATCCTTACTCTGTGTTTTTCCCTTAAAACAGAACAGAGAAACATGATGAGCCAGAGAGTGCAGGCAGGGGAAGCAAAGTTGAAAAAGCCTCATGTTTTACTTTGCTTTTAATTTAAATATTTTATTGTATAGGTTTTGTTAATTTTCACTGCATTTTATTGCACAGTAAACATTTAAACAGGCTGTATCATTGTGATTTGAACTGTATAATGTCATTTTAAAAATAAAACATTGCTATAACATATGCTGCCTTGTAAAGACTGCCTTGAAAGGCAGCTTAAGCATATCTGAAACTACAATATTAAGACTGCTGAATCAAATGGCTTGCAAAAAGTTTCAAAGGCATTGACTCATCTCTGCCAAATGTATCTCTACCCAGAAGTTCACAAACCCCTGGTAATAGGCAGCATCCTCACCCCCTAAAAATTCAAACTATCTCCTAATTTCAGTTGCTGACTGGCTGTGAGAACTGGCTTCTGCTATCATAAGTCTGTTTTGTCTGGTATGTTCCACAAGAACCTTTGTAACCATTTCCAGTGGCGTAGCTGCATCAGTCAGTCACAGCAAAGTTAACAAGAGTCCTGTGGAATAACAAACTTTGTTAACTTTGGTGAACTAGGTTGCACTCCATTAAGACGCATGAAGCATAATCCTCACTTGCAGGTATATAAAGATGTGGTGGTGAGGGAAGGAAGCTTTAAGAACTGCAGCCAATGGGAAGTGAAAAGCAAAAAGTAGAGGGACAAATCATTAAAAGTTTATTGGAATGTTGCAATTCTGTTAAGTTTTCTGGATCTAACGGAACCGTCCACCACTTTTGGCATTAGCCCTTTTGGCATTTCATTTCCCTCTGACCCAGGCTTCCTCAACCTCAGCCTTCCAGATGTTTTGAGACTACAATTCCCATCATACCTGACCACTGGTCCTGCTAGCTAGGGATCATGGGAGTTGTAGGCCAAAAACATCTGGAGGGTCGAGGTTGAGGAAGCCTGCTCTGATCTAACTGATTACAGCTTCTAGGCTGTTGCAAGGGATGGGGGAGGGGTGGTGGTGCTGTTACTGATTTTTTTAATAAAAAAAAAACTCATTATAATTTATGTGGAAATCATTCAATTTGGTTGTGCGCTTTACGCATTTTATTTTGTTACGTTTGCAGTTATGCGATTCCCCCCCCCCCGAAATGTTGTAAGCCGCCTTGAGCAGGGCCTTAACTATGGAAAAGCGGCAGACAAAATTAGGCATGCATGCCTGTATGCGTGTGATGAGCTCATGCCACAATATTATTTATTCGTCTCTAAGGTGCCATTATATTATTCTGTCTAATAATTCTGTGATTCTAAGATAGGGTTGCCATATCTCCAAAAGTGAAAATCAGGTCAGAATTGTTGAGCTTTGCCCCTGCCCCAAGTTGTTGAGTTGTGTTTGTGTGTGTGTTTTAGAGGAATCAAAGTCGTCAAACTTTATTTTCCATAAAAGCTACAAGAATTTTTGAGGTGTCAAAAAATGTTATTTATGTGTGCCACTATTGCGGCCCGTGTTTTGTTGGCCCAAAAATGGAAAATGAGCGAGGTCCCAAATAAAGAAGAGTGGCAACTTAAACTGCTGGAATATGAGCAGCTTGTGGACCTAACGTACAGAATAAGACAACAAGAAGAACATACATTTGAAGAAGATTGAAAAATGTTTATTGAATATATGGGGGGGGATTGTGTACACTTGAAAACGTTGGCATTAAGATAAATTCAACAGTGCAAACAAGTTTTGATGGATGTAATAATGGAATACTGACTGGTTTAGTTTATGTAAAATATGCAGGGATTTATGGTATGCAATAATGAACCATGGAAAGAGAAGAAGGGAAGTCATTGACATTTTAATGTTGTTTAAATGAATATTCTAAATTGCAAAGCAGAAAATTTAATAAAAATTATATGCACATATGCACACACAAAAAGTATTTTTGAGTTTTGGAGCTTTTTTTATGTGCTTTGGCACAATTTAACCCACTGCAGGTTTTCCAGGACATTTGTTGTTCTGTGAACCGCCCTGAGATCTCCGGGTCTAGGGTGGTGTATGTACATATATTATTATTATTAATATATATATTATTTATAGGGACGTGGGTGGTGCTGTGGGTTAAACCACAGAGCCCAGGGCTTGCTGATCGAAAGGTCGGCGGTTTGAATCCCCGCGATGGGGTGAGCTCCCGTTGCTCGGTCCCTGCTCCTGCCCACCTAGCAGTTCGAAAGCACATCAAAGTGCAAGTAGATAAATAGGTACCGCTCCGGCGGGAAGGTAAATGGCGTTTCCGTGCGCTGCTCTGGTTCGCCAGAAGCGGCTTAGTCATGCTGGCCACATGATCTGGAAGCCGTATGCCGGCTCCCTCAGCCAATGAAGCGAGATGAGCGCAGCAACCCCAGTCGGTCACGACTGGGGTCCCTTTACAGTGGTACCTCGGGTTAAGTACTTAACTTGTTCCGGAGGTCCGTACTTAACCTGAAACTGTTCTTAACCTGAAGCACCACTTTAGCTAATGGGGCCTCCTGCTGCCGCCGCGCTGCCGGAGCACGATTTCTGTTCTTATCCTGAAGCCAAGTTCTTAACCTGAAGCACTATTTCTGGGTTAATGGAGTGTGTAACCTCAAGCATATGTAACCCGAGGTACCACTGTACCTATATTATTTATATATATGTTGATTTGCCCGGTTTCCGAAAAATAATTCAAGACTCCCTTTTCGGAGGCGAACTGCAGGACGTGTCCGGGGAAACCCGGACGTATGGCAGCCCTATCCAAGGCGAGGGTTGCACTAAGCCCTGGGAGGCCACGAAGCTCACTGCACCATCCCTGCCTCGCTCTCTGCCTAGCCTACCTCACAGGGTTGTTGTGAGGCTTGGGCTGAGGAAGGGGGAGACCCGCGTGCGCCCCCTGGAGGGACACGACGTCTTTTACATTTCAACCTTCGGACCCTCAGGGCGGCTAGTCTGGAAGCTCGGAGCCTCCGCGCTCTCCGACCGACCTTCTTAGGCATGGTGGCGTCGCCGCCGCCTGCGTATCCCCTCAGCCCACCGGCCGCAGCAGCCCAGGGAAGGTTCCGCGAACTCCGACGGGAAGCGAGAAGGGCCAACCCAGCCATTCCCCGTACATCACTTCCGGCAACAGAGCAGCCCGTTCTCCTCGTAGAGCTAAGAAGAAGAGAAAAGTGTAGACTGATATGCAGGGCCTTATACGGCGGGTTTCTTCGCGCTCTCCATGTGCTGCAGCTGCTCAGATAGAGACAACGACGGAGGCTGTTCAGACTTTGGTAGGCGCTGGTTGGCCGAGTGAAAAGGAGGACATTTCGTGCTGATGCAGAAATGGGCATTTCCATCCCCCTTCCTCTTATGGAATCGTACAGTTGGGAAGGGTCCCAGGGTCATCTAGTCCAACCCTTCAGGGTAAAAGTCCTTTACACGTGATATATGCCCAGGAGTGGAAAGAGGACACAGTACCAATACCAATAATAAGTATTAGGAATAATAACAATTTATCAGTTTATATAAAAATGTATGAGAGTATCTTATATTGCATTTTTTTTGTATGCATATATATAATAATAATGATAATAATATATATTTTTATTTATACCTCACCCTTCCCGGTTCAAAAACCGGACTCAGGGCGGCTAACAACAAATTTAAAACACTTAATTATAAAAGCAGCATAAAATACAGTATAAAAATATGAATAACAATAAAATTCAAAAATCAATTTAGGGGAAATCTCTCTCTTTCTCTCTCTCTCTCTCTCTCTCTCTCTCACACACACACACACCTTTGTTGTTCTTTTTTTCTCCCCCTCACTTTTCCTTTCCCCCCTGTATCGCTTCATTTCTTTTAATTTAAAATACCTCAATTAAAAATAAATAAATTCCAACAAAGGAAGAATGGCAGATGAAACTAATAGAATGTGTAGAAATGGCAAGGTATGAGAGATTGGAAATGTTTTGTAGATCATTTGACGGGGGGGGGGGGGGGAATTGCAAGCGTATTAAAAAGTTAACAGTAACAGAGTAAATTCAGCAGTAGCAATCATTGGGATATAAAAATGAGGAAATGAAAAGATAGGGATTCATTAGAACATGTAGTGGAAAAGAAAATAATGACGTGAACCATGGAAAGTGGGGGGGGGGGGAGTCAAAACTAAATGTGCATTTGGCACTTGGATTATTATCTATTGTTTTAAATGTAAAAATGAAAATGATATTTTTTAAAAAGTCCTTTATACAAATATCAGTGTGTTTCATGCCATCTTCCAGAATGTGATCTAAACACTGTCTTCCAATAATGTCTCTGACACTGTAGATTTATTGTCTCCCCCCCCCCCACCTGCCCCCTCTTTTGCTGCTTAAAGACCAGTTCCTTCAAGAAGAAGTGCTTGCCTAGTTTGCTCATCCTGTGCTTGGTATCAGTGCAGTAGCTAATGGAGCTCACAGCAGTTTACACCTACCCCCCACCCCACCCCCAAGCTGCACTGTTAAACCTGGTCCCTTTCTCCAGACTTAGAAACTTGCAAATTAAGTCTGGGAGACAGCTTTAGCAAAAGCCCCTGTTTGGGCAATAATTAAGCCAGGGCAGTCACTTTTCAAAGCAAGTGGGCTGCAAGAGTACCTCGATGCAGTGGGGCAACACACTGCCTTGTCATGGGGAAAGGGGAGCGAGGCCAGGCTCCAGCAGGGTCCTAAGAGCCCTTCCATCTTCTTCCCAAAGCTGGGAGAATGCTAACTAGACTATGAGAAGGAGGTGGGAGGAGTCTAGGACCCTATCAGAACCCCATGCCTCCTTCCCAAAGTCCAGCACCTCAATTACCTGACTTTGGGAAGGCAGCATAAGGGCTAGGTAAAGGGACCCCTGACCATTAGGTCCAGTCGTGGCCGACTCGGGTTGCGGTGCTCATCTAGCTTTATTGGCCGAGGGAGCCGGCGTACAGCTTTCGGGTCATGTGGCCAGCATGACTAAGCCGCTTCTGGTGAACCAGAGCAGCGCACGGAAACGCCGTTTACCTTCCCGCCGGAGCGGTACCTATTGATCTACTTGCACTTTGACGTGCTTTCGAACTGCTAGGTTGGCAGGAGCAGGGACTGAGCAACGGGAGCTCACCCCATCATGGGGATTCGAACCGCCAACCTTCTGATCGGCAAGCCATAGGCTCTGTGGTTTAACCCACAGCGCCACCTGCGTCCCTGTATAAGGGCTGCAGGGAGTCAAATGTGGTTGACTGCCACAAAAAAGCCTTGAAGGCTGCATGTGGCCCTTGGCCTGCACATTGCACCACCATGCTCCAAGCCAAACCTTATCTTAATACAGAGTAGCATTGAGGCATCAGATCAAGGCCTGCATTTTAAAATGAGCTTAAAAAATATATTTGCAAATGTTTGTATGTCTCATGCCAGACATAAAGCAGCTGGCTGAGTACTCTGGCAGTTGTTTATCTTCTTGATCAAGGGCCCCCCTGATCTATAGCAGTACCTCAGGGTTGTAAAAGGAAATTACAGGCTGGGAGCAAAGGTTACAGTGACCATACATATTACAGAATACAATCAAGCTGCAAAAACACTAATTAAGAGTTGGTAAATAGTGAAATTTATTGTTTATTAGAAAATATTACCATGTGCCTCCCATTAGACTTGAGTCATATTTTCCTAAGGTTAAAGGGCAAGAGCTAATGGGGAAAGCAGCTGGCTAGGAAAGGGAGTTGTAAACTAAAGAGGCTGCTTTCGAAGCTGTTTTACTGACTTCTTTTTACTTTGAAAAGGCCTTTTCTTCTAAAAAGCTATATATGTTATGTATGAAATATATTGGCTTAAATGTAAGTATGCAAAGGATTTAGAAAGTAAGAAATGTTAGATTCTTATGTTAGATTCTTATTTCATTGATGGTGTGTGAGAAGGTGAACCCAAGATCTCTGTTTAAGATAAAAATTTAAAACCATGAGCCATCTGTTTTAGCCATCTGTTTTGGAGTGAATAGGGCAATAGGGCAAAGATGATCTGATAATTAAGGTGCCTTGTCGAGGCAAATGTAAGATATATGGCTACTTGTCTGCCATTTATGGATAGAAGGAAATATAGCTCTTTGTCTCCCATAAAAGGTAATAGGAAATGGGTGTATCTTTTATGATTGGTTCTAGCAAACAGCCAATAGGAATTTCAACCAGGCTGATTGGACAGAGGCAGCCAAAGGAGGAGCAAGGGGCTGGGCTGAGGAAATATAAGTGCTGGCCATCAGGGCTGGAATGGGCAGAGCTTTGGTATCCATATACCACTGTGTCTCTCATTTATTTGTCTGACAAATAAATTATTATTTTAATTTCTCTATTGCTGCGTTGAATATTTCATTCCAGCTAAGCGTTAACCACAAGCAGGGTGCTACAGCATGGGGGCAAGAATAACCAGGGAGGTGAAGCAAAGCAGTTGCAAGCTTCTCTCCTGCAAGGTTAACACCTGCCAAGCCATGGTGTTAAAAACATCTAAGGTGTAAACCAGAAAGACAGGGAACCCATGGTCCACCTAATGTTATTGTTCTGCAACTCCCAGCTTCCTTCACAATGCTTGATGGGGCTGATGGAGGAAGTCTGTTTTCTATCCTTCCTCATTTTATTTTATTTTTTAAAAAATTGATGGCAAAGCATTCTAAGGGTCTAGGCACAAGGTGATGAGAAGCAGAATTCAGTCTCCCAACCCATCCAAGTCCTAAAGGTAAAGGGACTCCTGACCATTAGGTCCAGTCGTGACCAACTCTGGGGTTGCGGCACTCATCTTGCTTTATGGGCCGAGGGAGCCGGCGTACAGCTTCCGGGTCATGTGGCCAGCATGACTAAGCCGCTTCTGGCGAACCAGAGCAGCGCACAGAAATGCCGTTGACCTTCCCACCGGAGCGGTACCTATTGATCTACTTGCACTTTGACGTGCTTTCGAACTGCTAGGTTGGCAGGAGCAGGGACCGAGCAACGGAAGGTCACCCCATCACGGGGATTCAAACCGCTGACCTTCTGATCGGCAAGTCCTAGGCTCTGTGGTTTAACCCACAGCGCCACCCACGTCCCATCCAAGTCCTAACCCGGCCCAATCTTGCTTAGCTTCCACAATTGGGTAACGTTTATGGTAGTATGGTCACATGTGATTTAGTCATAAATCCAGGTACACAGAAGATTTTTCTAGGGCTGACACTTTTCACATATGGTACTAACCACCTCAACAGAAAAGGCATTTCAGACAGTTGTGATATGTAATACAGCAGCTGCTTGCTTCACTGATCACAGACATTTGTGGCACATTTTCAATGAGATCTTCTCAAAGATGAAGTCACCTCTGTCTTTTTCACTAGCTTGATCCATAGCTCACTGAACGAGCAGAGGCATGCATTAATGATCAAAGCAGCTTTGAAAAATGCTGCTATGACAGCAGCTTCCAATCAAATCACCATGGAACTAGTTTTTGAGGCCAACGGAACTTTGCAATTCTGTTCATTTTTACCTCTGAAAAAGGCCCATTACTCAGCACAATGGTACTTTTAAAGTAGATTTTGCAATACAGAGTAAGGATTAAAGTGACAAGCTTTTCAGATCCTAGCAAACAGCTATACCTTACTGAGGTGATAAGACTTGTGTTTGAGTTGTAGCATTTCAGACTCTTAAAATGGGCTTGCATGATTTTATATGGGGTATTCCACCTGTACACCAGCCTTTGCCAACCTAGTGCCCTCCAGATGTTTTGAACAACTTCCATTGTGAGACTACGTATTCTGATCCTTTGGAACCTAGCCAGTATCTTTAATACTTAAAATATATGCCTAAGCTACTTTAAACAATATTCTTAATTACTCCATTTTATATATATACTGAACTACTCAGTATGCTTGCATATGTATGAACAGGTAAGTTTAAAGTGTTCAGGATTTATTTTTAAGTAACGTATTCTGGGACTATACAAAATTGCTTCCACTCTTCACTTTATTTCAAGGATAGCTTCATACAACTGACTTCTGAATAATATTTCCCCAGCAAAACAGCAAAACAGATTTAATTTTATGTACACTGTACTGAGTACAATTACAGAGGCAATTTGTATCAACCTTAATTCGGCTTCTCTTCGTAAGTGTTCAGTTTTAAGAATGCAAGTGGTGTATTGTGCAGGAATGCAATCATACCATCCACAAATGATATATCATTTGCAACATGTATATTTCAGGAAAAAAATACAAATATTCTGCTCCAGCTTTCAGGTAATGATGGCAGTATATTTAAAGTGATCAAGTTAAATACTTATGTACAGGTAAGAATATTTTAGTTCAAGAACAATTTGGCTGCATACTGCCACTGGAAGTAGTGAATACTAGGTTTTAGTACCTTCCATGTACAATACTTCAGTATCATCATAACACATCCGAGATTATGTATTTACAATGCTTCACAGTATTCTGTATCTTCCATCTGTCCTTTTTATCAAGAGTCAATGCAAAGTTTTACTTCTCAGTTATTTGAAGTTACGTATAAAATATTATTTCTGGTATTTGCCCATCTTCTATTGATGTACCATTGTTGTTACCCGGTGAACTAAAAAAGAAAAAGCACGTTTTGCTTGAAGTGGGGGACTCGTGGATTACTTTCTTCAATCCCTTTGTGCCATAATGAGAATCTGGGCCCTAAAGAATAATAACAAGGTAAGTTTATTTCCTTCTTCTTTACAATACTTTATAAAGTAAGCAGTAAAGTAAATTAGTGGCAAAGAATTACAATACCAGGAAATATATGCTACAGCAGAGATACTAGTTTTAGTAATGAAGACGCTTATATTATATAAGCCACACATAATCAATACATACAGTCCAGTTTTTCTCATCGCTCATGTTTAAAATATTTACAAAATAATTGAGAATATCTTACTTTTAGGGTTGCACAAGCAGTGTAACACACAGTTGGCAGAATCTCTATAGGTTCTTTGAACATCACTCTGAAAGTATTGGCAGTTCCGTCACAGCTAAATCCAGTGTCATTCTGCCCTAGCGTCTGATTTTTCTCATATTCAATTATCTGCAGTAAGACAGCATGGCAAGAAATAAAACAGAAAACACCCTGTGGTTTTTTTTGTTTTAGAAACCACTACACATTTTATTAAGATGACCAGAACCTGATTTTTGCCCCTCGAACCTGTTTCACTCTTCCAGCTTCTGGCTGAAACTGAAACCACAGCTTGGGGCTTCAACAAGCAAAGCTTTCACAACCCATAATGCATAAATTGGGGCTCTAATTGGCACCTGTAATTAATACACAATCTAATACAAGACCTATACTAATAGTTTGTTTCAGGGCATAGTTCAAAGCAATCAAAACCAACTTCAGAAGCTCTTCCTCAGATGCTCCTTCTGTCATAGGTAAGACAAAAGGGGTTTTGCTCTGTCTTTAGAATGCCTTCCCCACTCAGATTTGTCTAAATTTCTATGGTGGCTCCTCATTTGTGGAATGTTCTTTCCAGGGAGGTTCAGCTGGCGCCCTCATTATACACCTTTAGGCGTCAGGTGAAAATATTCCTTTTCAACCAGGCCTTCGGCTGTTTGACATCCAATACCCCTGTCAATGTGTTGTGGGAGATTATTGGTTTGTTGCTGTTCTTATTTTTACTATCTGTTATGTGGTTTACATATTGTAATTTTATGTTGTGCACCACCCTGACATCTATGGAGGAAGGGTGGTATACAAATTTAATAAATAATTATGATAAGATGATGATGATAATGATAATAATAAGTGCTTTTGAAAGTCATCCATTAAAATATTCTGGATTTCTTGATAACTATTTATGCAAGTACTGGCATACATAATTTTTTGCCAAGCATATTTTTTTCTTCATAAGCCCTGTAGTACCTTAACAGAAGATCTGAAAACGTAATTCACACAGAGTTCAGTAATTTAGGTAGTAGTCCCCTTGAAACACTCCACATATACCAAGGTAGCAATACTCAATGTGGGTGGGTGTATTCCACAAGCAAGTTCAAACATGGCAAGTTTGAATGGAAAGCTAGTTCCATGGGACCATAAGTAAGAAACCCTGCCTCAGTAATCTACTGATCCAATATACCAAAATGATGCAACTCTGAACAGACTATCCCTGGCCAATTTAGTTAAATTAATGAACTATTTACACATTTTGGTGTCTAAGGAAAATGTGTAACTCATTAAGCACGTAGAAAGCATGATGGTACCTGTATATTAACTTGGTAATCTGTGGGTCCATGAATAGATCCATACAATCCAAATCCCACTATCGAAATCCTTCTATTAACAGTGAACCTTAAAAAGAGAAAATAAAGAATTTGTTGTTGTTGTTGTTTAGTGGTTTAGTTGTGTTCGACTCTTCGTGACCCCATAGACAATAGAGGGAAGTAAATGTATTTGAAATATGGAGAGAAAAATGTAATTGACTAGTGTTAAAATTTCCAAATAAGGGTTGGGTTCCTAAACTACAGTTGTTTCTACCTTTATTTTGCACTGGAATAAGCTAGAAGTGTACAAATTCCAGTTCTGCCACATCCTTAAAAACATACCTATGCCAAACTACTGTCAAACAAGACCATATTTACCTAACAGATTTTCTTCTCCCTCACCAGCTTCATCATACACCAAGATCTCCAGAAAAGATCACTCAGGCTTCTGTTTGTCTGACAAATAGGGGCAAGGGGCATAATTCCCTCAGCAGGACTCCCTCCCCTTATGAATCCCCTTCCCAGAAAGACTTGTGAAGTCAGTTCTGTTCTCATCTTCTGAAAATGAAGTTAAAATGCTTATTTCATCAGGGATTGAGAGGGTATAGACTACTTTAAAAAGAAAAATAGGAACTATTTGATTTGCTGCTAGTAGTTTTATCAGTTGGGGGGGGGAGGGTTTAGTGATTCAATTCAGGAGTTGTTTTATTCCAATGTCTGCTATCATTATTATTTACATTTCTTAGACTCCTTTCTCAAAACAATACCCAAGGTACTTACACAAACATTTAAACAATATTTCTAATAGTAATTTGTCTGTATAAAACCAACTCCTCCAAATACAAATTAACAAAATCAACACTGGAACAATAATAATAAAAAGGACAAAAACATCCCATCTCACAGTACTTAACCTGGTATTGTAAGCAACCTCTTGAACTTGCCTAAATGTTAGAAGCTTTGGCCCTTCTTTTAATGCTCTTTTATACAAGTATTATTTAACTGATGCCCATTATCTTTAGTGAAATACTACAAGTCAACACACAAGAGCATATGGTGCAACAGCATGCATAGTGTGCTGAACATTAAGCTTCAAGCAGTCTCTTCTGAAGAAGACCTCCCTGTGTTTTTGTAAGCACCTGGACCAGGATTCAGAGAGCTGTATAACCAGTTCTAGGCACCCAAAAGAGGCACTGGGTTTTCTTTTTCCTTTTTAAACAGCAGCCACCCATGCCACATGGTAAGCTGCTTTTGAAACTTAGGGCACAGCCTGACTCCCTCCTTTGGCAATCTTCACAGAACTTTGGCTCAATGGTTGCCATTCAATTTGATTTGAATTACTTTTATAATGTAATGATTTTAGAATGTTGTACTATTTTATTGTTGTTAGCCGCTCTGAGCCCGGCTTCGGTTGGGGAGGGCAGGATATAAATAAAATTTATTATTATTATTATTATTATTACTACTACTACTACTATTACTACTACTACTTTCAACAGCTGCTTGTGGCATGGTATTTTGCAGGGTAGGCTCATCAGCTTACAAAGCAAAAAAATGTTTCCCCTAGTAGCTCTTTCGATCCCAGCCTCCATCAAGTAAATATATATTGAACAAACTGAGCATCTATTGAATCGGACTAAGGGCCAATGAAACTACATGCACACAGCCTTAATGAATTTGACCCCAAACCTATCAGCCAGTGTTGACACCCATTAAGAAGAACATTTATTATAGGCAGAACAGTGCATCTTTTACCTAGTCTCCATGCAATCCCAAAGCCACAAGAGAAACCTTCCATGTCATAGCCCAAAGTGTGTTTATTTGAGCATCAATGTGCTGCCATATGATTCCCTACATGAGTTATCCAATCCTGTGTGAAAAGCCAAACAGCAGAACAAGCATCCTTAGCCATGCTTTCTTCTTTAATGTGTCTATGATGCCAGGGAAAATACATGCCTACTAAGTTGCTAACTGAGCAATAATATTTTGGAAGGTTTCTCCTAATTGTGATAGGCTAATCACACGAGTTCCCCTGAAAATGCACCAATACCTGATCCTGTCACTTGTTCCACTGTAACCCCAGCGGCTCTCCACTTGCTGGAATCTATTTATGCTGCATTCCTTTCCTCTAAGACAGCATCTTGGTCGGTCAATATAGTCAACTCTAGGCTTAGGGTTGACTGTAAAATGCAGAAAGAGATTTACTACTTCCCGATCTGACAAAATTCCAGACTGAGCAGGACCTGGAAAAAAAGGCAGTGCAACTGAGCTGAATATATTCTATATACTAGGAGGCCGACTGAGAAATGTTCTTGAGGCAACTATTACTTTATAAGCCTATTTTTTTACAGCAATCCCACTACTAGGTTGTAGCTGTTTTAACTTGGATTAACTAATCCAGGCTATAAACGGAGAAAGACCAACATGCTTCAAGAGAAGGCTGATAAGATCCAAATACTCCAACCAAAAAATAGCTTGTGAATCAAGCTTGTTATCTGCTAGCATAAGCTCTAATGTTTTTTAAGATAAAATTAATATAAGCATTGGGATAAAAGGTTTGAATGTCCACCTCAGCTAGTCTGAAATATGTTGTGTTAGCCACAGTAGCTTTACTGAATAAGACTTCTTCCACAACACACAGGTTAGACTTGAGAACTATTTGTACTAGTAGTACTTTGGCAATTAAGATTTGTATTATGAGTGATTATTTTCCATGATATATGGTCTATAGATCTGTGTTCACGCTGCCAAATTTGCCATTGGCAATAGACTTAAACAGGATGAAACACTTAATTATTCTGGTTTAACTGGTTTGTATATTGCAGACACACACACACACAAAAGAACCATTTTAGCAGCGTGACTTGTGAAACAGGTAAAACCAGGTGTTTAGTTTTATATATGATTCTCAACCAGTTAAATCAGAAATATAAAACACAAAGTTATTACAATATACAAAATTAAATACATGTAAATTTAAATGCAAGGTGTTTTTTAAAAACAACAACAACCCTGAAACATCGTAATTTTTAAAAAACTGAAACATCATAATTATGGTCTTTTGTTGTGCCTAAGGCAAATATCCCAAGTGAAAACAACATATGAAGCCAACAGATTTGTTTTTAAGTGCTTCATCCAATGTTCAACCTCTGACATGACTAAATTGTCTCGTAAAAGAAGTAAGTTCCAGAGAGTTCAATGAGACTTGCTCCCAGGTAAATAAGCCATTATCTGTGGATGGTTTGTATCTTTTAGTGCAAGCTACTTTCCATTTTTTTACAGGATCTAACTACTGCAGGATGTATCGCACACATTTGCTTTCCATCCTACAAGAGACCCTTCCCATTTTTGAAAGCAGACAGCCTGTCAATGAGGCACAAATTTTGTCTTCCACTATAAAAAATGATTAAATTAATTGAGGATAACTGTTCCCATAGGCAATTCTCATTATTGGCAGCTAACATCTTAACTGCAGGGATTAAACAAAAAATGAATGAGCAACATTACAAATATGATTTAACAAAATATGGAGAATAAAGCTGCAGTCTTATGCAGATTTTCTGAGAAGCAGGTCTTATTGAGATCAACAAGGCTTATTTCAACATAAACATCACTGGATCAAGCTGCAAGAGCATCACAAAAATACAAAAAAGTCAGATTTCTGAGCAAACAAAATATACTGTATTGTTTTCTTGCTACTTTTCTCGCACCAATGACCATGTTGTTAAACACAGATGATTTAATCTCTAGTAAAAGGGCCAATAGAACTGGAACCTTAGCACATATTTTAGACATTATATCTAAAAACATAGAGAACCTTTCACTTTTTGCAACAATGAAGCCAGCCATACAGTTACCTGCTGCAAACTCTTCAATAGTCATCAGTGGAAAGCGGATTAAGGAGAGGGCTTTGCCAAGCACTTTCTGCTTATTGGCAGATGTGACGGGCAATTGCTGTCTTTGACATTCTGCTTCAGCCCAGCGAACAACAGCTCCAAAAAGTCTACTTTCACGAATACTTAGTGTGTCTCTTTCCAATACTGCACACAAAGTGTCTGAAGAAGAAGAATCAAGTTACTTGCAAACTGAGGACTCCATCCCCTCCCCACTTCTGCCCAGAAAATTCAGTGCTATTGAATGCCTTTTAAAGTTACTACATAAACTAGCTTTCTCAGCCTATACTCCTTAAATTAATTTGACAATATAGTTGACACAAACTTTTTAAAAAAACTGTGCTGTCCTTCATCTGAAGATTACAGGGCAGTTTACAATATAAAACAAAAAAATGCACATCATAATAACAAACAAAAATAATAATCCCCCGCACACAGATTACATAGGACCTAATTAAAAAGAAACTCAGTGGGAATGTGCATTCAGTTGGAGTGCAAAATCTAGTACTAATCTCCCCTAAAATGGTCAAGACAATCAGGCTAGCTTGGAAAGTTAAATGCCCAACTAAAATCACCCATTAACAAAGAATGTGGATCTTTTTAGATCAACATGTGAGAAGGGATAGCAAAAATACTATCAGTTAAGTTCTCAGCCTAGTCCTTCAAAAAGAACATAAATGGTTAGAGGGCTACTTACCTATATCAATATCTGTGAACCCTTCTGCACTTATTGCATCCATAGTACTTTTGTCTATTGTGTCAAGACAGAGACTAGCTAGTTGTGGTTCATCAAATAAACGAGCCTATGCAAGAGAGATTTACTTAGAATTATTTTGCAAATTCTGTATTGCAGGATAGGCTTGACAGCTAATTGAAACAGTTTCCAACATAAAATAACAAAAAACAATTTCTACAAAACCAACCTTAATTTCACACTGCTGCTCCCAACATTAATATGTTTTGTAAACAAAACTCCATTTGCTACCTTCAATCCTTGCTTGCCTTACTTCTATCAACAGTGACACAAAGCATGACTAATAAGGGTTCCCATTTAATACCAGTTTAAAATCTTGGTTATGAGCTGGCTTCAACCCCTTAGCAACTGGTTACCCTAAGCAGCCTTAACTGTGGGTGGTGGGGAAAAATAGTCACAATTAAGGTAGAAAAGATTTCCCTACCGGCTCCCAGGTCTTCACTGCAGTTAGAAGTGTTTCTGAACTAGCTCTGGGGCATACACAGAATCCTATGAATGCTTAATTTTCAGTGAGTCTAATGGAACAGTGCCTGATAGGCACCAATCTTTAAGAACTGTTAAACATTGTAACTCGTATAGGTTATAGGAGGATGAATTTGATTCTGATACACCAGAGGCTGATAACACTGAATATCAGAAACCACCAAGCTTCACGCCATTTTCTTCCAATAACAAAAGATGAAAAACTTAACAACTGATCACTAGCTCATGCTGTATTTATAAAACAGGCCTGAATGCTAAGCAATTTGTCTTTCCACAGTGTTGTTCACAACACACACACACAGGCTGAATCAGGATCATGAGCAGGAAGCCTTACTCAAATGTGTGAGTTATCATAATTTCCATATTCCAGCATCATTCACAACTGCTTTACTGCGTACATGTTTCTAAGTAAGATGTGCTCAGATCTACACAATTAGGGAAGTAACAGACACATATTTCCAGTTAGCTCATTAAGTATGCAAGTCAGCAGGTTACCTGAGTAAGCAGCATAAAGGCATTGTCTGCCCGAAGGTGCTTAGTGAGAAATTCAACACAATGAGCTTCTAAGGCTGGGACAGCGTACTTTTTGGCTGTGTAGAGAGTGGTCATAACGGTTTCGGGACCAATCTGAACTTCATCTGAATACAAAAACCTAGGAATCAAAGAAGAGCAAGTTATGAGAACAGTGCTTGATGACAGTTAAGGCAGCCACCCTTTATAACATGAAAGGCCCACTGAACTTACTTTGAAGTACATACACATAGCACTGAGCTGAAAGTCACTCAAGATCCTAATATCCTTTGTTCTGCAGAGCTGGTTCTACAGCATATGACAGGCAATCCTACCCCAAATATTAACGGACAATCTTGACTATCTGCAGAAAGTCAGCAGCTTTACAAACCTGAAAGGTCAGAGATTGCCTTACGATGCAAAAACAAACCAGAAATACTACATTCCTAGAAGAATGGTTTAGAGCTTCTTTGTTACTGACCAGATATAAACTCAGATTCAAGTATTTTGACTTCCAACTATTTTCATCTTGGGCTCTTAGGCTGCATCTTCCAGATCATACACGCCACAGCAGCATCTCCACACCCAAATCTATAGTCTATTCAAAATCCACACCAAAACTCTGATCCGCAATAACTGGTTTGAATGAGGAGTTAACATAAAAGGTCAGGCACTAGACAATTCTCTCTGCCGTGCAAAAGAAAAAACTCAAGATTGCAATACCATCTTGTGCAGAGAACAAGCACTGCCAGTTGCTTGACACCACAAGACCTCTATCCATGTCCTCCAAACAGGGAGTGAGACTTCACCAATAGATCTACCAATGCACTCACAGAGGGAGTGTACACTAAATCTTGTGCAGCACGACTTTTTACACAATACCTGGAAGAAGCAATTCCAGGATTGCCATAACTGGCATAATTAAGTGAAGCAAAACCCAACACAGTAAGCCCCTGGTTCAAATCTTCCCTCACTAAGCCACTGACCAGTGGGTCTTTCAGGAAATCAAGATCTGTGCCACAGCCTCCAAGGTCACATTCCACAGACCAGGTTACATTTGTTTATTCATAACATTGATTTATACGTCAGTCTTGAATTTAAGCGGTCCCTTGATGGTCACAGGTGACAAGGAGTTCCAAGTGCAGTGACAGAGATGGGATGGAAGACTCTATCCCTCTTTGGCACCCAATAATACGAATCAAGCAAGCTGTCAGAGGAAGAAAAACCCGTCCATCACATCCAGCTTAGAAAAATATATGCAGAAAGTTAAACTATGGAATTAGCTACCTTAGAATATGGTTAGGGCCACCAACTTAGATGGCTTTAAATGGGGAAGTAGACAAATTCATTAAGGGTAATAGCTTACAAGTTATGATAGCTGTATATTCCTTCAAGTATCAGAGGAGGTATGCATCTGAATGTTAGTTGTTGTCCCATAAGCAGTTGGTTGGCCAATGCGGAAAACAGGATGCTGGACAAGTTGGTCCTCCGGTCTGATCCAATAGGATGGTTCTTGTTTTCTTAAAATGCTGCTGTAGAAAGGACAGTTTCCACTCCCTCCTATACTTATGGTATAGGAGGTATATGGTATGGTATAGCTTATGGCAGTCCAGCTACTTTTGTTGATTATACTCTAAGAACTGCATAGCCACAAGCAAGTTGGGATGTAAATGTCTATATAAAATAACTATGAACAAATATAAATTATTCAATAAAACATACTATTTATTTTTACAGGTGTAAAATACTATAAAATATAAATTTAGCACCATAACATGAAAAGGGTCCTACTGAATTAATAGCCTTCTCCCATTGTTGTTCCTCGCAAACTGGTAGTCAGAAGCATACTGTGTCCAATACTGGGAAACATAGCCATCATGCTAGCCACAAACAACTGGCTGCCCAACCCCATTTTTATAGCCACCTAAGGCAACACCCACACCATAAATTTAAAGCACTATGCCACTTTAAACGGCCATGGCTCCCCTCATGAAGAATCCTGGGAACTGTAGTTTGTTAAGGGCACTGAGTCTTGTTAGCAGACCTACCTATTCCTTTTCCAGAACTACAATCCCCCAACAACTCTGGGAACTGCACCTCTGGGAGGGGAATAGAATCATAGAATCATAGAGTTGGAAGGGACCCTGTTTGATCGTGTTTTTAATATGCTGTTGGGAGCCGCTCAGTGGCTGGGGAAACCCAGCCAGAAGAGCAGGGTATAAATAATAAATTTATTATCATCATCATCTAGTCCAACCCCCAGCAATGCAGGAATATGCAGCCACCCCACACAGGGAGCGAACCTACGACCTTGTCAGCACCATGCTCTGACCCACTAGGGATGTGGGTGGCGCTGTGGTCTAAACCACTGAGCCTCTTGGGTTTGCCGATCAGAAAGTCGGCGGTTCGAATCCCAACGACAGGGTGAGCTCCGGTTACTCTGTTGTCCCAGCTCCTGCCAACCTAGCAGTTTGAAAGCACGTCAGTGCAAGCAGATAAATAGGTACCACTGTGGCGGGAACATGAACGGCGTTTCCATGCGCTCTGGTTTCCCTCACGGTGTTCCATTGTGCCAGAAACGGTTCAGTCCTGCTGGCCACATGTCCCAGAAAGCTGTCTGTGGACAAACGCCAGCTCCCTCGCCCTGAAAGCGAGATGAGCGCCACAACCCCATAGTCGGCTTTGACTGGACTTAACCGTCCAGGGATCCTTTACCTTTTACCTCTAACCCACTGAGCTATCCAGCTGATGGAAAGGGGGGGGTCTCCCAAGAGCTCTCAGCACCCTTAACAAATTACAGCCCCACAATTCCTTGGGGAGAAGCCCAAGGACTGTTTTTAAAGCGGTATCATAGCGCTTCGAAGGATGGTGTGGACGCGGCCACATCTTGACAATGCCTCGTGCACGGAGCATATATCCAGCAGCCACCGCCGTCGCGACCCACCCTTCCTTCCTCCTCCTCCTCCTCCCTCCTCGACGGACCTGAGCAGGGCGAGGAAAGCGGCGGGCTCCACGTCGGGCAGCTCGATCTCGGCCGAGGTGGTGGCCATGCCGCCGTTGAACATGGCGTCGAAGACGGCGCTGCCGGCGGCTAGGACGAAGCGGTGCGCGGGGATGCGTTGCTGGCCCGGCCCGGGCGCGCCTCCTCCGGCCCTCGGCCCGCCTTTGCCCACCACGAAGCGCACGTCGCTCAGCAGCTCGTTGGCGAAGAGGAAGGCGAAGCGCTCCCGGAGAGACCGCTTCGTGGCCTGCCAGTTGTACACCGGCTCGCGCTGCACCACCACGGGGGCCACGGCCGGCGACGACGACGACGACGAGGCCGCCACGGCGACGCCGGCCGCCGACGCCGCCTCCGAGGGCCCCGACGACGCGGTCGCCTCAGGGCCGCCCGCGGCCGCCATCGCGAACCCTCTTCAGGCCGGCGCACGCGCACTCGCGGCCTCTTGGCTCACAATGGGTGGCCCCTTCCTCCAAGCTGCGCCGGCGCGGTGCTACGTAGACAGCGCGGCGACGCACAGTCGGGCTTGGTGCGCCCGAGGCGAAAGCTTGAAAGCGCCTGCGCACAATTCACAGAGATAAAATGGGAGAGAAGCATTCCATTGTGCGAGTGGGTCGTTTCGTGGTTCACTTTGGGGAAAGGGGGGAAGGCGTTTGTATTCCGCGGAATTCAATGGAGTTGCCCAGTGAAGAGTTCCTGCACATTTCTATTCAGGTTTTGTTTTATTGTTGATTTTAATTTTTGGTTCCTCAGTGTTAATAAAAAGAAGTAATGCCCATCCCTAGTCATTATTCCCATATTGCCAATGAGGGCCCTGCGAACTAATCCACTGGTAGCCTGACACTTTTCCAAGCTGGGAGTCAGAATGGGAGCATCTCCAGCATCGCACAGGGTTCTTCGCATAGCTGTCAACTTTTCCCTTTTCTTGCGAGGAATCCTATTCGGAATAAGGGAATCTCCCTTTAAAAAAAGGGAAACGTTGACAGCTATGGTTCTTGGGAGGGCAAAGTGAAATTGTCTCCTCGGAAGGAGGATAATATTCAGACGTAGATAAACGTGATTCTGTAGGCACTAAAACAGATCCCAAGTTATTTCTTTATTTAAAACATTCTCTACATGCTCTTGATTGCAAATGCAGTTCCAAAGCAAGTTACAAGTGGCACCTCATTCGCCTCACACAGAGTAGCAACAAGAATGCTGGCGCTGTGGGTTAAACCACTGAGCCTAGGGCTTGTGGATCAGAAGGTCGGCAGTTCGAATCCCCATGACGGGGTGAGCTCCCGTTGCTCAGTCCCTGCTCCTGCCAACCTAGCAGTTCAAAAGCACACCAGTGCAAGTAGATAAATAGGTACCACTGCGGAGGGAAGGGAAACGGCGTTTCTGTGCGCTACTCTGGTTCGCCAGAAGCGGCTTAGTCATGCTGGCCACATGACCTGGAAGCTGTACGCCGGCTCCCTCGGCCAATAAAGTGAGATGAGCGCCGCAACCCCAGAGTCGGTCACGAGTGGACCTAACTGTCAGGGGTCCCTTTATCTTTACCCAATTGCTGACTATGCCCACTGACAGCAGAACAGGGAGAGAAGAAATTTTTGGCAGCACATCCCACCCTGCAGTGTGACCTGCACCACCTCAAAATCTGCTCCAGAGGGTTGGGCAAACATTCAGAGCAGATTTAGGTGGGGGCAGTTTGGCACAGGGGAGAGATCACTGAACATTGCATCCTGCCCTGTTATGGGCATAGCCAGGATTTGGGGGGGGGGGCAGAACCAATGTGATTGATCAGTTTGTTAAGTATTTCTATTGTTTTATTTGATGGGGGCAGCTGTTCCAGGCCCCCCTTGGCTACGCCCATGCGCCCTGTTCCGCTGACAGATTCCATTCCATCAGCAGACGGTCACCACTGGATATCACTGTATGCATGTCCAATTCTCTATTCAGAATTCTCCTTAGCAGCTTTTAAAAGATGGATACAGCCTAAGAGGGATGAGAATTATCAGCTATTTGCTGTTCCAAATGTTTTGTAACTGGAAACCTAAATGCGTTTTGCCAGCATAACATGCTGTTGGGAAACACAGCTGATATTTCCCCTAGAGTGAATTCTGTGTTATCAGAAATGATAAAATAATTTATTTAAGGGCAATTTTACTGGGTCTCACTCGGTGCTTGTTATGGCTTTGTATTAAGCTGGCCTTCAAGGAAGGTGAGATTGTGGTGTGGGATACATAAGAACATAAAAAATGAGGCCTCCAGGAAGTCAGCAAGCAGAAAACAAAATCAATAGTCCTCAATAGTTTCAAGTGTGACCTTGCAATTAGAGGTGGGAGTTTAGAAGGTTGACACTAGGATTGAAACTAGGGTTTGGCTTGCCATTTTTAGTTTCTGTCTGAAGCCAGTGTTCTTCCTAGCGGGTCTGGCCCCTTTAACCTTGCACAATGATTTTCAGTCAGCCTGGAAAAAATATTTATTTGCAAAGCTGCAATGTTATGGGTGTTTCATAGGTTACCTTATCCCTATGGGATACGAACTGGACAGAGCAATACTTGGGCAACATGCTGCAGAAATTGAACGCCAATGTGATTGAGGCTTAGCCTCAAATAACACGCAAATTGATGGAGGACTACAGTCCTATAAACCCAGCAAACTACCTTCGCATGTTCCCTGTTCGAAAACACCACAGAGCTTTTACTCTGGTAAATGTTCTTCCATCAACAGTTCTGGAGGGGAGGTTCCAAAAAATTGCCTACTGTCCATGTGAATCTGGAGATGTAGAATTGATAACTCATGTTCTTATGTGTTGCACATTTTCTTGTGATATATGTAAGATTTTTATTCAACTCTTTTTAAAAAAAAACTAGGACAATTGAATGCATTTCAGCCATTTTCGGTTTTTTGAAACATCTCTCTATTCCAAGGGGGCAAACTGTTGTGTTGCTGCATGTACAACCCACCAGGGACTGATTTTACCTGGTTGATGACACTGTTTTCTATGCTTGGCATTTTATAGTACTTTTACATGCCACACCAATGTCCAAGTAGTGCGAGACTCCAGGGGTTCTAGCCACTTACCTGGCGTTCATGTTTCCTTTGGAAATGAGGCACAGCAGAGACTGTGGTGTCTTTATGATGTATGGTTTATTTACACATATATACAACCTGGGCCTATGATTGAGGGATTCAAAGCATTACACTTCAAGAGTCTCTCCCATTGCTGCAGCATTCCATTCCAACAGGCAGCCCGCATTGTGCTTTGGCCTCCTTCTACAGCTAGTTGCATTTAACAGACTGACACCTTTCTCCCTTGATCACACCACAGCCCACTGAAATCCTAAAACTTCCTCCTAAAAAATACACTGGCATTGTCTTCAGACTCACTGTCTCAGAGCTCAGGGTGGGGCTCCTGTTGAGAATCCAGTTCCACCTTAAGGAGCAGACGTGTGGAATTGTTGCGTGTCACATGTCTGTTTACATTCCAGCACATTATGCTGGGAACTTCCGTTGTGTGTATAGCTTTTGCTTTTAGCTGTTCTCTCTGAGACGACATGAGAGAGAGATGACATGTTTCTTTGTCCTGATTTATGATTAATAAATCTGTAGTTGTAGTATGCTTCCACAAGCCTCACGCCTATTCTGTGTGCGCAGTTCAATCTGCTGACAGTGTGCCCTGGCTGAGTTAGCCCAGGGCGCTGATTTACATCGGAGCAGAAGTGATGGTTTTCGCAGCGGGATGGCTGGAAGGGAACGGCCCAGCCGGGGCTAGCCAGCTGGCCTACCGGCCCTCTGCATGCCGACAACAGCTCCACCCAACCGCCAGTGGGCAGAGAGTCTTTGCTTTGCCAATTGCTTCCTTAATAGCTCTGCCCCTTCCCTTTGTCCTCTTTTAATGGTCCATCTCCCCAAGCAATTATCTGGCACAGGAAGCTGGTCTGAACTGTACTTACTAAACCCAGCGTCCGTCAGCCTATTTTAATACTCCATTTCTAACACTTACCAAATCCAGGAATTATGGGTTCCCTGCACCCACAAACTCTGGCACCCAAACTAATAACAGTACTATACAGTTGTTAGTAATTTTATTTTTTATGGTTTTGTGTTTTGTTTGGTACTACTTTATATATTTGTACAAGTGTTGTTGTTTTTTAATACTGGCCATTGACCATCATAAAGAGGTTGATTGATTGATTGAAACCAATAGTCTTCCTGTGCTGCTGCTTCCCAGCATCTAGTACGCAGAGGTATAGTGTTTCTGAAAATAAAGGTTCCCCATTTAGCTATTGTGCCACAAGCGTTTGCTCTAGAAGACTGTGATAGATTCACATTCAGGGGATTTACAAATGATGATGCTTTTCTCCCTTGGCTCAAAATTAGTGCCATAAAGCACACAGCTAGCACCTATTTCTATTTCCCCCTCACTAAATATTCTACCCCAGTAGATGGTATTAGTACATGTGTTCTCTCCTGGGTTTTTTCCCCACATGAAGAGCAGTATGCATCTTGAAATATGCAGCAGCACTAAATTCTTGGCTGAGAAGCAGAGAGTGATTGAAAATCATCTTTGTTTTCACAAACATATACGGTACTAAGATCCTCTGGGCAAAACCACTTTTCCCCGATCAATTGCTTTCTGAGTAAGTAGCAATTGTACTGTAGGCTTGAAGCCCCATCTGCAGCAATTATAAAACACAACGAAGGCTCGGAAGCAGCTGGCACAAAGACTCATATGCCAAGAAACAACATCAAACATGAAAACTGCTGATATAAAGCTGGCAGGGCAGACCTCAGGAATGAAGAACCTCGGTATCCCTGGGCCCTTCGCTTTTTCTCAGCCTAACCTACCTTACAGGGTTGTTGTAATGGCAAACTGGGGGAGGAGAAGTCATACCCTCCAACATTTCTCCGATGAAAATAGGGACGTCCCATTCCATAATGATAATGTTACTATTTATACCCCACACATCTTACTAGGTTGCCCCAGCCAGTCTGGGCAACTTCCAACCTATATAAAAACATAATAAAGCATTAAACATTTTTTTAAAACTTCCCTATACAGGATTGCCTTCAGACACCTTGGGGATTGGATAACCCCATACCCTCCAACATTTATCCAATGAAAATAGGGACATCCTGCCATACCCTCCAACCATCCAATAAAAATAGGGACTTCCTAAGGAAAAGGACATTCCGGGATCAAATTGGAAACCGGGATGGCTTCTCTAAATCAGGGACGTCCCTGAAAAATAAGGACACTTGGAGAGTCTGAGAAGTATGCCATCTTTGGCTCTGGGGGGGAAGCAGGATGAGAATGCAATAGTAACCATAACAAAACTTGAGAGTAAGTTCCCAGTAAATTCAGCAGGAATTACTTCTGAGTAACGGTGCTTAGGGCTGAGCTGCCTGAAGCCCCTGGGTAACACTTGCAGCAGCGAATAATCTTCAAAGAGCACCAAAATTTTACTGCTGCTTCTTTGCAGGGTTACCAACGAAGTGTGTTTTTATGGCAGGGCTTTCCAAACATTAGTGTGTTGGCTGCAGTGTGTAGGTGTGTCACGTGAACGCTCCCCACTCTCTTCCCATGGCTGGAAAGGGGTTAGTTTAACCTCCGGTTTGCTAGTAAAACTGAATTACTGTGTCGCGAAATGATGCGTGTCTAAAAAGTGTGTCACCAACATGAAAAGTTTGGAAAGCTCTGGTGTACGGAATACATGCCTGGGCTGTTCCTCCCTTGCTTTTAACAGTGGTATATAATGCAATCCATTGTTGGAGAAAGTTGTTTCTGCCAATATGTACCACTTTACCCGGGCCTTTGGTCCCCGGGATATGTGTATTCAGAACCCACCGTATTATTGTGACTGTAATACATCTTAACTGTTTTTAACTTTGGATTTAAAATTGTTGCAGCCTGCCCTGGGACCTGCTGATGAAATGTGGATAATAAATGTGATGGCAATTTTGCTGATGATGGACTGACAAAACCAAAGTAGCATACATGACCCCCGTCCTGACTCACCCTCACAAGTTTACTATACTCAGTTATTAGAACTGCCAGAATGGCAGCCCAATCAGATTAAGAGGCTAATCGTAAGCCAACCAGCCAATAAGGCTCCAGGAGAAGACATGATCCCAATGGAGATTTATAAGATAAGACCTGGTCACCCAGTTTTGTAAAACTGTTTTCATACATTAACAGCTCAGGTCGCATACCAGAAGGGTGGAAGCTGAGTATAATTGCCCCAATATATAAAAAGGGTGATAAGAAAAACCCTGCCAATGATAGACCCATTAGTTTGTTAGATGTAGCCTCTAAATTATATGCCAGGCTCCTTCTTGGGAGACTGGAAGAGTGGGCGGATACAAACCAAAGTAGCACCACATGCATTGCCTAGACTAGAACACAGTCTTCTGATGAGAGACCCATTTTCCTCAATGTCCATTTGTGCTGCTGAGGGGCAGGAGACAGAAAAGAGGCTTATTCAGTAAGAAAGATTTTTCTGGCCAAATGTACGCCCCACTTTCTTACAGCTATGCCTATAGAGGGGAAGCTCTCATATAGACACACTGTTCACTTTCTTGTCTGTTTCTATGGCTTTCTAGACTTCTCCTGGAACGAAAGAATGCTGGGGACTAGAATGCAGCGGCGGGTAAATTGGTTGATCAGCGGTTGCCATCATGGCTGCCCAAGCTCCCATGAGAACTCATGAGAGCACCCCAGAACCTCGTAAGCGAGATGGGAGAGCTTAAAAGCTCTTTCTGTGCCAGGAAAACACTGAATCGTAGAATCATAGAATTGTAGGGTGGGAAGGGACCCTGAGGATCATCTAGTCCAACGCCCTGCAATGCAGGAATTTTTGGCCCAATGTGGGTCTCAAACCCATGATCTTAAGAGTCTCATACTCTACCAATGGGACGCAGGTGGCACTGTGGGTTAAACCACAGAGCCTAGGACTTGCTGATCATAAGGTCGGTGGTTCGAATCCCCGCGATGGGGTGAGCTCCCATTGCTCGGTCCCAGCTCCTGCCAACCTAGCAGTTTGAAAGCACATCAAAGTGCAAGTAAATAAATAGGTACTGCTCCGGCGGGAAGGTAAACGGTGTTTCCGTGCGCTGCTCTGGTTCACCAGAAGCAGCTTAGTCATGCTGGCCACATGACCCAGAAGCTGTACGCCGGCTCCCTCGGCCAATAAAGCGAGTTGAGCGCCACAACCCCAGAGTCAGCCATGACTGGACCTAATGGTCAGGGGTCCCTTTACTCTACCAATAAAGCAATCCCAGTTTGAGCTTTTAAAGCTCTCCACCTTCCATGCATTTAATTTCTGCTGTTCCAACTGACTGGCTTCCAACTGCATAAAGCTGAAATTGCACATGTTACATGTGGGTAGGTTGCGATCATACTGTACAGAACATACAAGCCTCCCATCCATTTTTTGGATCTAGTTTCAACTCAGGCTTACCTAAGCAAAACTGTATTCCACAAGGGTAGCTGGGTTAGTCAAACCAAAACCAGCAGAGGGCATTGTGGTAGCAAAAAACCAAACAAAGCAAAAATCCTCCTAACAATGTGTTCCTTTGCATGTTTATTCAAGAGCAATGGTCCAGTGCTTTTTTCCCCTTTCTTTAAAAATGTTTAGGGGTACTCTCATTTTGACTCAAGAAAATCAATATTCTATAGTTCAAATCAGGAAAAATAAATAGAGTTAATGGACAAAAGTACAAAGATTCAAAAAATGTTTAGGGGTGTGCGTCTCCCCAGAAAAAAAGCACTGCAATGGTCCAATCCTATATGCGTACCCAGAAGAAAGGCACACAGAGTTCATTGTACAAGCTTGCAGCCTTATTCTGTTCGATGGAGCTTGCAATCCTGTGCACTTTCTGCAGAAGTAGTTCCATGAATGCAAAGTCAATAACGCACAGCATTGTGCTGCAATTGGTCTACTGTGGCATAAGCAGCCATGGATACAAGTTAAGTCCACATCCTTTGTGCACTTATGTCACACAGGCAAATTAATCTCAACAAGTGTAGATGACAGCAGGTGAAGCACAAAGGGGGAAGTCAGCCTGGGAACCACACACACACCAGTACATAAATAATAGGGGTGTGTGTAAACAAACAAACAAACAAACAAACAAACAAACAAACAAACGGACGGACTAGTTGGACCATTGTAAAATGAGCCCCATCCCCTGACTTAGCCAAATCAAGTCACCAGGAGATTGTGGTAACAGTAAGGAAAAATAGAACAAATTAAGTTCTTAACCCGAGGTACCACTGTACTGCCTCTGACCACAAGAATAGCAACACAACCTCTAGAGCCGCAGGCTTATATTTATTTTTGCAGTGTGCCTGCCTGCTGACACCTGCTACTGGAGAAGAAGCCCCATTGCATGCAATGACCTGCTTCTGAATAAGATGGGCATTTAGGATTTGACCCTGCAGATCTTTTAGTCTCCAAGGTGCTACTGCAGGTGGGGACATAGGAGCCAACTCCTAGGGGCCGAGGTCCCTTAGCCCCCCAATAAAATATTTGAGGGGGCTCCTCCCCAGTTGTCGGGCATTGCCATTCAGATGGTGTGTGCACGCTGCATCTTGTGATCATTTATTTTATTCAAGTTGGCACCCCTGGGTGGGGGGCAGGAGAGGCATCTGGTTGCTTAGACAAAACAACAATAAATTCTGTGCTCCCCTAGAGACCTGGAATGGGGCAAGGCAGCGTCACAGGCAGTCAGCTAGAAGCCACCAACACACACTTTCACCACTGGGTGCAAACTTGAATAAAATATTGGGGGAGGCCAGGTAAATCCGCCCCTGCATAGTAGATCACAAGACATGGCACACACACCATTGAAATGGCAATACCCATCATAGGAGCCGACTCCTAGGGGCTGAGGTCCCTTTGCCCCTCCAATAAAATATTTGAGGCCCCCCCCCAATGTTGATGGGCATTGCCATTCAAACATTGCGTGTGTATTGCATCATGTGATCGATTATGCAACACCCCCATATTTTATTCAAGTTGGCACCCATGATCCTTATCACCTTTTGGGGGGGGTGTTGTTGTTGTTTAATCGTGTCCAACTCTTCGTGACCCCATGGACCAGAGCACGCCAGGCACTCCTGTCTTCCACTGCCTCCCGCAGTTTGGTCAAACTCATGCTGGTAGCTTCGAGAACACTGTCCAACCATCTTGTCCTCTGTCGTCCCCTTCTCCTTGTGCCCTCAATCTTACCCAGCACCAGGGTCTTTCCCAGGGAGTCTTCTCTTCTCATGAGGTGCCAAAGTACTCGAGCCTCAGCTTCAGGATCTGTCCTTCCAGTGAGCACTCAGGGCTGATTTCCTGAAGAATGGATAGGTTTGATCTTCTTGCAGTCCATGGGTCTCTCAAGAGTCTCCTCCAGCACCATCATTCAAAAGCATCCATTCTTCGGCGATCAGCCTTCTTTATGGTCCAGCTGTCACTTCCATACATCACTACTGGGAAAACCATAGCTTTAACTATACGGACCTTTGTTGGCAAGGTGATGTCTCTGCTTTTTAAGATGCTGGCGGGGGGGGGGGGGGATATCCCCTCAAACATTTCAGTGGGGAGGGGATAGGAGTTGGCTCCTATGCAGGGCCAGATTTAGGTTTGACAAGGCCCTAAGCTACTGAAGGTAATGGGGCCCTTTCTATGTCCAGCTGTCCTTTGTCAACAACAAATCGTCCCTGTTTTTTGTGTTGAATATGTGCTATATGGTAATTTATGGACCTTATAGGTATCTAAAGCCATTTGCACATAACAAAATATGTATTTTATCAAAGCAGTTGTTGAACTGAAATACAATTAAGAAGAAGTATATTAATATTGGAAATGTACATCCAGTTTTTTCCCCCTTTAAATTTTTTTGGGATCTTCAAAAGAGTGGGGCCCTAAGCTATAGCTTGTTTAGCTGTAAATCTGGCACTGCTCCTATGCATGCGCCAAGTGACGATCCGCCGGGCCCGGCTCGCTTTTGCCTCCGCCGAAGCGTGCAGAGGAAGAGGCGGAGCGGCGGCCGCGGGCTGATCTCTCCACCGGCAGCCCAGCCCCGGCGCAGTACAAGAGGCGAGCGCCAAGGCGGCGGGCGGGCTGCGCAGAATGAGCGGCGCGCAAGCGGGCGGGAGCGCAGGTCCGCTGGGCGCTCGTTCGGCGGCGCTGCGCGAGGGGCGGAGTCCTTTTCTGCAGTAGCGGCGCTCTTAGGCTCGGCTGGCTGGGCGCCGCCTTCGCCTCGGCAGCAGCTCTCCGGCGCGTATGGCGCTTCCCGGCGCGCCGCGGAGGAGCCCACCGAAGCAGGGCGCCATGCCGGGCGCGGAGCCTCGCTGAGTCCCCCGCGCAGCGCCCCGGGAGAGGCAGGAAAAGGAGCGAGCCAGCCCCGGGATGAGCGCCTCGGCTGCCACGGGCGTCTTCGTGTTGTCCCTCTCGGCCATTCCCGTCACTTACCTCTTCAACGCCTTGGCTGCCAGCGGCGGGTGAGCGAGAGCGGGGCGGTCGCGTTCCCACGTGCGCTCTGGTAGCGGGTTTGCGTGCACGTGTGAACGCGGTCTGGGAGGCAGAGGAGCGGGAGAGAGCTCCGGGAATGGTGGGCGCGGGCAGAGCAGGGGTGGTGAAGCCTATTCATGGCAGGGGGAGAGGCGAACTTTGTTCCACACAGACTAGAGTTCCGGAAAAGAAAGGAATATATTGGGGTCGGGGGTAGAGAAAGCTGCTTGTTTTTGGGGGGGCATTTCCCTCTCTCGACCCACCCAAGTTGCCATCTGTAGAAGCAATGGAAGCCTCTGCCTGTTATGGAGAAACTGTATTGTGACTTGCTGGGGTGTCTTGAGCGATCCAGCTGCATGCTTTCTGTCCCAAACAGCTAGTGCCTGCTTATGAGTAAATAAGTGCTTACGAGTAAATAGTGCAGGGGATCGGGCTGAATGGGCTTGCCCAGCTTATATCAGTGTATAACTTGAATGTAGAACTTCCAGCAGCTTCAATTGTAAGTTGAGGTTTCTTCCAGCACCCATTGTATTCATGAGTCAGAGATTGAGTAGCATGGCAGAGGAATCACTGGTGCCTTTAAGGTCCCCATTTGCACATCACGCAGGACGTACTCAGAATGTCATTAAGGCTGCAGTTCCAACTCCCTTGGCTTGGGAGCAAGTCCCATGGAATTCTGTAGGGCTTAGCAGATGTGGCTAGGGTTGCACTGTGAATCAGCCAAATCCTGGCCCCCTGATTACCATAGCAGCATGATACGATGTGTGTGGTGTACACACATTTACCTGTTTAGGTGTACACTAAAATAGCTTATGTGTGTACATCTAAAATATATATGTATTGAGTGAAGAGGTCATATTCCACATGCGTGAGAGTATCGCAGTAAAATGCCTTTCGTTCTTTTTCTGCTGTTTGCACTTAGGAACACATTTTTATTATTATTCTGCTGAGGGGTTTATAGGAAGGCAAATCTAAATGTGCATTAGAATTGTTTATGTGCTTGATGTGTTCCTTGTGATCGCACATTCACCTGGGTCAAGTGTGCTGTTGCGATAGAATTTTACACTGGCATCCGCACCAGTGTGGTGAAGGTGCGCAGAACTTTGCATTAACTGGAGTGTTGCAGCCTTAACAGCTTCTTCCAGTGAAGTCCTACACACACCTAACCTGCTTTTTGAGTGTTCAGAACTTTTTGGGTGTTAATGAAGCTGTAAGGGAGGACAGCTGTTGGAAGGGAGGAAGCTGCCCGATACTGAATCAGACTGCTGGTCCCTCTAGCTCAGGACTGTCCTCACTGACAGCTCCCCAAGACTTAAGCCAGAGGACATTCCCAGCCCTACCTAGAGATTGAACCCAGGACCTTCCATGTGCAAAGAAGAGGCTCCGCTGCTGACCTATTGCCCTCCATGCTTAGCTAACAAATGGACACCACATAACACCAGTCCTGAAAGACCTACTGTATTTTTCGCTCTATAAGACGCACCTTTTCCCTCCTAAAAAGTAAGGGGAAATGTGTGTACATCTTATGAAGAGAATGCAGGCTGCGTAACTATCCCAGAAGCCAGAACAGCAAGAGGGATCGCTGATTTCACTGCGCAGCAATCCCTCTTGCTGTTCTGACTTCGCTTCTCTGGAGAGGCGCTGTGCAGAAAGGGAAAACTGCGCAGCGCCCCTTCAGTGAAGCGGGAGGAAAAACGAAGCCCTTTCCATTTCTCCTCCCGCTTCGCTGAAGGGGCACTGTGCAGAGAGGGAGAGAATATTTTTTTTCTTGTTCTCCTCCTCTAAAACTAGGTGCGTCTTATGGTCGGGTGCGTCTTATAGAGCGAAAAATATGGTACATTGGCTCCCAGTACATTTCCTAGCACAATTCAAAGTGTTGGTGCTGACCTTTAAAGCCTCGGCCCAGTATACCTGAAGGAGCATCTCCACCCCCATCGTCCAGCCCAGACACTGAGGTCCAGCGCTGAGGGCCTTCTTGCGGTTCCCTCCCTGTGAAAAGTGAGGTTACAGGGAACCAGGCAGAGGGCCTTCTTGGTAGTGGCACCCGCCCTGTGGAACGCCCTCCCACTAGATGTCAAGGAAATAAACAACTACCTGACTTTTAGAATACATCTGAAGGCAGTCCTGTTTAGGGAAGTTTTATTGTTTGATATTTTATCATGTTTTTAATATTCTGTTGGGAGCTGCCCAGAGTGGCTGGGGAAACCCAGCCAGATGGCCGGGGTATAAATATATTATTATTATTATTATTATTATTATTATTATGGCCATAGAACATAGGGAATCAGAACCATTGTTGCATCTAGATCTCCACGCTAAATAGCAATGGCTCCCTGGGGTTTCAGACAGCTCTGCGTGGAGATGTGGGAGTCTGAAACTGGGACCTCCTGTCTGCAAAATGGATGCCATTCATTACTGCCCAATAGGTTGGGTTACAAACACTTCGGGTTACGTGTTTTCAGGGAAACCCGGAAGTACCGGAAAGGGTTACTTCCGGGTTTCGCTGTATGCGCAGAAGTGCTAAATCACGCTTCGCACATGTGCAGAAGAGCCAAATCGCATCACGCACATGCACAGACGCAGCACTGCAGGTTACGAACGCTGCGGGTTGCGGACGTGCCTCCGTCACGGATTACGTCCGCAACCCGAGGTTCCACTGTATTGCAGATGAGAGGCTGAGTGATGGTGGCATAACTTGGACAATCACTTGGACTATCACTGACCTGAGCCAGTGATTTCCTTGGCTTTTGTTGCAAACATAGCCAAGAGTTGGCCCCATGGAATGGAATGAGACTTCCTTCTGCCTGAATGTGCACAGGCCTGTAGTCGTAGCTGTCGTACCAGATACTATAGGTCATCTACGATTCCTGGCCATTAACTGAAGGCCCACCATTGTATTTGGTAGAAATGGCTGTGAACTCATAAAGTCCTGTGTCGGAAGTTTGAAAGTACTTTCCTGCTTTTGATCTCCCATTAAAGGAATTCAGATGTGTGCAAATGGCACGGGGAAGCTCAGTGGTGCCTCGGGTATCTCTGCGAAAACAATCACAAGCACCTGCATTTTTAAAAAGGCGATATCCTTTATTGCCAATGCATATTGAGAAATGCTCTCGAGTGATATGTTTTTTAACAATTAAAATGTGGAAGAAATATCTTCTCTGAACCCAGAGAAGAAGAAGCTGAAGCTGATCTTCTCAGTACCCAGCTGGAAAACATCCTTTCTACTGGTGTATAATTCTTGTTGACCCACTTCAAAATTATGACGGAGGCGGGAATCCTAACCCACTTACTTGGGAGTGAGTATCATCAAATTGTGTAGGGCTTACTTCTGAGTAGATGTGTTTAGAATTCTGCTGCAAGTCTGAAATTCTATATACACTTCCCTGGGAATAAGTTCATCTGAATTCAGTGGGGATTACTTCTGAGTAGACATGTGTAAAATAGATACGTGTGTATCCAGTGCTGTTTTTTCGGGGGTGGGGGACGCAGGGGGACGCATACCCCTAAACATTTTGTGAATCTTTGTACTTTGGTCCATTTACTGTATTTATTTTTCCCAATTTGAACTATAAAATGGTGATTTTCTTGAGCCAAAATGAGAGTACCCCTAAACATTTTTTTAAAGAAAAAAAGCACTGTGCGTATCTGTTGAACACACACACTCAGAAGTAGGACCTATTGAATTCAGTGGGGCTAAGTTCTACCACCACTGTTGGAGGCTGTATCCTTCTGCCGCTTACTGCGGATCACAAGTGGCTAGTATTCCCAGGAAAGTGGGTGAAATATTGCAGCCTTACTTGGCAATGAGCCCCATTAAACCCTGCTGAGTAAATATGCATAGGGTTGTGCCATCAAGGCATGCAGTGTGTTCAGACCCTCTAGGGGAAAATAACTCTCCTTTTCCTCCTTCCATAGTTTATTTTCCTGCCCAGCTATTTGATCCCTCTTGCCTGCTTCCTCTCTGTGTGAAAACATCTTGACTGTATGTTTTCAGCCTTCCTAGGTATTACAGATTCATTTGCATTAGAGACATCAATTTCAGTGGAGCCGTCAGAGGAGGGCCGAGTGGGCAAGCCGCGGAGAGATCCATTGGCTGCTTGCATAATCTGTGCTGGTATTTTTAGAAGCTGCGCTCCGCTGCCTGCAAGGGACATTGTGTGTAGAGAGAGAGGAACAACAATAGCTACCAGCTGCCTTCTCAAAAGGAAGAGCCAGGGGTTTCATTTATCAAAAGAAAACTGCCAGTGCCATGGCATGTTTTGAGGGCAAAGGCCTTCCGAGCTGGAAAGCTATGGGAGGAGGGCTGTAGCTAAGTGGTAGAGAATCTGCTTCACATGCAGGAGGTCGCAGGTTCAAATCCTGGCATCTCCAGGCAGGGCTGTGAAAGGCCCTCTGTCTAAAAATATGGAGAGCCATTGCCAGTCAGGTCGGGGTAGACAATGCTGAGCTAGAGGAAGCAGTGGTCTGACATGGTATAAGGCGGGTTCCAATATTTAACTGAAATCAGCCCTGTGTTCTATGCCATGAGAATGTGAATCTTTCTTTATATTTAGAAAAGGACGACAGCTCAGTGACAGAGCCCATTCTTTGCATGCAGAAGGTTTAAGATTTAAACCCTGGCATCGCCAAGTAGGGCTAGGAACGACCCTTGCTTGAAAGTTTGCAAAGCTGCTGCCAGCCCGTGTGGGCAGTATTGACCTGGGTGCACTAATGGTCTGCTTTTGGCATAAGGCAGCTTCCTATGTTCTTTAACCTCAGATAACCTCAGCCTAATCCTTTATATCCCTGCCTGATCACCAAGACCTTTGGGAGAGTCTCTATAGATGGTCCTTCGTGCTTCAGAGGTACAGCTCGTAACTACCAGAAGCCATGCATTCATTGTAGTGGGTCTGAGCCTGTGGGACCCCCTCCCAAACTGAGATTAGACAGGCACCCTCCTTGCTGAACTTTGGCACATGACTAAGACTAGTAATGTAAGCAAAGGCAGATGTTGTTATAGTTTCTCTTGCTAAAGACTATGGGGTCAAGTAGCAGGGCTCACACTCTGTTTTCATGACGGATTGTGGTAGATACTCGTATTTCCTTGATATGTGCAGTGTTCCTTCAAAGCGGAAAGGGTTTTGTTTTTGCGTAACTATCCGCTTTTGAAACGGTATTCTGTACATAAGGATCTGCAATTTGCAAACGACTTCTTGCGATGAGCTGACCAAACAGCATTACAAAGCTTGGGTTGCTCTAATGATGGTTTGGTGCACTGCTGACAAACTATAGTTTATGTAATTATGTAGCAAAATGTTTGCTTGTGACCAAGCCAGTGAAATGTAACAACTAAATCGAACAGAATAAGGCTGCTCCCTCCTTTCTGAAGACATGATTGCTTGTGTGATTAAACAAAACAAAAAAGGAAGTGAGATACAAAGTGTGTTTCCAAATGAGGTCTGAGAAATTCTTAACCACAGAATGCTAACCTGCATTTGCAGAAAGGAAGAATGCAAAATCAAGCAAACCTTCAAAGCAGTTTCTTACTTTATTATTACGTGTTAAAGCTGCAATATGATTGAATCTTGACAATGGAGAGAATGCCCTCGTTTCTAGGGCTTAAAAGACAAACATGGGCTCGTTGTGTTTGCATTTTGTGCTGGGGAAGATCAGTAGCAATGCTTAAGCTGCCTTGCAGGGATGTTTATTCGCTATTGCCTGTTTATGGTAATGGACTGGATGAGGTCCAATAAACTGAAACTCAACCCAGAGAAGACAGACACTGTTAGTAGGTGGTTCCTCCGCCTGGAAAAATGGTGCCAAACCAGTTCTGGATAGGGAGGCACAGGTGGAATGCCTTCTACCAACTAGTCACCCACCAATGCCCCTTTAGACAAGGATGATCTGGCTTCGGTAGTTGATGCTCAGAGATCGAGTTGTGTGCAATAGTATGCCATTTGTTTGATACAGTTGAGGAACCATTGAGATGATAGACTTCTCCCCTGGTTTTAATCTCTGCAGCTCCTGGGTCACTGTTGCAGTTGGATTGTTGATTCTGTTCTTAGTGGGTCTAGCAGCCCGATTCCTGGTGAAAAGAAAACCGCCCCGAGACCCACTGTTCTATGGTACGTATCGGTACCCTGCAACAGGAGTATCTCTAAGGGTAGAGTGTGGCTTTTACTAAGGTTTAATGCAGGGGTAGGCAACCTAAGGCCTGGGGGCCGGATGTGGCCCATTAGCCTTCTCAATCCGTCCTGCGGATGGTCTGGGGATCAGCGTATTTTTACATGAGTAGAATGTGTCCTTTTATTTAAAATGCATCTTTGGATTATTTGTGGGGCCTGCTTGGTGTTTTTACATGAGTAGAATGTGTGCTTTTATTTAAAATGCACCTCTGGGTTATTTGTGGGGCATAGGAATTCGATCATATTTTTTTTCAAAATATAGTCCGGCCCACCACATGGTCTGAGGGATGGTGGACCGGCCCATGGCTGAAAAATGCTGCTGACCCCTGGTTTAATGAGAAATTATGGTTTCCCACTGTAAGAACAAATTGCCTTGAGCCTTGGGGTTATGTGCTCCCTGCCATTCTCTTTTTGTGCCCACAAGAAGGAGAATGAAAACTTCTGGTTTCGATTTTAAAGCTAACCACACCAGCCTGTGATGTCTGAAGTTGGGGAATTGTGATTTGAGGTTATGGCAGAATCAGGCTGTGGTTTCAAAACCTGGATTGTTTAGATCAGTGGTTTTCAACCAGTGTGCCATGGCTATAAGCTCCACAGGTGAATGGTGCCTCTGGGGCTGGCCAGGGGGTGCTGGTTGCCAGGAACTGAGGCAGCCTCTGAGTAAGCAAGCAAGTAGGTGAGGGAGCCCAGCCAGCCAGTCCACCAACGCTTGCTGTTGGGAATGGATAGACAAGTCCTAGGCCTCTGTGGGGCAGTGTGAGCAGGCACCTCTCTTTGGTGCTTGGGGGGCAGCTCAGAGACCAGGCATGGCAGCGGCGGCTGCTGGGAGGACTCCCAAGGAGAGGGTAGTGGAGGTTGAGGGAACCCTCCACAAGGGAGGGTGTTTGAAAAGGGATGGGGGCCACCAGCTCTGCAGTCAAGGGGTGACATAACTGGGCTCCTGATCCCCAGAGGGGTGCCACAGAAATAATGTAGTTTTGTGGACTCAAAATGGTTGAAAACCTCTGGTTTAGACAGTTGCAAGGATGGGAACTTGCGGCCCTTCAGATGTTTTTGTTGGACTCCAACTCTCATCAGCCCCAGCCAACAAGGCCAGTGGTCAGGGATTATGAGAGCTGTAGTCTGCGACATCGGGAAGGCCACGGGTTTTCCATCTGTGCTCTAAACAAAAAAACAAACGGTCCCTGAGTCCAGATCACAGGGTACTGTGGTTAGTTTAAGATCAAAAGCTTCTCTGACTTTAAGAGTGGCTGGGGAAACCCAGCCAGATGGGAGGGGTATAAATAAATTATTATTATTATTAATTATTATTACAAGTTACAGGGAACCAGGCAGAGGGCCTTCTCGGTAGTGGCACCCGCCCTGTGGAACGCCCTCCCACCAGATGTCAAAGAGAAAGATAACTGCCAAACTTTTAGAAGACATCTGAAGGCAGCCCTGTTTAGGGAAGCTTTTAATGTTTAATAGGTTATTGTATTTTAGTGTTTTGTTGGAAGCCACCCAGAGTGGCTGGGGAAACCCAGCCAGATGGGTGGGGTATAAATAATAAATTATTATTATTATTATTAGGGCATGGGGGAAGAGTTGGGAGCGTATGAGTCTGAGGCTTACAGTGGGGAAGGCCAGCCTGGCTTGTGCCACCCTGGCTGTCTAGCTGAGCTTGACATTAGGAAAAAGACACTCTTACAAGTTATTAATGTGTTTATATTCCTCCTTCTCCTCTTGAACTGCCACAGTCTATGCCGTGTTTGCTTTCACCAGCATCGTGAACTTGATCATTGGGCTTGAGCATGACGGAATCATCGATGGATTCATGACCCATTACTTGAAAGAGGTAGGTGATGATCTCAAGGTAGGAGATCATCCGCTTGGCGGATGACTGGAGGGTGGTGAAGGCTACATGAGCCTTTATGGACGCCAACAAAGGCCGTTTTTAGTTCCTCCTAAATTCTCCACATCCTCCCTGAGTCCTGGAGAACTTAAAAGCTTGCTTCCTCTTTTGTGATATTTTCGTTCTCGGCAGCGCTTGGGTGCCATTCCTTCACAACAACCAAGACTTTTCTTTTTTTACTTGCAAGGATCCAGAGCAGAGGTGGGGAACCCCAGGCCAGATGTGGCCCTCTAGGCATCCCTGTCTGGCCCTCAGGGATCTCCCCAGCCCACAGTCCTCCCTGGCTCCTGCTGTGCACCCTCCTCATGTGCTTCTGCTTGCCTAGAAATTCCCCTTCCATTCCATTTCATCTCACTTTTAATTTTTATACCGCCTTTCTATACTACGGTACACACCAAAATAGATGGCAAAGATTGTCCACGTAACAATCTGATCCGACACAAAAAGTCACAGTAACTTAAAAATAAACAACTTATATCAAATAAAGCAATTTTCAATAATGCATTAGAATATAATAGTAAACAGTAAAATTAAATATCAGCAAATAGTAAACAGCTTGCACTTATAAATTACAGTAAAGAATTACTAAACTGTCAATCAATAAAAATAACGGCAAGTCACAATGCATAAATTGCCGCAAGACATACAAAAACCCATGTAAAAGGATCAAATTGAGAAACAAGGACACACAACCTATAACACATTTTTAAAAAAAAAATATGGTCTGGGAAAGGCTCCTAGGGCTGGAGGATAGGGCAAGGCAGGTGGAAAAAGGCATTGCATGATGAAAAGCAGAAAATCTCTCGTGCACATCTTGATTATTTCGCGTGGCTGGAATGTACCCTGCTATACTGAAGGGAATGTGGTCCTTGACCTGAAAAGGCTTCCCTACCCCCCTACTCCAGATTGCTGAAGGAAGCTTCATCCTGATATATTTATTTATGGATTTCAAAGAATTGCCGGTTGCCCTTCAGCAGATTCCAGAGGCGGTGAACCGCAAGTACAAATAATGAATCATTTATATCACAACTCACTAAAATCCGGCCTCATGTTGCCACAACACGGCTGCATCGGTCCTTTTAGAGATATTGCCCTGGTTTGGCTTCTGGGTTTTGTTTTCCTCAAGGATCAGCATGGCTACTTTTATTTTATTTTTAGCAATTGTCTTGTTTCTCAACTACTTCAGGCTCAGAAGCAGGTTCAGGATTGCAGCCTTAGAACTGCAAGATGTGGTGTGAACACCCACACTTAGGAGTGTCAGCAGTTTTGAAAAACACGCAAACACGCAATGTGTGAACTTGTATCAGGACCACAGCATTGCGGGATGCACAAACCGTATTCCCCGCTGTGCCACTTTATGCCATTTACAGCTATTAATTTGTTTGCGGCATTTGTTTGCCGCCACACAAAGTTCTCTGGGCAGCTCATGATAAATAACTAAAAACCAATTTAAATACAAATTACGACACAAAGGCATGAAACGCTAGAAAAACAAAACTTGCCGCACCCCCAAAGATCAGAGACAGATTTCCCTGATTGAGATTGCCTCTGCTCAAAAGTTATTTGCCTTCCAGCAGAAAGCTTAGTGGTATAATTGGGGTAGGGTTATTTTGGGCAGGACATTAATTACAAAAATGGCATGGGGGTGTTGGGGGAGAATAGTTAATCCCCCATCCAGTGTCACCCCGGCCTCTCCCTAATCCTCACTTCTTAAAAACACACACACACACACACACACACACACACACACACAGGTGATTCCAGTTGTAGATTTCCCATATCACACTCTGCTGGTTAATTACTAGGATACTGAACTCAGCAGAACTCTTTAGAATAAATATACCGTACTTTTCCGTGTATAAGACTAGGATTTTTCCTTTTAAAGTTATGTTAAAAATTGGGGGTCATCTTATACACAGGTAGTGTATCCCCCCATTTTCTCAATTTGGAGTCCCCCCCAAAAGGGGGCATCTTATACCCGAGGGTGTGTTATACACGGAAAAATACAGTACTTTGAATTGTGCTGTTGGACAATTAATTTCCTGCAGATTGGTCTGGTATATTTGGATTTGATCCTAACGCGGCACACTTTTCGTGATGGTTGATCTCGGATTGCAATTTTCTTACGCTGACGCTTGAAATGTGACCTCTAGAAAGAATGCTCATATCAGGATTGGATTAATGTTACCAGCTTTGTTCCTTTCCAAAGCTGCTTTTTATTTGTGCTGCCTCAGAAATGCTGTCTAATCTTATTTGTCACTGTGTTTTTGTTTTCCTTAGGGGGAACCTTATCTGAACACGGCCTACGGCCACGTGATCTGCTATTGGGATGGCTCTGTTCATTATCTGATGTATCTCTTGATGGTGGCAGCTATTGCATGGGAGTAAGTTGATTTAATGCTTGTGGGCAGCAAGATTGGCACAATTTACCTTTCACGGCTCTTTTCAAAATCACCTCACAGTATACTTAGCTTTACCTACAAACTGGGCATAAAATGACCTTTCCTTTTTTGGGTTTTTTTAGAAGTAGTTTAAGCTTAACCTGAAAATTCTAATCTTGGCACCTGTTTATTTATATATTTTAAAATTTCTATCCCACTTTTCCTCCAAAGAGCTCAAGGTGCCATACTTATATCTCCCCATGCCATTTTATTTTCACAACGACCCTGTGAGGTAGTTTCGGCTCAGAGAGAGAGTGTGACTGGCCCAAAGTCATCCAGGAAGCTTCACGGATGAGTGGGGATTTGAACCCTGTCCTTGTCTGACTGTCTAACCACTCCACCATATTGTCACAATAACGTGTGCCTCCAGTTGTGAAGATGGTGTATGAAACAGGTATTTCTGTTGCAGGGAAAGTTATCGGACTATTGGCTTATATTGGCTGGGGTCCATCATGATGAGCGTCATTGTCTTTGTGCCTGGAAACATTGTGGGTAAGGACATATCACTTAGTCCATTTTGCTTTGTGGAGAGCCACAGTTGGCCTGCTGTCAGAATTTTGATCTTGCAATAGATGCAAGAGCCCAAATGTCTCTGGTTGAATATCTGTACTGTTGCAATAACTGGAAAACTGGACATGGTCAACAGAAGCCAAACTCAAATCCATACCATTTATTTGTGCCTACACAACACTTAGGGATGCGGGTGGCACTGTGGGTTAAACCACAGAGCCTAGGACTTGCCGATCAGAAGGTCAGCGGTTCGAATCCCCGTGACGGGGTGAGCTCCCGTTGCTCAGTCCCTGCTCCTGCCAACCTAGCAGTTCAAAAGCACGTCAAAGTGCAGGTAGATAAATAGGTACCGCTCTGGCGGGAAGGTAAATGATGTTTCCGTGCGCTGCTGTAGTTCGCCAGAAGTGGCTTAGTCATGCTGGCCACATGACCTGGAAGCTGTACGCCGGCTCCCTCGGCCAATAAAGCAAGATGAGCACTGCAACCCCAGAGTCGGCCACGACTGGACCTAATGGTCAGGGGTCCCTTTACCTTTTTTACACAACACTTGGCATTTTATTTTGCGTATCCAAGGTGTTCATGGTAGGAATGTTACCTTTCTTTTTCCATTAGCACTTCAGCCTTGAAACAAAATTCACTTAGGCTTGTTCATATGTTTTCAAACTGCTTTACACAGAGCAGCCTTTTCACTCCTGGGAACACAGCTCCTGGGAAAAAGTAATGCTTGCTCAAGATCATTTAAAGATATAGCCTCTGTTTCCCAGCAGCAAGTCATTTGTATGTGTGACAGCAGAAAATGCTGCAGTGTAGAAGATTGTATCGAGAGAGATGTGTGTAAACTTGCAGGCAAAGATGATGAGGTGCTTCAGCGAAGGCGTGAGCTACATGCTGAACAGGTTGATCAAGCATTAGGTGCAATGTTAATTGAGCATGGAAGAAAACATTGGTCTGTTATGATCAAAGCTCAGAGGTCAACAAGGTGCAGAAAGAAAGCCTTGTAGGCTTGGCATCATCTTTGGTCTGTGTTGGTGCAAGCATTCCATAGAAGAAATTTAATGTGGTAATGGGAAGCTGTGGTTCTGAACTCCAATTCCCATCATTCCTGACCACTGGCCATGCTGGCTAGAGTTGATGGGATTTGGAGTCCCAACAACATCTAATGTGCAAGAGGTTCTTAAGTTGAATGAGATTTACCTCCAGGTACATGTGCACAGGATGGGACGCGGGTGGCGCTGTGGGTTAAACCACAGAGCCTAGGACTTGCTGATCAGAAGGTCAGTGGTTCGAATCCCCGCGGCGGGGTGAGCTCCTGTTGCTCTGCCCCAGCTCCTGCCAACCTAGCAGTTCGAAAGCATGTCAAAGTGCAAGTAGATAAATAGATACCGCTCCGGCGGGAAGGCAAACGGTGTTTCCGTGTGCTGCTCTGGTTCACCAGAAGTGGCTTAGTCATGCTGGCCACATGACCCGGAAGCTGTACGCTGGCTCCCTCGGCCAATAAAGCGAGATGAGCGCCGCAACCCCAGAGTCAGCCACGACTGGACCTAATGGTCAGGGGTCCCATTACCTTTACTTACATGTGCACAGGATTACACATGTGGGGTATATTTCTTGCTAGACATGCCTAGGCTCATGGTGTAAAATGCTTTATTGAAGGTCATAATTTTTAATTTTTTTGTGTTGTTACTTGCAGGCAAGTTTGGAACCAAAATTTGCCCTGCATCTTTATTAAGTATCCCATTTATCTGTCTCCCAATATGGGCTGGTTTCAAAATCTATAATCAGCCTCCCGTGATTGGTGACTGTCCAGCCAAGGTAATATTTATGTATGAATGTGTTTGTTGTTTCAATGATAAGAACCCGCTGAGGCAAAATCTGATGAATGTCAAAATGATATCTGATGTATGGCTGAGAAACAATTTATCCCGCCTAGGTTGCAAAAGCAATATTTGACATGGTTCCCTTTCGCTGGCCTTTGTATTCCATATTTTGTACTTGCCCTAGGGTGAAGATGAATCCCTCCCCCTGTACTATACTTAAAATCAAGGGTGAGGAACCTTTTCCAGCCTGAGGGCAACATTATAGCTGTCAACTTACAGATTTGAAAAAATAAGGGACCAGCAGCCTCAAAAATAAGGGATCAGCAGCCAAAAGAAGGGATCAATAATTACTTTGATAAAATACATATTTTGTTGCGTGCAAATGGCTTTAGATACCTATTAGGTCCATAAATTACCATATAGCATATATTCAACACAAAAAACAGCAACAATTTGTTGTTGACAAAGGACAGCTGGACATAGAAAGGGCCCCATTACCTTCAGTAGCTTATTTAAGGGACATCATCAATAAGGGACAGCAGCGGGACATGGCGCTAGGATAAGGGACTGTCCCGCCAAATAAGGGACGCTTGACAGCTATGGGCAACATACAACTTTTCAGGGGCTATGTGCTGGCAGAGGGTGAGGCCAGAGGCAGAAAGTGGGGGAAACAACTGATGTGACTTTTCACTATTGTACTGAAGGCCACATTCCAACCCTGCAAAAATCAAGGGTTTCTAAAGATGCATTTCTCCAGGCAAGCAAGAGGCATTTTCACCAGTGACATAGTGTTGGGGTGTGTGCACAGGGGCGGTTGCCTCAGGCACAAAATTGTTAGGGGCACAAAATTCAAACATCCGGTGCTGCCTCAATACAGCTGCACGCTTCCATTGCTGGGCTCTGTTGAAAACAGGTTCTCTGTGCAAACCAGGAAGTGACCTTTCAAGACAATGGAAGAACTCTTTTTTTTTATTATCTCTGTGGCTGCGATACTTATACCTACTCCAACTGTTTTGCTTCCTCCCACCCCCTCTCCGCATGGCCCTGGGTGCTGGCAAACCTCGCTATGCCACTGATGATCACAGCTCAAGAATGAATTTCATATAGGCCAGAGCACTTGAACAGGGCAAGGAGCAGTGCTATTGATGGGTCTTGTTTTAGGGATGAGGCATGGCTGGGATAGAGACCTAAGGGCTAGGAAGGGGCTGGATTTAACCTTGCCACGTGAACCTTTGCATCTGGTGCCTTCTTTTAATTACGTCAGGTGAGTCCCATTTGACCATGCACCAGCCAGACGTCACTCATATGAACCACATTTGGAGGGAGAGGGTGTCACTTGGGTGGAATCTAGACACATATAAAAAACGTTGTGAAATTGCTCTTTTAAAAAAAAGTTTTGAAAAATATATTGAATTTGCCATAGCTCACCATCACCATCTCGTGTCAGATCTGTTTAATGCACTTTAAAACACACTTAAGATGTTTTATTTGCAGCTGTATAGCTGAGTCCTTGGTGTAAGGAATGTTAAAATAAGTTTGCGATTTACTGAGCTGGGCTGGCCCCATCATTGGGCAGAATGAGGCAGTGGTCTTAGGCGGCGGATGTGGGGGGTTAGCAGTATCAGCCTTCCCCATAGCATTTCTTCTTAAGAATGCTCCTCAATAACTCCTCCCCCCCCCATTGGACACCAGAGCTATGTGTGCCACAGACTTGCCATACTCCCCAAGCTAGCTTGCTGGCCTCAGGTGTGCTGGAGAATACTATCCTGCTGCCATTGTTGAAACAGGATTCAGAGGTCCTTCTCTGTGTGTCTCATCTGAGAGAGGTACAGATTGTGGCAATGAGAGAAGGGGCCTTTTCTGTGCTGGCTCCTCATCTCCTCATGCTGTCCCCACAGAAACGCATCTGGTCCCAATACTGTCATCTTTTAGGTGCCGGGATAAGAAAAATCCTGTTTGCCCAGGCTTATTTATTTATTAATTAAAACCACTTAAAGTTGTACTGCAGTATGATTTATGGGCTATTTGTGGAGATCACCTCTTTGTGGGGTGTGCCAGGATTTGCTCATTCTCATCATCATCATCATCATTTATTTATACCCCGCCCATCTGGCTGGGTTTCCCCAGCCACTCTGGGTGGCTTCCAACAGAATATTAAAATACAATGACCTATTAAACATTAAACATTAAAAGCTTCCCTAAACAGGGCTGCCTTCAGATGCCTTCTAAAAGTTTCATGTTGTCGTTTGGTGAAATACCTTTATGTGTGGCATTCTATTCCGTGTATTTGTTTATAAAAGATTCAGAAACTCTTCGGTATCTATATTTTGTAAAGCTGCTTGTCGGTCTGTTATGCGTTTGGACCCCTCTTAAGACACGGTAACCAAATCTTGCATGATGGTTCCTGAGATCAAGGAGCAGGTTTGTGTCTCTGTGGATACAATCGGTTGCCATTTTGAATCAAGATGGCAGACTGAACCTTTCAAAACAGTGCTTATTTTAACCATTTATTTCAAAACTACAGATTTTGTGGGGGGTTTTAGAATTCCCAAGAAGCACCGGCTTTGAGTTTGCTAGTTTTATATATTTATAAATCTGTGGGAGACATTTTTTTTTGGTAGAAAGCAATGAATACACCATAATCTTTCTGTTTGGTTAGCCCCTGTACATGGAACAGGGGGGTGAGATAGGTCCCCTCTTGTCTATTGCCTCACAATCAGGCAGCATAATCTACCACACATTTATTTCCTTGTCTCTCAGATAAACACTCTGTTAATACCTTCATTGTTCCGTCACCACAGTAAGACTAGTGACACTGGTCTGAATTGTGGATTTTAAAACTGCTCCTGGGGAGTCGGCTTGCTAATGTGCTCTCTCAACAGATTTGATGGATGTGTTTTCGCTCTGCATTAAATTGAGCTTTTTTAGCCAATTATCAGCAAAAGTTCAGAGTCATGTCCACAGGAGGGCTCTAAATATAGAATCCCATCATTGATTCTGAGCAACTTTTTTTTAACCCAACAGTGAAATTGCTTTTCCTGTGGGAAAGCTGAACGCTTTATTCATCACTATGAATTATGACTTCTGTACAAGACAAGAATAGCCAAGAGAGTAGTGATAGCGGCTGTTAAAACTGCCAGGAAAGTGAAATCAGCCGAAGTGTTTTAGCAATGCATAGTCCCCAGATAAATTTTGTCAGTGCAAATCAGGGAAACTAAAACTGGAATTAGGCAAGTTTATCTGATTTCACACAGTAGGGATGGCGGACCTGGTAACCCCCTTTGTACGTTGGTTCATATTTCTTGGTTGCATTTCCATGCCATCAAGGCGCCCTAGGCGGTTTGCAGTTTTAAAATACGTAAACCAATGAACGATATAAAATGCAGTGACAGTGGTCCTCTCAGACCAACTGTGAGCTGATGGCAAAAGCTTCCTTGCTTCTGCATTTATGAGCTTTGCATGAACATCACGGTTTGGTTTGGTTTGGTTTGGTTTGGTGGGTCCTGTTATGGATCTTGAAGGGAACAGTTTGCTGGCCTTGGAGATAGATGATAATGAGGTAGACCGTAGCTCATTTTGGGGACTGGTAACATACAAAGATCGGCTCTTTTTTCAGCTCTCTAATGTGAGTTGTCTCTCAGCCCTTTTGTGCAAATAAGGAACTGGTCACCGGTAGCCAACTTCCCCCCTCATAGATCTCGCATTCTTCCTCTGTGTTTATACTACAAGCGTATTTCAGTGAGGGCTTTTTTCACTGGGCCCTGGATAACTTGCTGCCAAGTTATAAGCAAACTCTTTGTTTACACAGCAACATGCTGCTCAACACAAAAATGGTTTTCCTCAGTCTCTGCTGGTATAATTGTCCCTGCCGGGCCGCGTTTCTCTCATTTTCAAATGACTTTTCTTTCGAAAGAGCCTCGTCTCTCCCGTCTCAACCCCCCTGACTAATAATAATAATAATAATAATATTTATACCCCGCCCATCTGGGGAATCACACGGGGAATCTTGCAGTTCCACAATCAGATGGTTGGTAGATATTGGCCACAATAAGCTTGAGATTAGTAGCTGTTTGGGAGGGTGTGCGGGGTTTTTTTTAGATGTTGTTAGATTATCTTTAAATAGTTTTAAATATATGCAGTTGTTTTCTAAATTTTATTGCTTTAGTGCTTTGATGTCTGCTGCCCTGAGTTCCTTCAGCAGGAAGGGCAAGATAATAAAAATAAGATTGATTGATTGATTGAATGAATGAATAATGAAACTCTCCCAGAAATTGTGATGCTACCACCATTATTCCAGTTGGTATCTATATTGTGTGGGGAGGGCACTGTGGCTAAGGCCATTGGCTGTTTAATCGGTTCCTCTTGTATATGTTTGTGTAGGTGTGGGTGTCTTTACCTTGCATTTGATTAAATTAGAAATTTTAAGTTCTGTCCTTGTAGTTCTCTTGTTTACCTCAGGACAGAAGTCTTAAGGTGTTTTTTGGGCCAGTTTATATGACTTTGAAATTTTTGCATGTTGTTCCATAGAATGGTTAGTGACCCCTCTGGAAATCATATTGCAGGTGATTCGGGAAGTTCAGCAGAAGAGACTTCTGAGAAGACCTCTAGATTTGCTGTTGGCTGTATATTTCGTCTTTGCAACTGGATTTTGCCTTTTTAGGGGCCTGGTAAGTTGGTTGGTTTGGGTGTGGGTGTGTGAAAGAAAGCTTATTGGTGTCACCTGTTTAGTTTAGAAAATATACATATAAAGAATATGGAAAAGGGGGGTGCTATACAGTCATGGAAACCAAGGAGTGAGAGTCTACACCCCACCCCATTTCTTTACCCCCCAGAATCTGGAAGGTAAGTCCCCTACCCCATAGTAACTAGGCTTGGGGAAAACCCCCAAACCCCCAATTCCAGCCTAATGGTGGAGGGAGAGATTGTGTGCCCATGTATGGTTGTGCGTACCTCGATGTATACATAGCTTTGTGTGTGTGGTGCCCACAAGAACAGTTTATTCAGTTTGCAAATGTGCCCATTGTTTCAAAAAGCTTGGCAGCGCCTGGCCTGATCTGTTAAGTCTCTCCCCTCTTCTCACACAGTAATCTTAGGACTGATGCCATTGCTGACTTTATGGCATTACCGCCTATACACCTCCCCCCCTCCTCTGCCTTCTTTGCTTAACACCCAGCCTAGCGAATGGTCCTGGAGAACTCAAAAGCTTGCTCATTATTGTGCAACATTTTGGTCCTGCACAACATCCTCCATGTTGCAGACGGAGGCACCAAGGCTGAACCCAAATAGGCCTCAGGCTACCTACTGAGTTCATGGCAGAGGTTAGATTTGGCCTGCAAGGAGTTTTGGAAAAGGGCTGTATTTCAGTGGTAGAGCATCTGCTTTCCATCTGGAAGGTCCCTGGTTCAGTCCCCAGCATCTCCAGGTCGGGCCGTGTACATCACTTGCCTGAAACCCTGGGGAGTCACTGCCAACCAGTGCAGTCAGCAGTACGCTAGATGGGGCTTTACGTAAGGCGGTTTCCTTATGTTTCTATGAGTCATAGCCAAGTCTCTCTATCCACTCAGCTGCACTAGCGTAATGTCAGTGGGATTTCTCTTTAGGTTGCCTTGGATTGCCCGGCCTAACTTTGTGGGTAGCGCTGTGGTCTAAACCACTGAGCCTCTTGGGCTTGCAGATCAGAAGGTCGGCGGTTTGAATCCCCACGACGGGGTGCGCTCCTGTTGCTCTGTCCCAGCTCCTGCCAACCTAGCAGTTTGAAAGCACACCAGTGCACGCCTATGCCCTTTTAAAATGTGTTTTTTGGGGGGAGGGGTATTGGGTTGCTGTTTTTATTTTTATTAGGCATTTTGTGATTTTATATCTTGATTTTATTCTGTGAACTGCCCTGAGACCCCCAGGTACAGTGGTACCTCAGGTTACATACGCTTCAGGTTACAGACTCCGCTAACCCAGAAATAGTGCTTCAGGTTAAGAACTTTGCTTCAGGATGAGAACAGAAATTGTGCTCCGGCGGCGCGGCAGCAGCGGGAGGGCCCATTAGCTGAAGTGGTGCTTCAGGTTAAGAACAGTTTCAGGTTAAGTACGGACCTCTGGAACGAATTAAGTACTTAACCTGAGGTACCACTGCGGCAGGAAGGTAAATGGTGTTTCTGTGCACTCTGGCTTCCGTCATGGTGTTCCATTGCACCAGAAGTGGTTTAGTCATGCTTGGTCCTTTACCTTTTACCTTTTTTACCTAATGTCAATGGGATTTCTCTTCAGGTTGCCTTGGATTGCCCAGCCGAACTTTGCCGACTATACAGCCAACTTCATGAGCCGTATATCAAGGATCCTGTTGCCTATCCAAAACTTCAGGTACACGTTCCAAAATAAGAAACTATGCACACTGACTGGGCCGCTCTTGGTGTAAGAGAGAGAGAGAGAGAGAGAGAGAGAGAGAGAGAGAGAAGGTGCTTGTAACTAGGACTCGCTTTCTGGCCCCTACCTTTATTTTTCTAGTCAAATTTATGACCTGTTCCCTTTTGAAAAGTCTTTACTGGTTTCAGGGAGATTAGTCCCTTATAGTCAGAGGTTGGGCCTGCCTGTTTCCTTTGGTCAGTGCTGAACTGATGGAGATTTAAGTTCTTAAAAACCACTTTGCTGACTCAGGCTAGTCCAGCTTTCTGTTTTCAACATAAGAGAAGCTAACAAATGAGACAGGATGAAGTAGTCATCCCCTCTTGTTTCCAGCATCTAGTACTCAAAGAGGCAGGCTGCCTCTCTACATGGAAGCTAATCCTCGCTTCTGAACTTTTCAGTTTAGAGAGAAGGCGAATAAGAGGAGACAAGATAGAGGGGTGTAAAATTATGCATGGTGTAGAAAAAAAATGAAGTTTTTCTTACTTTCTTATAATAACTTGGGGGCATGTAGGAATCGGGGAGACTTTGATTCAGTTTAAGGTGAGGCTACCAAACCTGGACTTTCTGAAACAACACATGAACCCCGAAATTTGCACTTCTCTGAATTTTGCAGTGTAGTTCTCGAGCCAAGTAATGTGTAGAACAATTGCATATACCAGAACGAAGTGTGTATACAATGCATATATAAATGAAAATACCATGCATCTGTGCATCTGTCAGCCTGGGCTCCTGTGAGAGGAAGATTGGGATATTATTCTTCACCACCATCATTGTTTTAGATGCCTGCTGAAAGCTTTTTTTTTATTTTGGCAAGCCTACCTGGACATGCAATGTCGTTATCTATGTTTGTTTTAAAAGTTGTACAGATTTTTATCCGTTTCATTGAAAACAATCTTACATACTGTCAGGGCTGCCGCAGGTCTCAGCTCACAAAAGACCAACGCCAATTTCTTCTTATATACAAAAGTGTTTATTGGAGTTCATTGTTTGCTTCACATCCGAGGCGCGCAGCCCCACGTCTGTTACGCTTAGACCGTTGAAGTCCCCTCTGAGTCAGTCCCTCCCCTGCACCAGTTTAAGAGGCTTGCGCTGCTCCGCCTCTTCCTCTCTTTCCTTTTCCGCAGGGTCTTCCTGCCCGCTGGGGTTTCGCCCCTCCTGGATTCCCCTGACGCGGAATCCCCAGCTTGCTCTTCCCCCCTCCTGCGGGCTTTGGGACCTGGCTCCTCCTCTGGGCTCCCTGTACTTCCGCGCGCCTCCACATTTGAACTTGGCGCGCGCGCCCAACCTCTAACCTTCCTTTTGACAGTTACACTACTCCCTTCACTACTCCCCTCCCCTTCCGGGAGGGTGGCTTGCTCCGCCCTCCCTCCCTTCTCTGCTGCCGGAGCGGCGTCCCCGGATACACTGGAACCTCCCCCCCCTTCGCTGCACTCTGGCGGGGCGGCTGGTCCTGCCGCCCAGCTGCCACTTTGGGATCCCCGCTGGCCCCCTGCTCCTGACACGTCCCCCTGGGGCTCCCTGGCCTTGACCACCGGCGCCCCTTCTGGGAATCCTCTGATTCGCTGGAAAGACTCATGGAATCTCTTGAGTCATTGTCATCCTCTTCCTCGCTGTCCTGGGATTCATCCCCATCGCTCTCCATCTCCTGCCTACCCTGTGCCTCTGTCCCTGAACCCCTGACACATACACTTGCTTTTTTAACTCTTTTGTGGATTTTAACAGTGTTTTGTTGTTCATTTCTTGTGTATGCTGCTTAGAGTTTTATGACTAAGCAGTAAGCTTTAGAGATCTTGCTAAATAAATGAACTATTGTTGCCTTTTCTTCTAATGCACAGATGCTGGCGTACCTGTTCTACTCTGTACCATACTATATAATCTCACTGTATGGTTTGCTTGTTCCTGGCTGCAGCTGGATGACTGATTTAACCCTTATACATGCTGGAGGACTAGCCCAGGTATATTTCTTACAGATCTGGGTTTCTCAATATTACTGTACAGCAGAATTTAAATATTATATAGTGCAGGGCTCAGCAAAGTTTTGTGGATTGGGCCAGTTCACGGTCCCGCAGACACCACGGTGGACTGGAGTGCGTGCGCATGCATGCGCAAACGCTATTTCCGGCGCGCCTTCCAGCATGGAGGAGGTGTGCGTAGCTTCCCATTGGCTGCAGGAGCTTCCTGCAGCCAATGGGAAGCTGGCCAGCATCGCAGAAGGCGGTCCCTGCTCTGCTCCACGCTGGTTTAGTGCTGAGCACGGGAGCTGACCAAGCCGGTGGCAGGAGTCCCTAAGCAGGCAGCAGAAGTCCATGAGCCAGTTAAACAACCCCCATGGGCTGCTTGTGGCCCATGGGCCTTAGGTTGCCGACCCCTGATATAGTGGATGACCAACTGAGAGAGCCACTGCGTAGCCAGACAATTGGTGCCCCGAAAGCTTTGGAGAGTTGGAAAACCATACCGAATGTGAGCTTCTAATCCCTTCCCTCCAATCATTTTCACCATATTTGCAGTCCTGTTTTCAAACCGAATCTGCAGTCATCAGGAAGACTAGAATTTTCTTCTTCTTAAAATGGAAACCAGAATTCTCAGAATAATAGCCAGAAGCACAAAATTAATATCATGTTGCTCATCCCTGTTTGATCAGCGAACTTTGCCCATACCTTTCCGACTAGAACTTCAAAGCTTACTTTCCCCCTCTCATCATTGTTCACACAAATATATTCATTTCTCCTGTCTGTATTATGCACATTAAAACATCTGCAATGTGCACTTGTTGCTGTCCAAAGGACATAATGTTCTGAGCTCGGTGACATTGTGGCCCATAGTCTCTGCTGATTTATTGAAGTAAATAGAGAAGAAAACATCCCTTGTTCTATAACCCTGAGCATGGCTTTTCCTTTTTTCAGCCGCGCAACATAATTTAGAAAAGGACTCCAAAAATCGAAGGAATTAAAATATAGCTGTTTTATAGCAACAGCCTGTTGGTCTCAAGCTCGCTCCCATGCTCCTGACAGTTGTTAAATGCTTACTTTTTTCAAATTCTCTTTTAATAGATGAGTGAGGGTTTTTTAAAAAAAAAATAATGCAAGAAGAACTTCCCTTAAAAACGAAAACAGTTACCGTATTTTTCGCTCCGTAAGGCGCACCTGACCATAAGGCGCACCTACTTTTTTGGGGGGGGGGTATTCAAGAAAAAAAATATTAATTAAAGGGAGTGCTGAGCAGAGCCTGTCTGCATCCCAGGCTCTGCTCAGCGCTCCCTTTCATGAGCCGCGCGGAGCACTTGCAGGCTTTTCCCCGAGGAGTGATGGGCTGCCCTTCTCCCTCCTCGGGGAAAAGCACCTAAGAGCTACACACACACACTCCGCGCAGCTCTTTAAAGGGAGCACGGCTCTTGGGGGCTTTTGCAGGAGGTGGGTGAAGTGAGAGAGCCCTTGCTCTGTCCCTTCCCCCACCTCCCGCAAAAGCCAGGGATAGCTGCACGGAGCCTCCCCAGGGCTTGTCGGGGCTGGCGGGGGAAGCCCGGGTCCCCCCCCCAGGCCCAGGGACCACACACTCGCTCCATAAGACGCACAGACATTTCCCCTTAGATTTTAAGAGGAAAAAAGTGCGTCTTATGGAGTGAAAAATACGGTACCATGCAGGTCTTGGGTGCTTGGTGGACAGCCTTCCTTTTAATAAAAGCCCAGGGGGAGATATCTAAAGAAGTCTTCCCATGGGGCTTTTTCAGATGTAGAAGGGCCAGACAGGCAAGGAGGCTGCAGAAGGCCACATGTTATTGACAGCAGACACAAATTTTCTCAAAAGGTACAGAGCGTTTAAGCGTCTTTCCCAGCTGCACTGTCCTCCTCTGACCTTTCTCCCTATGACTTCACGCGACACAGACCAACGCTTGGCAACACCCGGTAAACAGAACTGGCCCATCTCTTCCTTAAATGTTAAGCTTCTGGTGCAGCCTGAACCCCCATATCTCTCCCTCTTGCAAAAGCAGAAAACAAAAATAAAAAGCTCATAAATTTGGGCATGGGGTTTTTTAAAACGCAAATGAGCTGTCACTTGCAAAAGGGGATAACAGATGGGAGACAAAAGACAAGCCACAATTCCGAGTGCGCCACTATTGCTTCTATCTTTAAATGTTTGTTTATGCTAAAAATATTCGTTGGCTCAACAATCTCTTCTCTGTACATAACCTTAGATGTAAATTTGTTCTGCACTCCAGAACAGTCCCAGGGGAGTCTACCCAAAAGCTCCCACCCACCTACTATGCAGACAAGGGAGCAAAAACCTGCTGCTCAGTCCCTAGAAAAGAAAAACAAACCACTCTTTTCCTGTCTGCCCTGACATTTAAAGTAGGGTGGGCCAGATCCTGAGTACTCTGGTGACGTTATACAGGATTTGGGCCGAGGCTGAAAGCAGGAAGCCTGTGAACCCTAATTGTTAAGTCAGGAAGGGAAAAGTCAGGAAAGTGGAATGTCTTCAAGATTCTGATTACCCAAATGGCGTTTCAAGTGCCCATTGTGCGTAGACCTTGATTTTGGCTGTGATTTGGTGGTGGTGTTTTTAAAATCAAAAACAAGAAGAAAAGCCAAATTCTGTGGCTTGAATAGAGTAGCAACTTTGTGCATATCTACATATCCATGCAACATTCTGTTTCTGCTAGCGATGAAAGCTGAGCAGGAAGCTATGTAATGCTAAAGCCTTTCCCCCTGCCTTTGTAAACCTTATGTGACCTCTCTCTAGATTGTATGATAGCCCTATTCAGAGAGATTAGGAAACATGACTAACTTAGGTCCATATTTCAATGGGTCTACTCTGGGTAAACTTTAGTTGGATACAGCACCCCCCCCCGCCCCCAATCACCAGTCATTCATACCTTTCTTGAGAACTAGAAACCTTTTGGAAGTGGTTATTGAGAGTTGTCAAAATACTGAATACTTTATCCTGTGTCAGATACTCTGGCAAGGTAGCGCCTTGACCTTTGACATTAAAATTTATTTTATCATCTCTCAGTAAAAAAGGTAAAGGGACCCCTGACCATTAGGTCAAATTGTGACCGACTGTGGGGTTGTGGCGCTAATCTCGCTTTATTGGCCAAGGAAGCCAGCACACAGCTTCTGGGTCATGTGGCCAGCATGACTAAGCCGCTTCTGGCAAACCAGAGCAGTGCACGGAAACGCCGTTTACCTTCCTGCTGGAGTGGTACCTATTTATCTACTTGCACTTTGACGTGCTTTCGAACTGCTAGGTTGGCAGGAGCAGGGACCGAGCAACGAGCGCTCGCCCCGTCGCAGGGATTCGAACCACCGACCTTCTGATCGGCAAGTCCTAAGCTCTGTGGTTTAACCCACAGCGCCACCTGCGTCCCTTATCATCTCTCAGTAGCCTATTCTAAATCTCAAGTCTGTTGTATACAAGGCAGAAGAAACTAGGGGATTCTCTATTCTTCAGTAGTGGAGCAGTGGCAGACTTTGGTCTTTCAAGTTTCAGTGGTGCCCTGTGCGAGACCAAAATTTGCTGCCCCTCCACCTCTTGCCTTTGGTTCTGCTACATCATAGCTACGGCATCTTGCAGCACCCCATCAGCTCGGCACCCAGTGAGGGGGGACTGTTCACATTCCCCTAAGTAGAGATAGTAGAGGTTTTTTTTTGGGGGGGGGAACCAAGATGTTCAATTTATGGCTGCAATATTGAATCAGTTAATCAGGCGGATGAATCAGTTTGAATCCTTACTAACCAAATAAAAAGTGGCTTTGATTAACTGTGCAGCAGCTTTTTTTTAAAAAAGTTGCTAATTAGACTTAAGTACAGTGGTATCTCCGGTTGCGGACGGGATCCGTTCTGGAGCTCCAGTTAGATCCTGAGGTTTTCGCTATTGGAGGTGCTTGTTCTGCGCATGCATGCAGCGTGGTAGAGCGCTTCTACGCATGCGTGCATGGCGAAACCCGGAAAAATGCTTCCAGGTTTGTTGCATTCGCATCTTGAAATTTACTTAACCAGAGGGTTACGTAATGTGAGGTACTCCAGTGGTACCTCAGGTTACAGACGCTTCAGGTTACAGACTCCACTAACCCAGAAATAGTACCTCAGGTTAAGAACTTTACTTCAGGATGAGAACAGAAATCATGCAGCGGCAGCGGGAGGCCCTATTAGCTAAAGTGGTACCTTAGGTTAAGAACAGTTTCAGGTTAAGAACGGACCTCTGGAACGAATTAAGTTCTTAGCCCGAGGTACCACATGCAAAAACCATAGGTGGGGAATTACATCTTAGAAAGGGGTGTTCCCGCTTTCCCTCTTCTGATAGGGGAAGCTGTGTGTGCGTTAGCTGAAAAAGGAAGGAAGCCAGGCTTTTTACAGGAACTGGCTTATTTTACAGGAACTGGCTCTTCAGGAATTGGCTTATTTGGGTAAAATCCAAAGCATGCCGATTTGGTCACAGAATGGCTTTTGATCAAGCAGAAACGTCTATTGTTACAGGGCAAAGGGAGGCAATTTTTGTGGGTTCTCTCTTCCCAGCAGCTGCCTTCTAAATACTCCGGAGAGAATACTGTTGATATGCCCATTCAAAGCTATGCCTCATCCTTACTCTTCTCTCTATATCCACAGGCTCAGTTTTCACACATTGGGGCTTCTCTACATGCTAGAACACCTTACATCTACAGAGTCCCCGAAGAAGGAAATATGTGGTTTCTTCTACTCAATGTAACATATGGAGTCGTTCCTCAGCTGTTGGCTTATAGGTGCGTCCACAGTCCAGAATTTTTCTTAAAGGCCAAGCCAGAAGACAAGACTGAGTAGGGAGACTGGAGTGACGTCTTCAGTTTTGTGAAACTGGACTGCTGTTACAAACTCAGAGAGCAAGGAAGGGTCTTGCAATACCTGGAAGGCTTAACACATTTATTAAGGTAGAGGTTTTCATGGACCACAGTCCATTTCAGCCGTAGTCCATTTTACATCTGACCAAGTTGACTGCAGTCATCAAAAGCTTATGCCATAATAAATCTGTGAAGTCGTTAAGGTGCCACACGACTCTTCGCTGTTTTTGGTGCAAAAAGACTGGATATAGCTACTCCTTTGCAACTCTACAAGGTTTGTCTGCAAAGACACGTCAGCTCGGTATTATGTACTGTTGCAGGAAATAAAAGACTACTTCTGTCTTTCGTAGCGCTTCTTGAAAGCTTGCTTTCATGGCATTTTTATTTATTTACAAATATCTATAGGCTGCCCTTAAGAGCAGAACTCTCTCAAGGCGGCTTACACCATAAGGACACTGTCTGGATAGGAGTTAGAACTAAAGGAAGTTAAAATCAAGATAGTTCACCACAAGGGATGTAAGAAGGCATCGTCTGTAGTTCCACTGTTTCATCCTCATATGCAGCAGAGTTTCTGTTCCACTGCAGTTCATCTTATGCCAACAGATATGTTGTTCGTCTTGATTTCCACTGTGGCAAAGTCATGTAACTTACCTAAGTTATATCATCATTACATTATTCCACCCCGTTCATTTCAAAGTGAAGGAATCACAGTGCAGGTTTTATTTGGGGGGGGGGGGTTATAATCAGTTATGTATAGTTTTGCAGCATCAACAGCAGTGACTACTGATCACACTTGCCGGACTGATTTCCAGTTTGCACATGGATGCATAAGCAAATGTTGGCAATTTTTTGCTTCTGTTTCTGTTCTGTTCTCTGACATTTTTATTCACCGTTGAATTTAACACGAGTAATTGGTGAACTGAAACTTATTTGGCATGGAAATCTCTGGTCCCTTTGGTCATTTTTTAGCACGTCTCGGGCTCTTCTGCACAATGGTGGAGCTGGAGCTGATTGTTGCAGTGCAAATTGTACCAGGTTGCAGAAGTTCACATATCTCTGCTTCAGTATAGTGAAGGTAAAAAAAAGCTGCTGCCAGAAATTCTACAAATCCTATATTAATAGTTGCCTGTTGCCCTCCACTTTACAAAAGACCACTTTACAAAAGACAAAAGTGGTTTTTATTTAATACTTGTTTACAATTCAGATGTACTATCTATCCCCAGAAGAGATTGCCATGGATTCCTTCAGATGGCTGCCCTAGTCTCCTGCTCCCTTAAACCATGACACCCGTTTTTCTTTGCTGTCCCTGTTCTTTGGACTTCTCTCAGAGTGCCTGCAGGGTATTGCCTCTCTCTGCTTTTTCAAAGTCCTCAAAACACATCTCCACCCTGCCATCCCCCACAAAAACTTTGGCTTTAAACTGTTACAGTCCGATTAAATGCATCGTCCAGCTGAGGCTGCTTTGGGTGGTTAGGAGAAGGTACTAAACCTTCCTCTACCCCAGAAACTTATTTTTCCTCTCCTGGTGGGAGAAAAACTATTCTCCTTGGTGAATAGCAAAGCATAGGTGTTGAAGCATGCCAAACTTTAAATTGGGGTGGGCAATCTTTTTCAGATCCAGGGTTGTATTCCCTTGTGGGCAACCTTCCAGGGGCCACATTCCAGTGCAGGTGGGGCCAGAGGCAAAAGCAGGCAGGGAAAGGGATGTAAATTCCCCATTTGTGCCATAGTGCCAGGAGCGAGCCAGCAATAAATCACACACAGTAACTGATTGATTAGAAGAGACAGGATCTGTCCAGAAATGCCAGGCCTAATGAGCACAGCATCTCTTCTTTGGTAGGTCTTGCCTCTGTGAGGCAGTTGTGGAGACTGAAGGTCCCCACCTTCCCACAGCTGCCTAAGTCTCCTCTCCAGGGTTACCCCCAAGCAATCTGAGACTATGCTGGTGTGCCTGCCTTTGCTCCTCTTGCTTCATGCCTCTCCTGGTTCTGGGAGACCAGTGGGGAAGGGAGCTTGTGACAGCAGGACAGGGAGACACCCATGCCTCTTCACCAGCCTGATTCATCTCTGCTTTTTGCCCACTAAACACTGTTACCTCTTCAGCTTTTGACACCTCCTCTTCCCCCTCTTCTCCCTCTGACCACTCATTGTGGTCCCACCACCAACCCCAGGGCTCTGAGCCTTCTTCCCTTGGGAGCTACCTTGCTGGTTCCTCCCCTGTTCCTTTGTGTCCAGCTTGTCCACGACACATGGGTTAGCTTTATACATACGCATGTCTCTCCAAGGATATATTCCAGCCACGTAGAAGCATTAGAGGAGGGTATGACCTGGAGGCCTGCATTTGATCCCTCGTCTCAGAGTCATCTCCCCGCTTTAAATGGTCCTATATGTCCCCAGCCTTCCCATGAGTTTCCAAGCAATCCATGGACTCTTGCAGATACCATCATAATTGCTTTAAACCTCAGTCTACACCCCTGGCTGAAATGAAACCTGAATATGTGTTTGGCTGCCTCTGCTGATAGCTGCCACTCGCTCCCTTAAGTTGCTCCTTCCTTACCTTTGTTCTCCTCTTCTCCACTGTCACAAACAGATTTGCAACCTGATCGGGGTCCTGTTTTTTCCCCTCATTGTTGATACGCGCCGCTACAAAGCGCCGTGTAAAAAAGGTGCTGCGATGTGAAAGGATAATAAAACGAGCAGCGACAGGTGCTGCAGTGAGCGACACGATGGAAGTGGGACGGCACGGCAGTGGTTCTTGAACAAATGCACCTGACACTGAATGCAACTTGCAAATGAGGGAGCAAAAGAACTGGGTTGGGAGCAGTGGACAGAGAGAGTAGCAAGTCGTGGTTTAGTCAGAGGATGCATTCAGTTCTCAGTTGCAGCACTTCTTTGCAAGCTTTTGCAGTTCTTAATAAGGTGCTTGCAACTATGTAAATGCAGGGCTCGCTTACAAATGGGCAGCAGATCTAAGAGTTGCTGCAAAGGCCTCATAAGCCCTGGATTTGGCAAGCACAAGTTTTGACAGTTCTTGCAGAGGGCTAAAGAACTGCTGGAACAAGGAAATGACTGGCAGTGTAAAGCTTTAAAGTTGCTGCTCACAAATCAGCTATGAATCCCTCTGCTTGCGCCTCCAGAATTGTAAGCTCAGCACTTCGTGAAATGAAGGCAACAGACTGTGTGTTTTTATGTGTTCAATTGTCACTTTGTTGTTGTTTCCAGGATACCCCTTATGCCACTCACAAGCAGCTGCTGAAATAGAGACGGACAAACCTTTGGTTTCTCTCGTTTATCATTTTTTTTCAGACTTGGGCTCAGATCACCACTTCTCTGCATGCCTTTTTTTTTTTAAAGTCTTCATTAAGATTCGCCAACATGGTAGTGCAAGTCTCTCCAGATACGTATACACACACTGTTGTATTTGATTTTGCCTGATTTTCGCAATTTTCCTAATGCAATGCATGTTGTATGTTGTTTTCACAAACATACGTGTTTTTACACACACTTTCCTCATTTTTGGCAGGAGAACTGCATCACAAAATTCAGAGAAGTGCGAATTTTGAAGCGTAAGCTGTGTTTTTCGGTTCACATGTGGAAAGCGAGAATTCAGTAGGCTTGCCTTAAAATCCAAACTGCACTGGATTTCTCCATCCCTATGTTGAAAGCAGCATCTGTCTTGAGCCCTTTCCTACTGTGTACAGTGGTACCTCGGGTTACATACCCTTCAGGTTACATACGCTTCAGGTTACAGACTCCGCTAACCCAGAAATAGTACCTCGGGTTAAGAACTTTGCTTCAGGATGAGAACAGAAATTGTGCTCCGGTGGCGCGGCAGCAGCAGGAAGCCCCATAGGCTAAAGTGGTGCTTCAGGTTAAGAACAGTTTCAGGTTAAGAACGGACCTCCGGAATGAATTAAGTACTTAACCCGAGGTACCACTGTACGTCTCTCACCCCATGCCATGATTCCATCCTGCTACATGCCCAGCGCTGATTGAGGAAGATGCCTGTTTTGGTGAAGTTTGTAAATTATCTTACACAGGAAGAAAAAACGCTGTAGGGTTTATAGTGGCAGACCTTCAGTTTCACCCCAGCCAGATTGTATTACAGAACTGCAGTTTCCTCTTCCCTTAGTTTCATCATCAGCTCCCTTCCACCATTTCCTGCTCCTTGTTATTTAGAAAGTCATTTATGAATGACATTGAATTTGAGGCAAGCAGTGAGTTGGCCAAGTTGGCCGATGATGCCAGATTGTTCAAGGCGCTTTAAACGAAAAGGATGTGCCCAAACTGGGTGAACAACGGGCAATAAAATGGCAAATGCCATTCAACGTAAGCAAGTGACGCACATTGGTGCAAAAATACCCCCAACCACCCTTATTTCGCGTGTACGTTGATGAGGTTTGAGCTGGCGGTGACTGACCACGAAAAGGACCTTGGAGTCATGGTGAGCAGCTCAAAGAAAACGTCAACTCTGCACTCGGAAGTTTAAGGCAAATTCCACAACAAGGATCATTAGGAAAGGGGTTGCGACTGAAACGAGATTGAATAAATCTATGGTGCAATCATATCTGGAGTACAGTACAGTGGTACCTCGGGTTACATATGCTTCAGGTTACATACGCTTCAGGTTACAGACTCCGCTAACCCAGAAATAGTACCTTGGGTTAAGAACTTTGCTTCAGGATGAGAACACAAATCGCGCAGCGGCAGTGGGAGGCCCCATTAGCTAAAGTGGTGCTTCAGGTTAAGAACAGTTTCAGGTTAAGAACGGACCTCCGGAACGAATTAAGTACTTAACCCAAGGTACTGAGTTCAACTGGTTTTCACAGCTCAAAAAGAATACTATAGAGCTCGGAAAGTTTCAGAAATGGGCAAGCAAACTTACCCCTATGAGTAAAGGTTACACCATTTAAGAGAGGCTCGGAGATATAGATGGAGGATAAGTAACCAGGCGTTGAAAGGTTACTAGGCATGAAGGCAGCGTTCTACCTCCTCCAGTATTAGAAGCTGTAAGGCTCTGAATGCCAGTTGTTGGGGAGTTGAAATGGGGTGTCTTGTCCTGCCTATGGGCTTCCCACAGGCCTCTTGTTGGCTGCTGTGGGGTCTCTGGTCTGCTCTAGAAGGGCTTTGCTAATGCTCTTTCCCCTCCACCATTATCCGAGGGATTGCAAGAAGCTGTCCTTTTATTTCTGAAGTTGCAAAGTATGACATTTCCTGATGTCAGGTTCCTACATGGCCATAGTGTGCAGGTTTTCCACACGTGGTAGAACGTGAATCCTCTGGCACCAGGCATCAAACTTTAAAATGAACTGTGTGCGAGTACCTGTACCTGGACTAGCCCCCATTCCCTGGATAACGGGTGGCGCTGTGATCTAAACCACTCAGCCTCTTGGGCTTGCCGATCAGAAGGTCGGCGGTTCAAATCCCCGCGACGGGGTGAACTCCTGTTGCTCGGTCCCAGCTCTTGCCAACGTAGCAGTTCGAAAGCACACCAGTGCAAGTAGATAAATAGGTACCGCTTTGGCGGAAAGGTAAACGACGTTTCCATGCACTCTGGCTTCCCTCAAGGTGTCCCAGTGCACCAGAAGCGGTTTAGTCATGCTGGCCACATGACCTGGAAAGCTTTCTGTGGACCAACGCTGGCTCCCTCAGCCTGAAAGCGAGATGAGCGCTGCAACCCCATAGTCACCTTTGACTGGACTTAACCGTCCAGGGGTCCTTCACCTTTACCTTTTACTAGCCCCCATTCCCTGGACCGCTCATTTACCACACTTAGCATATTGAGGCATGCAAGTGATTATGGCAGGGTCAGCTAACCTTTTCAGCAGGGGGCTGGTCCTCTGTCCCTCAGACCTTGTGGGGGACCGGACTATATTTTTTTTTGGGGGGGGGAATGAACAAATTCCTCTGCCCCACAAATAACCCAGAGGTGCATTTTTAAATAAAAGGACACATTCTACTCATGTAAAAACACGCTGATTCCCAGACCATCCATGGGCCAGATTTAGAAGGCGATTGGGCCGGATCCGGCCCCTAGTTTGCCTACCCATGGATTACGGGATGCATCCAATACAGCGCTAAGTTGAGGTCACGTGGTGGTTTATCTGTTCTGTTGCAGAAATGTTCTGTGCTAGTGGGGTATGCTTGTGCAAAGGAATATAGGAGGAGGTTGCTGGCGACTTCGCTGCACCACAAAGGGCGCAATCTGTTGCACAACTTTGGATTCCTCAGGTGTGCAATGTTAAAACTCTCCCTTTGCGCTGGTGGACATAGAACGTTGGACTACCGCCATTATGTGACAGGTGAGACTTCTTTTATATGTACAGCATGTGATTCTCTGAGCTTTCGATGAACACGGAGTCTCGTAAGTAAGAAAAGCAAAGGGACAGAAACAAGAAAGCTTTCCCTGTATTGGTGCTCTTATTAGAACGAACTCAACGATAACAGAATGCTTTGCTTTAATACTCGAGTTACATGAATACCTCACATTATTACACGTATGAAGCCAAATACGACGCTAACTTAGCTGCTTACAACCTCAAACCTTACTCCTGATACACATTCCAATAAATTTATTCTGTAAAAACAATAGTTTTTTGTGGTTTTTTTTCTTGTGTTCCCCCCCTCCCCATGATTTTTTATTTTTTTTGTACAGTAAACTTTTCAACTACAAACCTTGAGTACGCAAAAGATGTTCCAAGGACAAGCATAACAAGGATTGATAAAAACTGGACTAAACCCATATGTTTTCACAATAAAGGCTGGCATTGAAAAATAAATAAAATTCTCTATTCTCACAATAGCAACAATAATGTACACAGAATAATGGATTTTGGAATGCTTACTTACTAGTCTAGATCTAGTTTTGAAAGTAGGGAAAAAAACAGAAAAATGATGGCAGGATCTTTTCTTTCTTTCTTTCTTTTCCTTTTTAAGCCTTTCAGGTTGGGTTCTGCTTTTCAATTTGATGTTTTGGTTTATTTCCCCATAGGGTAATTATTATTTTTGTTTTAAAAAAAACACTATCAGGCGCTTAAAAATGGAAGGCATCCGAAAAAGCTCAAATTTGCTTTGGGGTTTTGAAAAAAAGCTCCTTGTATTCATCTAAAGAAACACAAAAGACTTTCACTAACTCCACATATAAGAACTAAGTCAGAGAAATTTACGTTACATCATGACCTTGAGAAGTATTAAGAGTATAGCTAGCTAGGTATGTCTAATAAGGAAAGGTATTTTCATACAATATGGACTTTTTGAGCAGGAACGCAACTCAAGTACATTTTGCCAGGTTTTAAAACAGAGATGGCCCTCTTACGTCTTCTAGGAGGGGAGTCTTTTACTCTCCAGACAGTGGCTATATAGCATGTGATTTTGGTCGTGGGTATTTTTCTGCACGTAAATTTGATTGTTTCATGAATGAATGGGCATGGATCCTTATTCAAGATGGCGCCATCTTGACTCAAGGGCTTTACGGAGATCAGGCATACCGTTACATACAAATATGTACATTTACATGTCGCATACAAAAAATCCAAAAAAGAGAGATGGGGAAATATCTCCTATTTCATAGAACTTGAAAATAGTTTTTTCTTCTTCTTTTAAATTTCCTTACAAACGAAATTGTGAGCAAATATTTTGCCCTATATTGACTGCAATTTGGCGGGGGAGGGGAGCACGGGAAACTGCCTAAGGAACGAAATCTAGCTTCTGCGCCATCTGCTGGCCACCCCTGTTTTCAAACCAATTGTAAAAAAAAAGTAATACACCAAGAATGGATAAAGAGATATTTTTTTTAAAGTCATGGTTTGTAAGCAGAATAAAGATTCTTGCGGTTCTTTACAAGAGGGCACTTTATTTCCAAACGTTTTTAATGTTACTGCTTTTTTTTAAAAGAAAAGGAAATTTCAGAAAACGGTTTAAAGTTTGGAGTTTTGGCCCTTTGTTGTTGTTTTTTATGGGGGGGAGGAGGTGTCAATGATGGGCGCGTTGGCAATGTTCTTGCATGTCACATTTGCTGGAAAAGAGCGCATTTTTTTAATTGTTTCGCGTGCGATTAAATAAAATGACGTTCAGAAAAGGGAACCCCTGGGGGGTGGGGAGATAACAATGAAGTTGAAAGTCGTTTCTGAGAACAGGGTGGGTAGGAATGTGACCTAAATGTGCATACGAACAGATATGCTGCTGATGAACAGATGTGCTGACTTCTATCAAATCCAAGAATTTTAGACAACCAAACATGTAACCTTCTTGTGTCTTCCCTTAATATGCAGCAGTCAATATGTTGGTTAAGTCTGGGGGGAAAACAGGAAGAATATATGAATGTCTTTACAAATACGCATGCAAACAATTCAATCAGCATTATGTTATCAATTGGATATAACATTTTCAAAGTGAGGCCTTTGGCATGGTCCTCCAGGTGTTGAGCTTCATCCCTGACCACCGGCCAGAACATCTGGGAGGCATAGAAAAAGATGTACATTTCCATCTGCAGTTTATGTCTAACTAAATCCTCTTCCGGATCCTGAAGGAGCGTCTTCATCCCCATTGTTCACTGAGGTCCAGCTCTGAGGGCCTTCTAGCAGTTCCCTCACTGCAAGAAATGAGGTTACAGGGAACCAGGCAGAGGGCCTTCTCGGTGGTGGCGCCCGCACATCAGATGTCAAGGAATAAACAACTATCTGACTTTTAGAAAACATCTGAAGGCAGCCCTGTTTAGGGAATTTGTTGTTTTATCATCGTGTTTTTAATATTCTGTTGGGAGTTGCCCAGTGGTGGGGTAGAAATAATATATAAAATAATAATATATTATTATTATTATCCTTGAAAGCTTATAAGGGCAGGGTGAAGGACTCTTAAACTAGGCCTCTCTTCAATATACAGTCGTACCTTGGGTCAAAGTAGCTTCGGGATGAATATTTTTGGGTTGTGACCTGGAAGTAACGGAGCGTGTTACTTCCGGGTTTCACCATTTGCGCATGCGCAGACGCTCAAAATGATGTCACACGCATGCACGGAAGCGGCAAAACGTGACCCGCAGACATGCAGATGCACAGTCGCGTCTTACGTTTACTTCAGGATGCGAACGGGGCTCCCTAACGGATCCCGTTCGTATCCTGAGGTACCACTGTACTAAATTTCTACAGTTAGGGGTATCTGAAATAAATTCATGGCCATTCAGGGAGGCTCGTCTGGCACCCTCGTTATATATCTTTAGGCGCCAGGCAGAAATATTTCTCTTTTCCCAGGCCTTTGGCTAATTAAACAATCTATGGCCTTTTAAACTGGGTGGGGTGGGGCCAGTACTGCTTTTGTTTGTTACTACGGTATACATTTTTGTGTTCAGTATGGAAATTTAATAGATAATCATCATCATCCAATTTTTCCTTCTACTGCACAATTCATTGTACTAGCAGAATGACCAGGGGGATATTTCCGACTCACAAGTAAACAAGTCATCGGGCCAAGCTAGACGAGATGCCATTCACACAATTAGCAACAGTGTGAATAGCTTTCAAAACATAAATTGCAGATGCCTGTGTGTCATTGGGGGAGGGGGGGAGGGAGATTTAGGCCCTTGCCTTCCACTGCGGGCTCAATTTGGATCATTCCCCTTTTGCCCATTATTTTCACTGGGGATAAACATTCCAATTCACTCAAAAGGGAGCCTTTTACCCTTCAACAATAGCAGGTTCTCCCCGTGCCAGGGATCAATCAGGACAGCAGTGGCAGCGGGGTTTGAAAGGTCGAAGCTCCTAGCCCCTCACGTGAGGGTCTGCCTGCCATTCCCTCTGGGGATAGAAGTTTCCACGCGCTCAAATGGCAGCTTTTACAGTCAAACCTTGGCTCCCAAACGCCTCCATTTTGAAAAGCTTTGGCTCCTGAACACTGAAAACCCGGAAGTAAATGTTCCGGATTTCGAACGTTTTTTGGAAGCCGAGCGTCTGACGCTGCTCAGAAGCCAGTCGCATGTCAGTTGTCAAACATTTCGGAAGCTGAACGGGCTTCTGGAATGGATTACGTTCGACAACCGAGGTTTGACTGTATTCCAGTGGCAATAGCAACTGCAGCCTGACTACAGTAGCAGGGCAGGGAAGGCGAAAGCTACAATCCAGATTAAGGGCTCCCACACCTGCAATTTACTTTTAAAAAGACACCCATGCAATTGATAATTACGAATCATGATGCATCTTCTCTGTGCCATGGGGGTGACACATGTGTTGTTCTGGAATGACCGTGCCCCCACTGCTATTTATTCTTTTAATACAGCACCATCCCTTTGCATCTAGTCCCACCAGATTATGGCCACACAATACATTTAAAGCACTTTTATACCACTTTAAAGAGCCATGGCTTCCCCCAAAGAATCCTGGGAAATGTAGCTTGTTAATCATACTGAGAGTTGCTGTAAGACCCCAGTTCCCCTCACAGAGCTACACTTTCACGAGTTCCCTGGAAAGAGGGATTGTTAAATAGGGTTGCCATATTTCAAAAAGTGAAAATCTGGACACAAAAGTTGTTGAGCTATTTTTTAGTTTTGCCCAAAGGAAATTCGCCAAAATCTATACAGTGGTACCTCAGGTTACATATGCTTCAGGTTACATACGCTTCAGGTTACACACTCCGCTAACCCAGAAATAGTGCTTCAGGTTAAGAACTTTGCTTCAGGATAAGACTAGAAATCGGGCTCTGGCGGTGCGGCAGCAGCAGGAGGCCCCATTAGCTAAAGTGGTGCTTCAGGTTAAGAACAGTTTTAGGTTAAGAACGGACCTCCGGAACGAATTAAGTACTTAACCTGAGGTACCACTGTACTTACGACATGGGTTGCTGTACATTCGGATTTCCCCAGACATTTCAGCGATTTCTGCCCAGACACTGCTTCTGACTGCCATATTCCAGCTATGTCCAGGAAATTCTGGACGTATGGCAACCCTATTGTTAATCCACTTTGGGAATGACAGCTCTGTGAGGGCGAATCACAATTCTCAGCACCCTTAACGAACCACACTTCCCAGCATTCTTTGGGAGAAGTCGTGGCTGCGGAAAGCGACATTAGAATGCTTCGGATGTCATGGCCTTCATTAAAGTAACCCTTACCCCTTCACTAGTTTTCTGCGAGTCTGAAGAGGTGTTTCTTGTGTCGTTGCCTGCTTCCCCAGCATCGGAGCTGCTCTTATTTTCTTCCTCTTTGCAGTCCTTGTCATCTTCATCTGCAGGAGATTTCCGTGACTGCTTGGAAGATTTCTAAGTATATCCATCAAGGGGGGAAGAAAAGAAGACAGCCTGTGTTTAAGCATCGTTTACTTGGATGTGAGAATACAGCAGATTCTGACGGGGCAGTTTCTGGGTTCAATTTCATTTCCATTTTTGTCCCCTGTTGTTCTGAAGCAGGTGCAATATTATTAATTACATTTATATCCCAACTCTCCTCCAAGGTGTTGAAAGTGACAGATATTATTCTCCCCATTTCCCCACCATTCTCACTATGGCCCTTTGTGGTAACTTAGGCTGAGAGGTAGCAACAGGCCCAAGGTCATCCATTGAGACTGATGGAGAGCTTAAATGCTCTTTTTGTGCTGGGTAAGAAGATCAAACCTACCCATTCTTAAGGAAATCAGCCCTGAGTGCTCACTGGAAGGACAGATCCTGAAGCTGAGGCTCCAATACTTTGGCCACCTCATGAGAAGAGAAGACTCCCTGGAAAAGACCCTGGTGCTGGGAAAGATTGAGGGCACCAGGAAAAGGGGACGACAGAGGACGAGATGGTTGGACACTGTTCTTGAAGCTACCAACATGAGTCTGACCAAACTGCGGGAAGCAGTGGAAGACAGGAGTGCCTGGTGTGCTCTGCTCCATGGGGTCACAAAGAGTCAGACACAACTAAATGACTAAACAACAACAACAAGCCCAAACAGACGCATCTTGAGAAGAGTTTTAAAGTTCTTCACCTTGTCTGCAAGGCCTACTTGGCACACCAACTCTGGGAGTGTTAAGGATGCCCTCTCTCCTCAGATCACCCACTAGCCATAGAGCAGCTCCAAGGGGTGGGTATATGCAAGTTTTGTGTATGTAAGTTGAACCCTTGAAACCAAACCCACATAAGATGAGGGGTTATTGTAGTAAGCACCTGGAAGTCCTCCTGTTAAGATGGGAATTGAAGTGGGTTCCCATGAGGTAAGACACAGTGATAACAGTAAGAACGTTACTGGACAACAGGGGCAAAGCAACTGCTTATATACATTTATGAAGGCCTGGGCCACTCCCAACGTGATTGGCTGTCTAAACGTCCAAGCTGCGAATCATGACTCAGAGTGTAAGGGCCAATGGCAGAGGCTCAAATCCTCAAATGTTCTGTGATTGGATGTCATGTATCGAATCAGGACACAGGGGCTCAGAATCCTTAGTCCAGACTCAAGCTCAGGCTAACACAGACCACTGAATACATAACAGGAATGTGACATTGCATTATATTATTATTATTATTATTATTATTATTATTACTACCACTATTATTACTATTACTATTATTAGAAGTGTCATTATTCCATACTACTGAAAAAAAGAAAGCACTGCTTATGGGCAACAGCAACAAGAGGAAACCTCATGAATTACCTTCGAAGTGTAGGATTTTTTCCGTTTTGAACCCGCTTTTTCGTTCTTTCTTTTGCCTTTTCCGTCCTCTTCTACCCGGTCACCTTCCTCCTCGCTGCTGGCGTCTGCCGTATTCCCTCCTTCCCCCTCAGTTTCTGATGAACTTTGTTGCTGAATTGCCTTTGGAATGAGACAAATCGTTGCAGCTTGTTTAGGCTTTTGTAACATCCCATATGAGGCAGAAACTGATTTAGAGATATTGGGCACTTTCTACCATTCTACCCAGATGTGAAACAGGCCTACTGTACAGATTGCCTACTTCTAAACAGAGCGGCACGTACTCAGTGCTAACACATGCGGGTCCCGCTATCCAAACGCTCGTTCTATGAAAATTCACTCATTTGAACGTGATGAATTAGTACCCAAATTTTGCTATACACACCACAGATTCAGATAACCAAACAGCTGGACCTATGTGTAGTACAAATAAGCAGCCTTATTATTTGTTTGTGTTTTTCTGGTCCACGGCAGCCGTTTTGCCAGAAACTCTGGTTGGAGAGATCGGATGAATAAGGGAGCATTCCTTCCATCCTTGTCTTTTGCAAAGTTGTAGTGGATTTCCCTGGGTTTTTTCTTCTTCATTTGGGAGTCAAAATTTCATGGTTGGGAACGCATTAGAAATGTTTCCATAGGAATGAATGGAAATTGGCACCTCGCTATGCAAACGCTCACCTAACAAATGATTTCCTGAGAACGCATGTGTTCAGATAGCAAAACCTCTATGTATTTAAAACAGATAAAAAGGTGGTGCTGTTTTGGGGAAAGGGAAGGTTAAAGTGATAGAGTTGGTTCCTAGAGAGAAGAGAGAGATTACAGAGGAGACAGTGGCTAGATCACAATCTAGAAAATGGCTGACCAATCTATGTAGGCCATAATCTGACACTAATAGCAATGGGATGTTTATCTGCACCAGGGGAATTTTTTAAAAGTACCATTAGAAAGGGGAAAGGGGGAATAGGAAAAGGAAAATGAAATATTTTCTGAGTTATGAACAGGGAAAATGTGAAGGACTGGCTATTTTGCTAATGGCATTGTACAGGTGTCATGTAACAAGTCACTAAACCAAGCAGTGTGGAAGCTGCCACTGACATTTTGTTGTTGCTGATCCAAAATTTAACCTCTTTCTACTAGACCTGACAGGCAGAGGGATGAAAGACAATGAGAAGGACCCAGAAGGGCCCCCAACCATTTGCAATCTTCTTTTCACACTTCTATGGTATCTGAGATTTCAGCAGGAATTGCCCCCACACTTCCTGGCATAGCTTCGCAACCACAGGGGCCAGACACTTGTTCTTCCTTAAAAAAAAATTCAGAAATGAAAGCTCCGCTTCTCCAGAACTTGAGATCTCTGCTCACTATCACATCCTGTGGTTTGCCCCCTCTCCCATGGGTTTGAGGCATTTTTAATATTTATTGTATTTCTAACTTGTCTTTCCTCAGACTGGGCCCAGAGAGAGGGAGAAAGGAAAGTACAGCCTTTACAAACAAATAAACAAATTGGAGCCAACACTGCTAGTTCTAAACCCCAAACAGAAAACATGATGATTCTCAATAAGACCTGGTCTTATTATCATGATGGATTTGGTATATTATAACTCAATGCCCCTGGCATTGTTGTTGTAAGATGCTTTCTGCTAACTCTAGACACCTCTGAGGCCCAAAATTGTCTGTACTTTGGTAAGTGTGCCCTGGGAGAGGCTTAGCTGAGAAAAGCTAAAAGAGAAAAGAAACCATTCTTACCTGGTAGCCAGTAAACTTGACACCGGGGTTGTTTTCGATTTCCCACAGGCCTTCGTTAAATCCTTTTCGTTTGTTCGATTTCCCAAACTTGTCTTTATATTCTTTGTATGGGAAGAGATCTTTAGGCCCCAGAAATGCACTGCGGTTTAATGAAAATGACAGTCAAATGGTAGTTTCATATGCTATATTAGGTACAGTAATATGATAGTCATTGTTCGGAGAAATTGGTCCCATGAAAAATGGAACTAGTTAGTCTTGATTGTGGCTTTGTTCAGACATCACAATACCAAACCATGGCTTGCGGTCAGACAAAACATAGTTTGGAGCTGCATGCCTGTTTTCCGTTTTCTGTCTGCTCAGCAATGTAGTCTTCAGATGCTGCAGCCTCTGGAGGAGGAACAGCAACTGTTGCTATGGTTTGTCAATTCAGGCATCACAACAAACCATAGTTAGCACAGACTATGTATGGAAGTGAGAGCTGGACCATAAAGAAGGCTGATCACCAAATAATTGATGCTTTTGAATTCTGGTGCTGGAGGAGACTCTTGAGAGTCCCATGGACTGCAAGAAGATCAAACCTAACCATTCTTCAGGAAATCAGCCCTGAATGCTCACTGGAAGGACAGATCCTGAAGCTGAGGCTCCAATACTTTGGCCACCTCATGAGAAGACTCCCTGGAAAAGACCCTGATGTTGGGAAAGATGGAGGGCACAAGGAGAAGGGGATGACAGAGGACGAGATGGTTGGATAGTGTCTTTGAAGCTACCAGCATGAGTTTGACCAAACTGCGGGAGGCAGTGGAAGACAGGAGTGCTTGGCGTGCTCTGGTCTACGGGGTCACGAAGAGTCGGACACGACTAAACGACTAAACAACAACAACATGGTTTGCGAGCCTCATGTTAAAGTGCTGATTCTGGTTTTGTAACCAAGGAGAAAATATGGGTTTGTCAATTCATACAACATACCATGCAGTTTCCTTAACCATGGCTTGACCTGATGTCTCAAAAGAGCCTAACCACAGCCTCATTAATATCAATAGCGTTTAAGCGTGACTAATCTGAATAAGGGCACTTTACAATGTTGGTTCGCTCTTCCTACTTTTTATTTTGCTTTACAATCTTGCTTCCTGGTTCCAGTCCCAGTGGTTACATTTGGACAGAATGCTGGCCATCAGCCAAGATTAAGTAAATTATCTAGGCACTTATTTCAGACTTCAGTTTTATCCCTCTCAACGTCTGAAAATCTCAGAGTTGATTATAGTATTTATGTATTGTGTATGTGTTGGTAAGCCAAGAAGAAACCTTGGCTTCAGATCGTGGTCTAGAGACAAACAACCCTGTTATGCTCAGGCATAACACTAATGGCTATGTGCAACATTATTATTTACTCTGGCTCCAGTGTGTTCCCACTGGTGGTGCTTCAAACATGGCAAGAGTCACAATCCTTACATATCCTGTAGTTTCTTGAGAAATGTTGCTGTTTGATGCACTGTCCCTCAAACCATCTTTCATCCAATTTGAAAACTTAAGCCACATTCACTTCGCAGGTTAGCTGAGGTGTGTACATTTGAGACAGCATGTGAATGGAAGCTTTTCCTCCAATGACCTCCCCACCCCCTTGCCGGGATCCTGATCCAGCTCGTACTCCCCATCCCTGCTACTTACTTAAAAAACCCCCCACTCATGTCACTGCTAAGAATGTCAATGGTGCCTTGCCCAGTTTGGCCCTGTAGCTGAGAGGACGGCTTGCGCCAACTTCCCATGTGGTCAACCTCTCATGTACTCCAGCACAGAATAACCCCAAATAACAGGGGTACTGTGAGACAGAACATTAATAATAATAATAATAATAATAATAATAATAATAATAATAATTTATTGTTTCTACCCTGCCCATCTGGCTGGGTTTCCCCATGAGCTTAGTACAATATTAAGGATAGTTCTTGCTACTATAGATGTTCTGCTGATGTTCAAGATAATTCTCATGGTGCTTATGCGTCAGTGGTTCACAAATCATGTACAGTGATGTGGGCTGAGTTGAGGTCTTAGGCTATTGCAACAGTTTGAATGTTCACTTGTTTTGCTGTCCACTCATCACTGTATTGCAACAAGACTGCTCATGTGTCTAAGGTTACTTGTCACTCAATGTAGATGTGTCATAAACATACGTTTAGAGCTGATTGGAAAATGTTTATTGAATATATAGGAGGAAATTGTGTACAGTTGAAAATGTATCCAACAGGATATTAAAAACACAATAAAAGGTCAAACATTAAGAAATTCCCTAAACAGTTGGCAACATTAAGACATATTCAACAGTGTAAATAAGTTTTGATGGATGCAATAATGGAACACTGAATGGTTGAGTTTATGTAAAATATGCAGATTTATGATATGCAAAATGAACCATGGAAAGAGAAGAAGGGAAGTCATTTATATTTTACAGATGTTTAAATGAGTATTCTAAATGGTAAAACAGAAAATGTAATTTTACACACACACACACACACACGATATGTCAATGTTATTGCAAACCTGAAACATATTACACATGCTGACACATTGTACTCTTATCACCCTAACGGAAATGGATGGAGATCCCAAACAATACCAGTGGGTGTATGTTAACTCTGCACTGCTTCCTAACTCTATGATTAGGACACTCTGCAGTGCTATTGCAGTTAAATGTTAGGTGAATGTGCCCTCCTGTGGTGAAACTACAAATTGCCACTTCCAGCTGCCTGCAATTTGCTGCCTGTCCATATTGGGGTAGCATTGATAAAATCTTTTAACCACATAAACATTGCAGATTTCCTTGAAATTCTGAAAGACCTTTGAGCTTGCCCTGTGGTTGCTTAGTGGGGAGCAAAATACAACCCATTGCAGAAATTTCCTTCCCTGGTACGCAGGATGGTGGCCCCACAAATAAACGAGATCAAGACGTGTATTTTTAGCTCGTTTCTAAAATATGATTCGGGATAACAAATGTAAGGGAATCACCTACAGTCACAAACTGGTAGCAAATCTCAACGCCTGCTTGAACAAACACTAGGGGAGCGGGGCAAAACACAGCACTCATAATAAAGCTAACAATATATATAACACACACACATATATATATAGCACGAATAATTATCAGTACACACCGAGATTAACAACAGCATCAAAATACTATTGCGGATGGTCCTCTCTGCAGGCCGCAGCAGACATCTTTAGAGCATTACGGCCATCTTTTTGAGCTGCAAAGGTGGCAACCTGTTTTTGTAATGGTTTTATTGTGGTCTGCCAACAGATAGCAAATGATATCAGTCAGGCTCCGGCCAGCTCTTGCTCCCAAAGGGTTTCCCCCACAAAGCAAGCTCTGAGATCTCTATACAGTGGTACCTCGCAAGACGAATGCCTCGCAAGGCAAAAAACTCGCTAGACGAAAGGGTTTTTTGTTTTTTGAGCTGCTTCGCAAGACGATTTTCCCTATGGGCTTGCTTCGCAAGACTGAAACGTCTTGCAAGTTTGTTTCCTTTTTCTTAACACCGTAATGACAGTTGCGACTTGAGTTCGAGGAGCAACTCATTGTCCACGGTGTGGTAGCCTTTTTGAGGTTTTTAAAGACTTTGGTGATTTTTGAAGCTTTTCCAAAACTTTCCCGACACCGTGCTTCGCAAGACGGAAAAAATCGCAAGACGACAAAACTCGCGGAACGAATTAATTTCGTCTTGCGAGGCACCACTGTACAAGCGAATGCAGAAAACTTCAGTCTCCTACCAATTTCAAAGCAAGCTCATTCCTTAAAGAGAAGCACTAGGCTCAAATGGTTTAAAAGCATATTTTTAAAAGCGTGTACATTTGTTCACTTACGTTTCATGAGTCCCGAAAAAGAAGATGGGGTACTTATTTGCGGGAGGCTTCACGGCTCCCTCGGGGAGTTCGTCAATCTGTTGGAAAGAAACAGATGTGGGCTCATTACCAAATGTCCAATGAGTCGGACGGCAAGGGAGGACTGGCTGCAAATTTCAAAGAACAAAGCATAATGGACAATGCAGCTGGCCAGCTCAGGGATTCCTAAACATGCATATGGCTGGTACATGAGCCAGTTCAGACCCTCCAAATGTCCCTATTTTCCAGGGACAGTCCTGGATTTCCAGAAGCTGTCCTGGTTTCTGATTTGCTCCCTGAATGCCCCGCTTTTCCTGAGGAAGTCCCTATTTTCATCAGAGTATGGAGTTATGTCAGGGGTCAGCAAACCTTTTCAGCCGTGGGCCGGTCCACTGTCCCTCAGACTTTGTGGAGGGCCGGACTATATTTTCGGGGGGGGGGGGGAATGAACGAATTCCTATGCCTCACAAATAACCCAGAGATGCATTTTAAATAAAAGCACGCATTCTACTCATGTAAAAACACCAGGCAGGTCCCACAAATAACCTAGAGATGCATTTTAAATAAAAGGACACATTCTACTCGTGTAAAAACACGCTGATTCCTGGACCGTCTGCGGGCCGGATTGAGAAGGCGATTGGGCCGGATCCGGCCCCTGGGCCTTAGTTTGCCTACCCATGTGTTATGTGATCCCCTGAGCCAAGGAGATAAGTACCATATTTTTCCATATATAACACGCCCCCGTGTATAAGACGACCCCTATTTTTGGAGACCCCCCAAATTAAGGAAATGGGGGGAGATTGCCCTGAGTTGTTGAGCTTATTTGGGAAGGATTGCACAAAGCTGTTGAGCTTTTTTGGGGGGGGATTGTTGCCAATCGCTCACCCGCAGGACCGCCACTGCCAATCGCACGCCTCGCAGAAGAAAGAAATCGTCAAAAGCAGCAGCCAATCGTCAGCAGGCCTTGCTACCGTCGTCACCAATCAACCGCCCAATCACCGCTGACAATCTGCTGCTCACGGCTGCCACCAATTGACCGTCCCCCCCTCTGTGTATAAGACAACCCCCAATTTTTAGCATTTCTTTTTTATATGAAAAAACTGTCTAATACACGGGAAAATACGGTAACTAGACAACCTTTAAAAGGCATCTGAAAGCGGCCCTGTATAGGGAAGAGAGCAAAAGGGGAGAGTCCTGTGGAGCTCACGTCCTGCTTGTGGACTTCCTATAGGCATCTGGTGGCCACTGTGAGAACCAGAAATTGGACTGGATGGGACATTGGTCTGATCCAGCAGGTTCTTCTCATGTTCTTAAAATGGGGTAGCTGTGTACAAACACACATCGATGTGACTGGCACTTGGTAGAACCCCCGCTTTCATTTCAGGGGGAAATGTGAACATCTGCAAATATTTGCTCGCATGAGAAACTGACTGTGGGAATGTACAAGGACAGGGGTGGCCAACTTCCAAGAGAATGCGATCTACTTGTGGAATTAAAAACTGGCAGTAATCTACCCCCGTTTTTGGGGGGTTCAGGTCAAAGTTGTTGAGCTTTTTTAGGGAGGGGAGTAGCCCCGTTTTTAGGGGGTTCAGGAGGCATAAGTTGCTTAGCTTTTTGGGGGGCACAATGTTTTTTACATTCTTTGGGGGTCAAAGAGAATCTCACCGAAGGATCACTGGGGGAAAAACAGCCTCAGTTTGTAAACTCCGGCTTCCGTTCTCCAACAATGGAGGGCGGGGTGGGGCGAGGGGCCGGGGCCGGAAGGGGGACAGCGGTCGACCGCGATCGACCATAACCTCGCAGGGATGGACCAGTAGATCGCGACCGACCTGTTGGACATCCCTGTACTAGGACAAAACCCTGTCCAGCATAAATTGAGTATGAATGGTCAGTTTTATTTAAGATAAGACAGCATTACCAGAGTCAAGTGGCCATCTATAAATATCTAGGGGTATATCTTTTTGCAAACAAGAGCTCCAAGGCTCAAATGCAGTGACTGCATGTGGATGCTGCAATAAATCATAGTTTTGTGCAACGGGAGTGAGCTCTCTCTTGGGATCACACGTTCTTCCATCCTCTCCTGCACAGAGTTCTGAGACTTTCACTTCTGCTATTAGTTAACTACAGCTTCCTATGTTGTGGAAATTGGGAACAAGCAAAATCTGTCAAGGTTGATATTGTTCCAAGATTCCTTTATTCTAAAGGAGGTGGACTAGATGCCTTGAAAGGCCCCCCAGAACTCCAAAATTCTATGAAAGGGGGGGGGGAAGGATGAGCAGGAAGATGGAGACCACAATTTTGGGCATGGCAAGCAAAGGTCACCCACAAATTATACATCCCTGTCCTTAAAATCCCCTTCTTTATGATTTTTTTCTTTTGCACGTTCGTTTTAGCCAATTGGTGGCCTTCAAGGAAAAAAAAAGGCACCCATCTTGTTCAAATCAAAAACAACAATTTCCTGTCTGGTCACCTTATTGGAAAGAGGTGGGCAATTATGTACAAGCCAAAAATCTGTGCTTAAAAATATTGCTCACATTCGTATTTGTCCCTTTCTCCAGGGAACTCAAGACACAGTAACCCTGTGAGGTGGGCTTGGTCAGGCAGGGTTGTTAACTATGGGGGGGGGAGCCTAAATGCTGAGAGCTGGATCCCCTCTATGGCTGTGCCCCCCAATATAAAAATTGGGGTGTGGGGAGCTGAGCCATCAGAGACACAACCGCAGGACCAGTGAGACATGATCATTAATTTTGTGAGGGAACGTCTGAAAAGGCTCTACATGCCGCCTTTGAATGCTTACGGTCTGTTTTCTCCCTGAGAGAGCCATACGGCTAAAAATTGGGGGGGGGGACGACAAACCCCCCAAAACACCCACACACAAGAATGTGCTGTAACACACGCACAGTCCCCATCGGCCACGACAACTCTCTGCCATTTCGCTAGCTGGATCACCTCAGCGCCAGAGGAAAGCTGCTGCTATTTTCCCACTCAGAGAACAGTGAGGAGGACAGCAGCCATGATTGCAGAAACCTCCCTCCTTCCACCCCTCAGACTAGCCCTGTTCACTCCCCAAAGCTTTTGTTATGGCGAACCTCTTTCCTGAGCATGATTGGCTGCTTCTCGCAGTGTTGGCGGAGACCCTATAGCGAGGGGGGTGGTGTCGAAAGAAAGAAACCCCCTCAATGCTTGGCGCTACGGAACAAAAGGCAGATGAGAGCAGCAGCCTCTGTTAGTCAAATCGACAGGAGAGGCGGTCTCCATTCCACTGAGGGAAATAATGCAAATTCTGAAGTGCCGGCTATAATAATCACCACCCACAACCAGAGTGCAGGTTTGGTCTGAAGCAGCAAAATCGACTCCTTTCGCTCCTCCTGCCCACTGTGCATGAATACAAGATCCATGCTGGCAGCAGAGCGTGCGGCCATTTCCATCAGGTCTGCCTAAACAGATACAGAAAGCTTTCCAGAAACAGATCGCAGCTGTTCAGCAGTCTCCCTCATTGCTGGAGAAGAAAGGAACCTGAGTGGGGTTTTTTGGGGAGGGGGGCAGGGAGATGCTCCATCCCCCTTGTATCCTCAGTAGGGTCAGAATTCAGCTCCTCCTTGCTGCTGTTTGAAAGGCCAAAGTACAGTGGTACCTTGGTACTCAAACGGCTTGGCTCCCGGACGCCGCAAACCTGGAAGTGAGTGCTCTGGTCTGTGAACGTTTTTCGGAAGCCGAACGTCCGACGCGGCTTCCGATTGAGTGCAGGAAGCTCCTGCAGCCAATCGGAAGCCGAGCCTTGGTTTTCGAACTGTTTCGGGAGTCAAACAGACTCCCAGAACGGATTAAGTTTGAGAACCAAGGTACCACTGTATACAAATGCAAACCATGTCTTCCCCCATATTGATATGTACAGGGAGTGGCATCCTACTTTGGCTATACTTAGAGTAGACCTCGTGAAATTAATCCACCTAAGTTAGTCATGTCCAGGGCTTCCCCCCTCCCCAGCCGGAACTCGATGGAACTCGATTCCGGCACCTCTCAGGTGGGCGCCATTGCCATTATAAGAGAACAAGGAAGGCGTTCATGGTGGGTTCCGGAATGTAGTGTAAGGCCCCATTTGCATTTTATATTTAAAGGAGCATCATGCACTTTAAACAGCGATGGTTTCTGTTATGTCCTGAAGTTCTCACCCTGGGCCAGCAGGGGGATACTGTAGATAGTTTTCACTCAGGTCCACATATGCAAATAAGGAATTGAAAGTGGCATTCAGTGATTGGATAGTTACAGAAAGTTGTTACTGTTGCATTGTAGTGGAGCTCTATATAAGCAGGTTGGCTGAACCCTTCAGCCCAGTTCTGTTCTGGCCTGTGAATAAGCAAGAGCTGTCTGAAGAATCGCTGTGTCGTCTGATATGTTCACCCACAACTTAGCAGTTCCCCCCCCCAAAGACTCCCTTGAAGTATAGTTTAAGGGTCCTGAGAGTTATTACAGCCCTATCACCCTCAGAGAGCTACTATTCCCGGAGTTCCCCAGGATGAGGGATTGATTATTAAGCCTCCCCAGGAATTGTAGCTCTGGGAAGGTGGGTCTCCTAACATCTCTCGCTACTCTTAACAAACTACAGACTCCAACCCCCCATGAGCCTCAGCCACCAGAGCCAACGGCCAGGGATGATGGGAGTTGTAGTTCAACAACTTCTGGAGGAACACCGGTTCCCCCAACCCCAGAGCGGCAGAAAAATAAAATCAAGGAAAAGGAGGAGGAAGGGAATTGCATCAGAGAGTCTATGCAGGCTGCCAAAAGGTTAAATAAGATTATCCTAAGGGTCTCTTTGGGATGCAGGTGGCGCTGTGGGTTAAACCACAGAGCCTAGGACTTGCCGATCAGAAGGCTGGCGGTTTGAATCCCCGTGACGGGGTGAGCTCCCGTTGCTCGGTCCCTGCTCCTGCCAACCTAGCATTTCGAAAGCACGTCAAAGTGCAAGTAGATAAATAGGTACTGCTCTGGCGGGAAGGTAAACGGTGTTTCCGTGTGCTGCTTAGTCATGCTGGCCACATGACCTGGAAGCTGTACGCCGGCTCCCTCAGCCAATAAAGCGAGATGAGCGCCGCAACCCCAGAGTCGGCCACAACTGGACCTAATGGTCATGGGTCCCTTTACCTTTAAGGGTTTCCTTGGCACAGTGCTGACCATGGAGCGTGAGACTCTTCATCTCAGGTTCGTGCGTTCAAGCCCCATGCTGGGCAAAATATTCCTGCATTGTAGGGGGTTGGACTAGATGATTCTCGTGGTCCCTTCCAACTTTACGATTCTATGATTCCATCAATTTGCTCCTCTCTTCGATATCTCTATGAAGGGGCAGCCTGGAATTCTTAGCACCCAAACGAAGCTACGTTAAACCAGAGTTCCTTTGCGCAATCATAAACTGCCGGACCATCTTCATACAAAGGGAGGGAATGCTAAATGTTAGGCTGACCACACCTCTTGAATTTTCCCTGCACTGAAAAAGGATTCTTCTTTTTAGAGCAAAATGTACTCATTCCTTCAGCCATTTCCCATTTCTTCTGTCTTAATTGTTGTGTTTCCTTTTCTGGCCAAACGGTACTTTTATTTTTTGCAACGTAGCACTGCAAACTGCACCTGATATCCCACATTAGGCCTAAACTTGTATGAATGGCACTGTTATTTTCTGCATCTGAAACACACAGGGCTTCTTCAAGTGTGTTCCTGTCCGTTAAGAACGCTGATGTGCACATTTTCTCTTTCGCTCCTTCAGTTTAGAAGAACAGGGAAGATATAACACTCTTTAAGAAGATGGGATTATTCTGCCTTCATATATATATATATATATATATATATATATATATATATATGCATCTCTCTATAAGAAAGAGGAATCAGCAAAAAAGGAAAAGAAAACAAGGCCAATTTCAACAGGCGGGAAAGTGGTGCATTTGAAAATCACCAGGAAAAAACCCAGAGGAGGCAAGTAATAGTAAAGAAAAGCCTCTCTATTCCTGTCACTGAACCTCTTAGGGCTAAAACCTTTATTTACCCATCTGCCATCACCTAAGGCATAGCTGCTGCAACTACTTCAGGCTTCCTCAACCTCGGCCCTCCAGATGTTTTTGGCCTACAACTCCCATGATCCCTAGCTAGCAGGACCAGTGGTCAGGGATGATGGGAATTGTAGTCTCAAAACATCTGGAGGGCCAGGCTGAAGAAGCCTGAACTAGTTCATTGCTTTCTGCTTTTTAAGACCGTCGAAAAGCCTGCAGTCTTTTCAAGGGGGATGAGAGTAAGGGCTGCACTTTGGGCAGTGGACCACCCAATAATAATTGGATTTATGAACGGCCCTTCCTCCAAAACTTCAGATGGGTGTACATTCTTTGTATCATCTTCCCAGTTTCTTCATCACAACTGATCCTGTGAGGTGAGTAAGGCTCAGAGATGCTCCTGACTGCTCCAAAGTTATCCAATCAGCTTTATTGTTCGGAGCAGGATTTGAACCCATTCTTTTACATAGTGTTTTTGTGTCAACGTCACGTGGGTAGGTTCTCTTTCTGTTCTTGTATTCGTTTTCATTGGCATTGAGAGGTTGGTTGCCTTCAGATGACTGTGGTGAGTTGTTTGCGTGTCTGCGTGGAACAGGCATAGGCAAACTCGGCCCTCCAGATGTTTTGGGACTACAACTCCCATCATCCCTAACTAACAGGACTAGTGGTCAGGGATGATGGGAGTTGTAGTCCCAAAACATCTGGAGGGCCGAGTTTGCCCATGCCTGGTGTGGAGGGTTGCTGGGTGATGTTAACCATATTGATTCCTATTTGGAGATCCTGTTCTCCTCTCTGCATACAGCAACCTGTGCTAGGCTGAGTAGCTGCATATAAGTGGCTCTCTAAATCTCAACAGATCATTATTTCCCTCTCCAAGCCTCATTCCAAACTGAATATATTTACGACAAAGTTTATTATATCATTTGAACGACGATCGGATCCATGCAGATAGTGGTGCTCTATAAAACAAATTACTCTCCACGAAGAAGGCAGGCACTCTGGTGTAGCCACCAGCATGTTAAGAGTTGCAGCTGGTAGCTCCAGGTTCGAATCCTGGCACCTGAGCTAGCCTCACGCCCAGGGGAATCACTATGCCTATCTTTCGAGGCATCCTCAAGAGTAGGGCTGTGGAATAAATCGCCATATCCTTGAGTGTTGAAATAGCATTGTGATGAGTGTTTCAACAAGACAATATACCAGGTGGAGACTAAGCAGCTTCTCAGGGGGTAGCTCAGCTGAACAGATATGGCAAAGTAAACAAAGAATATAAACAAAGAACTGAAAAGCTCTTCTTTCTTCCCTCACAATCACCCCTACCAGTGGAAAAAAAGAGGGGGAGAATTTTTAGTTTCTGGTGGTGTTTATGTTGTTGGTTTCCCCTAATTAGCTTTCCTCCATATTAAAAATGAAGGGATAATAATAATAATTAAAGGAGACTATCTTTTTGCTTGATTGCCCTCCCTCCCTCCCTTTGATAAAAAGGGAGAAATTGGTGGGATGATTGACTGGCTTTTGGGGCCCCCCTTCTGGGGGGGGGGGAATGGAGGGGAGAAGATTTAGCTGGCTGCCATATGCTGAAATGGGAGGTTGGGTATTACGTGAGAATGATGGGGAGAGTTTTTCAGTAAGCAGTGCAAGCAAATGCGTGGCTACTCACAAGCAAGCCCTACTAAGTTCAATGAAGCTTACTCCCAGGAAAATAAAAGTAAGTTTAGTTGAAGTCAGCAGGGCTTATACATGCACAGATTCCACTTAGACCACTGAGTGGGGAAGCAGATGCAACTTGACTAGTAAATCGCTTAAACTACTCGTAAGTAAGTTGAAAATATATTAAATATATTATATAGAAGCTGTTTAAAAAAATAAAAATAATTCAGTCTACTACTTCCTTATATTTTAAACTACTCATAAATAAGCTGAAAATATATTAAATATATTATATAGAAGCTGTTTTAAAAATAAATAAATAATTCAATTGACTACTTCCTTACATTTTAAATCGTTTAAACTACGCGTAAATAAGTGGAAAATATATTAAATGTATTATATAGAAGCTGTTTAAAAATAATAAAATAAAATTCAATCTACTACTTCCTTAAATTTTAAGGCCCTCCACTGCTGCAGATATATACCATGATATACCGAGACATTGTTATATTTAGCTGGTGATATATCACGATGCTGAAAACCAGATATGTCCCAGCCCTACTCAAGAGCACTTAACAGGGAACTGAAATAATAAGAACCACAGTAAGATGGGGTTGTTTTTTTCTTGCAAGTCTAAGAATCCAGGCCACAAAGCACAGTAGCTGGGCAGAGGGTGGACTGCTTCAGACCTGGCAAACATCCAGGTCTTTAAGCATCATGGCAACCTTCACTAGATTCCTTCAGAACCCTCCTAGCTGGCACCCTGGAGACTGAACAGAACCGTCTCCAAAAATAGCACCAAGACGCAAACTCCCAACAAACTCTCTGTCTCTCTAAAAAAATACGGCTAACCTATTCCTAACTGTTCTGTGCCTGATTCTACTAGCTTTCCCTCCCTGTCTACTCACCAGCAAAATTACACCAGGAAGGTTGATCTTTCCTGCCTTCCGAGGCATGGACCCCTTTCCTAAACCAATTCTGCCAAATGTGGATGTTTAGAAAGCTGTGGGGGGTGCGTGGATGTTTTGTGGGTTTCCCATGGGCATTTGGTTGGCCACTGCGAAAACAGGACGCTGAACTAGATGGGACATGCTCCTGATCTAGGAGGCTCTTCTTATGTTCTCTAGGTGTGTGCTTATCCTGCTGCTGTAATTCCTTGTGTTCAAGCATGGTTCAAGCCCATTATAAGCAGGATACAGCAACTTGCAGTGTTTTCCTACATGTTTTCCCCCCTGTCTTCTTCTTCTTGTGGTCTACATTGCAACTGCTTTCCTTTTAAAACTTTGGGTTGGTACAGTGGTGCCTCGCAAGACGAAATTAATTCGTTCCACGAGTTTTGTCGTCTTGCGTTTTTTTTCATCTTGCGAAGCACGGTGTCGGGAAAGTTTTGGAAAAGCTTCAAGAATCACCAAAGTCTTTAAAAACCTCAAAAAAGGCTACCACACCGCGTGCTATGAGTTGCTCCTCCAAGTCAAGTCGCAACTGTATTAACGGTGTTAAGAAAAAGGAAACAAACTTGCAAGACGTTTCCGTCTTGCGAAGCAAGCCCATAGGGAAAATCGTCTTGCGAAGCAGCTCAAAAAACAAAAAACCCTTTCGTCTAGCGAGTTTTTCGTCTTGCGAGGCATTTGTCTTGCGAGGTACCACTGTACAGCAACTTGCAGTGTTTTCCTACATGTTTCCCCCCCTGTCTTCTTCTTCTTGTGGTCTATATTGCAACTGCTTTCCTTTTAAAACTTTGGGTTGGTATTTAGATGACTGTCCTTCTTGGGGTGGTAAACCTTTGGATGTTGAGACGAAAAAGTGGGGTACACATTTTCACAATATAAATACATAGATAAAAATGCAGCCATACAGCACTTTCATACCCTAACAACTGAAATGACCAGTCGAATCTTTGGGCAGAGGCATGGGAACGTAGGAAACTGCCTTATGCTGAGTCAGATCATTGGTCCATCTAGCTCAGTCTTGTCTACAGTGTGGCAGCAACTCTCCAGGCAATCGGACTGGGCATGTCTCTCAGCCCTGCTTGGAGATGCTGCAGATTGAACTTCCTTCCTTTCCACTGTCCACTGTGCAACCAGCTATGTAAATGCATGTTATCCCCCTTTTGGGGTAGTTTAACATCATGGCACAATGAAAGTATCAGATTCTAGCTGTCTGATATTAACCCAGAGGTAACTGTTAGAATTCCTGCTCCATGACTGCATATCCAAATTAACTTAATTTGCTCAATTATTCATCTACTTTAAATATATACTCTTATAAAACTGCAGGTTATTACAATAATCCTGCCATTGTTCTTTTCTGTTTACAATTTATCTGTAAATATTCAGTAAACCATTTCCATTTTTTATATAAAAAGTTTGTATTCTTGATTTCTTAATCTCCAATAAGTTTTGCCATTTCTGCATATTCCATAAGTTTTTATTTCCATTCTGCCTTTGCTGGGACTTCTCTTTGTGTATATTTTAAAATTTTGTATATGGATGTTTTAAGATGGCCTATATCTGCAATGCCTAATAAAGGTTTGGAAAAAGAAAGAAGGCATTTTCTTTTAAGCACAGTATCATCTTTTGTTTATTAAATTGCAAGTTACTCTCCTCTCAGTATACCTTCTGCACTGAGCAGTGTGGATTCTTATTGAAATTTAACTGATTTAAAAACCAGATCTTTAGCCAATTACAAATTCCATAGCTGATTGATATCCCTAGGAAAAGAATACATACTTCTTATCTTAATGATCCATAGCAATGGTAGATGCTGAACACCCACAAATTACCGTAATTCAAATGTTTCTTGACCAATGTGATGCAACTGCTGAACTACCCTGGGCCATTGTGAAAGACTGGCAACAACCCTATGGAAAAACAGAACCTAGAACAAATCCTGTCTTTAATTTAAAAGGCAGCAGGGAGCACTTCACACAAGATAATAATTCAGAAGTCCAACATAACACACAATGGGTAACATCCAATATAATCCAACATAAAACCCATTGGTTAACTGGAATGGGCTCTCCTGTATGTCAGCCCACTTTTTACTAACTAGTGTAAAAGGTAAAAGGTAAAGGACTCCCGGATGGTTAAGTCCAGTCAAAGGTGACTATGAGGTTGTGGCGCTCATCTCGCTTTACAGGCCGAGGGAGCCAGCGTTTGTCCACAGACAGCTTTCCGGGTCATGTGGCCAGCATGACTAAACTGCTTCTGGCACCACGAAACACCTTGACGGAAACCAGAGCGCACAGAAACTCTATTTACCTTCCCGCCACAGCGGTACCTATTTATCTACTTGCACTGGTGTACTTTCAAATTGCTAGGCTGGCAGGAGCTGGGACAGAGCAACGGGAGCTCACCCCGTCGTGGTGGTGGGGGAGTTCATTAAAATTATTCCCCCTCGCTTACTTTGTCTGGTCTCTTTCCTTTGATCTGGGTGGCTCTTATTACTCTGCTCACTGTCTGGGCAATCATGCCTTAAATCATATTGCCAGGTGGAAATGACCCATGAGCAGCTTCCATTTAGCTATGCCCATTTTAGCACACAAGAGGCGAGCCTAACTTACTCTAGAGAACAACGTTCATTCACTTTTTCTATGTCAGATTCTATTTGATTTTTATAATATAATAATAATAATAAATTTTTATTTATACCCCGCCCTCCCCGGCCAGAGCCGAGCTCAGGGCGGCTAACACCAATAAAATTACAATAAAACATGGGGGGGGGGGGACAAACAAACAAACAAAAACAAAACCAATTTATTAAAAGGAGAGGTGGTCCCAAAGGTACGAGGGTCCTAGGCCGCATAGGGCTTTAAATGTCAAAACCAGCACCTTAAACCTGACCCTGTACTCCACCAGGAGCCAGCGCAGCTGGTAAAGCACTGGGTGAATGTAATCCCGCGGCAAGGACCCCGTGAGGAGCCTCACCCGCTGGAGTTTCTGGGTCAGCTTCAAGGGCAGCCCCGCGTAGAGTGAGTTATAATAATCAAGCCTGGAGGTGACCGTCGCATGGATCGCTGTGGCCAGATCAGCGCGAGAAAGGTAAGGGACCAACTCATTTTGGCACTCATGTAAGCAATAATATTAACCTTCTTTAAAAAATTGAAAGCTACGATTCTCAGCCGTAGGTCCCTAGGCTAGCTATCTCTGTCCACATACAGAGTGCTGAAGTTTGGGCAGATCCACATTGTACATTCAAAGCTCACACTTAAAGCACACATCTTCCCACAAAGAATTCCAGGAACTGCAGTTTCCCTAAAGAACTGCAATTCCCAGAATGCTTAGCAGAGTAAATAATAAGGATTCATTGAGGGACGTCATGTGCTTTAAATGTTTGTTAGGAAAGGTAAAGGGACCCCTGACCATTCGGTCCAGTCGTGACCGACACTGGGGTTGCGGCGCTCACCTCGCTTTATTGGCCGAGGGAGCCGGCGTACAGCTTCCAGGTCATGTGGCCAGCATGACTAAGCCACTTCTGGTGAACCAGAGCAGTGCACGGAAACGCCGTTTACCTTCCCGCCGGAGCGGTACCTATTTATCTACTTGCACTTTGATGTGCTTTCGAACTGCTAGGTTGGCAGGAGCAGGGACTGAGCAATGGGAGCTCACCCCATCGCGGGGATTCGAACTGCCGACCTTCTGATTGGCAAGTCCTAGGCTCTGTGGTTTAACCCACAGCACCACCCGTGCCCCAAATGTGTGTTGGGTGTGCATTAAATGTATGGCGTAGCACTGACAGTGCTGCAAAACTGGAAACCAGTATTTTCTAGATCTCCCGCTTCTCTTTGATCTGACTCATTCAAAATTTAACATATCCAGCAGCACAGAAAGCAGACCTTGCAAGCAAACTAAGTTTGCAACTACACTCCCCTCTTTATGTAATCGACCTCTTGCTACTACTGCTCCAAGTGCTTTACAGTCATGTTTATCCTAGCCGCTCCCAAGATGTATTAGCTCAGCTCCTGGAGTCTTCTGAGCAGATGTAGACACTTTCTGGAGCGCACTGCTAAATGCCTTATTTCCTACGTTATGTGTGCTGCCAACATCTTGCACTTCGGAGGCAAGGAGAGACTTGCTGCTCTTGACTTGGGAGGAGAAAAGGATGCAATGAGCTCAAAATGATTTGTCCCCATCCCCCCTGAGCAACGAAATTAACGAGAGTGGGTCACAAACAGCTTTTGGCATAGTAAACGTAACTCAGGGAAAGCAAAGGTTTGCACGGAGGACTGGCCAGGATCACACTTTCTCCCCGTGCAAAATTAAAGTGTGACCTAGAAAACACACACACACACACACACACACACACACACACACACACCTCTTCTCATGAGGTGGCCAAAGTATTGGAGCTTCAGCTTCAGGATCTGTCTTTCCAGTGAGCACTCAGGGCTGATTTCCTTCAGAATGGATAGGTTTGATCTTCTTGCAGTCCATGGGACTCTCAAGAGTCTCCTCCAGCACCATAATTCAAAAGCATCAATTCTTTGGCGATCAGCCTTCTTTATGGTCCAGCTCTCACTTCCATACATCACTACTGGGAAAACCATAGCTTTAGCTATACGGACCTTTGTTGGCAAGGTGATGTCTCTGCTTTTTAAGATGCTGTCTAGGTTTGTCATTGCTTTTCTCCCAAGAAAAATAACCGCATAACCTTAGAAGGTTGTATAATCTTAGAAGGGGATTTGGCTGTGAGGGGGTGTAGCTGGGACTATCACAAAGGGACTAGGCACTTCTGAATTTGCCGCTACACTACTGGTTACAACTCCCACCATCCCTGATCACTGGCCATACTGGTTTGGACTGCTGGGATATGGAGTCCAACAACATCTGGAGGGCCACAGGTCCCCTAACAAGAGACACTGCCAGTCTCCTTCCCCCTCCTTCTGTTTTGCTTTGATTCATTATTTCAAGGGTAGCCAACATGGCATCTTTCAGATATTGTTGGACTCCAACTCCCATCAGCCTCAGTCAGCATGGCCAGTAGTCAAGGATGATGGGAGGTGTAGTTCAACAACATCTGGAGGGCATTGTGCCACCTACTTGTGCATTATCCGCATGCCTGGCTTTTCCGGTGGCTCCAAGTCTTCAGAAAAGCCATTTCCCCTCTCTCTCTCTCTCTCTCTCTCTCTCTCTCTCTCTCTCTCTCTCTCTCTCTCTCTCTCTCATTGTGTTAGGCACAAACCAAACCAAAAAACAAGTCCATGTGTGCAGACAGCTAGCACAGCCATACCACAATGAGAGTAAAGCTCTCTTTTTGGAGTCTTCATGCCATTCCCATTCCAGAGAGAAGGGAATATTTAAAAACAAACAAAGCACACTATCAACATTTGTAGGACAGAATGAAACATAACCTCTATTCCTGGTCTGTGTCTGTTTTGCATCTGCTCATTCATGAGTCTGTTCTATCTGTTCTGCATTTTTAAAAAACCAATTGAAAACTCACTCAGTTTTTGTATGGTTTTTTTCATTAGATACACATTTTTAAATGCAATCTACCCTGAAACATCCATATTGTATGCATTTTCAGTTAAACATGCATTTTAGTAGTATTTTTAAAAAATCAATTATTGCAAAATTTGGAGAGGTTTAAAAACAAAACAGAACTGCATTCCAACCCATACATTAGCCTGGGAATCAGAACAATTCTAACCAGGTCAGCATGAATCAGGTCAGTTTGCCTAAAACGTACAGACCAAATGAAATCCTCACTCAGCCCTAACTCCACAAGAATGTCAAGGATGCAAGAAGTTCTCCCTTATTGGATTATGTCCAAGTCCCTTATGATCCACCACCCTCGTTCCAACAGCCTCTGAACCTAAAGGTCCTATTGAGCTATCATAGTGAGAGTTTGGATTTGATATCCCGCTTTATCACTACCCGAAGGAGTCTCAAAGCGGCTAACATTCTCCTTTCCCTCCCCCCCCCCAACAAACACTCTGTGAGGTGTGTGGGGCTGAGAGACTTCAGAGAAGTGTGACTGGCCCAAGGTCACCCAGCAGCTGCATGTGGAGGAGCGGAGACGCGAACCCGGTTCCCCAGATTACGAGACTACCGCTCTTAACCACTACACCTCACAAGCAACCCCCTGCTTCTTCGACAGTTACAGGCTATAGTGGCAGAAAGAGTAGAGCTACTAAAAATGCCTTTCCTCCATCCCCCTTAAAAAAACTGAGGTTCCTTTTAGAGTGAGGCAAGGTTCCAATAACTTCAGAGGGCAGAGATAAAAGCTTGTGCTGTTCACGGTCAAAAACGTCTGCCTGGCATGCAAAGTGTGCCTGGTTCAATCCCTGTCATCGCCATTTAGCCCTGGAAAATGTCCCCTGACTGGAACTCTGAGGAGTGCTGCCAGTCAGCGCAGTCAGCATTGAGCCACACGGACCAAAGGTGTGACTCTGTATAAGGCAGCTTTCTACGTTTGCATACCAGCTTCAAAAGTGTGGGACTCCCTCCTTACAGATTTCCTCAGCCTCTTTGCTGCATAGCTCACCCCATATTCTGAAGCCCCACTTCTTTAAGGCATTTTGTTTAGCAGGCTCCATCTCTCCTACTCTGCTTTGGGGTTGTCATTACAGTGGTACCTAGGGTTACATACGCTTCAGGTTACATATGCTTCAGGTTACAGACTCCACTAACCCAGCAATAGTGCTTCAGGTTAAGAACTTTGCTTCAGGATGAGAACAGAAATCGTGCTCCGGCGGCGCGGCAGCAGCAGCAGCAGGAGGCCCCATTAGCTAAAGTGGTGCTTCAGGTTAAGAACAGTTTCAGGTTAAGAACGGACCTCCAGAACGAATTAAGTACTTAACCCAAGGTACCACTGTATTCTATATGTTTTGCATGTTTTTAATAACTGCAATTGATTATATAACTCGGCCCAGTATACCTGAAGGAGCGTCTCCACCCCCATCGTTCTGCCCGGACGCTGAGGTCCAGTGCCGAGGGCCTTCTGGAGGTTCCCTCACTGAGAGAAGCAAAGGGAACCAGGCAGAGGGCCTTCTCGGTAGTGGCGCCCACCCTGTGAAACACCCTCCCATCAGATGTCAAAGAGATAAACAACTACCTGACATTTAGAAGACATCTGAAGGCAGCCTTGTTCAGGGAAGTTTTTAATGTGTAAAGTGTGTGACATTTTGATGTATTTTTAATCTTTGTTGGAAGCTGCCCAGAGTGGCTGGGGAAACCCAGCCAGATGGGCGGGGTACAAATAATAATAATAATAATAATAATAATAATAATAATAATAAAAGATTATTATTACTGTAGGGTTTCTACTGCTGTAATCCGCTTTGAGGCTTTATGGTGAAAGGCAGGTTAGAAATCTTACAACACAAAGCTTGGAAACTACCAATTGGATACAGATTGAAGCTCGTCCGTTGTTGGGTTTTTTTGCCCAATGCACATAATTTGTTACACTTACACACACACACACACACACACACACACACACACACACCCCAATATGAGAAAACGCTGCAACCATTTCTAATGCACCAGGAACACAAACACAAGGAAGAGATGCCACAGAAAAGAATCCAACTTTCCTCTGGCCTATCACATAGACCTCGCGGCTTACCATCAACTTGATACTTTCTGGAATATCAATCATCTGAATGTGGGGCGAGGAAGAGAGAAAGTACAAAATCGTCCAGAAGGGACACAACTTACTGATGGATTATGCTGACTATAGAAACTTCCATTCCATATCAAGAGGTGGCCTTGCCTGTAATATCCTTAGAGGGACTCCTGGAGGGCGGCAGGAGGTTTCCCCAGATTTGCATTGGCAGATTGACTGTTTGGCTGCTTATTACAAAGTGCACTGCCTTCCCGGGCCACAGTCCAGAAAGGCATTTCGAGATCACACGGTTCACTTTATGTGTTTAAGCAGTTGCACTGAATTCCTGGATTATAACAAACTGAAGGCAGGTGCATACTATCACTAGACAAAAGTACAGAACAGCATATAATGCCGTGCCTATTGGCCACATTCACAAGGTATATTTGAAGCACTATGATGCCACTTTAAACAGCCACAGCTTCCCCTAAACAATCCTGGGGGCTGTGGATTGTCAAGGGTGCTGAGTGTTGTTGGGACGCCCCAGAGTTCCCTCTCAGAGCTACAATTCCTGGAGTGGTTTCATCAGTCAATTCCACTTCACAGGGAACTCTGGAAACTGTAGCGGTGGGAGCGGAATAGGGGTCTCCTGACAACTCTCATAACAAACCCATAACAAACTGCAGCTCCCAGAATTCCATGACTATTTGAAGTGGCGTCATAGTACAGTGGTACCTCAGGTTAAGTACTTAATTCGTTCTGGAGGTCTGTACTTAACCTGAAACTGTTCTTAACCTGAAGCACCACTTTAGCTAATGGGGCCTCCTGCTGCCGCTGCGCCGCCGGAGCACGATTTCTGTTCTCATCCTGAAACAAAGTTCTTAACCTGAGGTAATATTTCTGGGTTAGCGGAGTATGTAACCTGAAGTGTATGTAACCTGAAGCGTATGTAACCTGAGGTACCACTGTACTTTAAATGTATGGTGTGGATGTGGCCAGTTTTTCTGTAGCTAACCACACACAGACGAAACCAGAATTGGACAAAGGGCTCTGTTTTACTCACAGGGCATCCCATGACATGGCTGCTTAGAAGCACATTATTATATCCCCCTGGACTCAACTAGACTCGCCCCCCCCCCCCCCAGTTTAGCATGCATAGGATTGCAGCCTTGGTGAAATACTTCGGGTGAAATTTTGCCATGATATCAAATGGGAGCAAGACAGATGATCAAAGCCTAGGTGCACAAGCATTTTTACAGGCTCTGATGCATGCGTCTGACAAGTCAGGCCACAGCTTAGTGGCAGAGCACATGCTCTGCATGCATAACACCCCAGTTTCAATCTCCGGTATCTCTAGAAAAAAGAAGAGGTGCAGTGCTGGAAGAGTCCTTTTGCTGGAGAGCTGCTGTCAGTTGGAGAAGGCAGATATTGGCTGTTTGGCATCCTGGTCTGATGCATAAGGTGCACATCTGTGCCTCAAATGTACACTTAACCACAGTGCTAACCCCTCCAGACCTGCTGGTGGTCCCCAGCCTGTGAAGGGGGAAACTGGAGGTGTGTCCTCTGTGTAACACTGGGAAAGCATCTATTCTATTGGTTAAGTAAAAGGTAAAGGTAAAGGACCCCTGGACGGTTAAGTCCAGTCAAAGGCAACTATGGGGTTGTGGCCCTCCTCTCGATTTACTGGCCGAGGGAGCCGGTGTACAGCTTCCGGGTGATGTGGCCAGCATGAATAAGCCGCTTCTGGCAAACCAGAGCAGCGCACAGAAACGCCGTTGACCTTCCTGCCAGAACAGTACCTGTTTATCTACTTGCACTTTGACGTGCTTTCAAACTGCTAGGTTGGCAGGAGCAGGAACTGAGCAACGGGAGCTCACCCTGTCGCGGGGTTTCGAACCGCCGACCTTCTGATCGGCAAGCCCTAGGCTCTGTGGTTTAACCCACAGGGCTACCCACGTCATTGGTTAAGTACCAAAGCACTAAAGTGAAAGTGCAGGAAGGCAACTAGGCCCTAGGGCTGGGCAATATATCGATATATCATCCAAAACTGGTTTGGATTGTCCATATCATGATATCGACTCCATAATTTTTGACCTGACAATATATCGTGAATCATAATGTGTGTGTGCGTCTGCACTATGCAAAAATCACAATGTGGGGGAAACCGTGAAGCCAGCCAGCCAATCTTTCTCTCGATTCCTGCAGCCCCTGTTAACTCTCCCAGCTCAGCTTTACTTTGCTTCCTGCAGGGAGCAGTGAATCAAATGAGCAGGCACCAGCAAAAATCATGATGCATGATGAACCATGAAGCCAGCCAATGCCTCTACGTAGCTCCATCCTTATTTCAGACTTTGTGATACATCGGTATATCACGATGCTTAGCTGGTGATATATCATGATGTCGAAAACCAGATTTCGCCCAGCCCTAGTAGGCACTTGTGCCCTGCCCTGGTTACAACTAGTATTCTGAGGTAGGTGGATTCTGGACACAGAGGTAGGGAGCCTTGTAGGCCACGCAATCAAACCCCACATTTTAGGTTGCAATCCCAAGCACCTTTTCCCTGGGAGCACATCTCACTGGACTCAAGAAGGCTTAGGTAAAGGTAAGGGGACCCCTGACCATTAGGTCCAGTCATGGCCAACTCTGGGGTTGCGGCACTCATCTCGCTTTACTGACCGAGGGAGCCGGCATACAGCTTCCGGGTCATGTGGTCAGCATGACTAAGCCGCTTCTGGCGAACCAGAGCAGCGCACGGAAACACCGTTTACCTTCCCGCCGGAGAGGTACCTATTTATTTACTTTCACTTTGACGTGCTTTCGAACTGCTAGGTTGGCAGGAGCAGGGACCGAGCAACGGGAACTCACCCTGTCACAGGGATTCGAACTGCCGACCTTCTGATCGGCAAGTCCTAGGCTCTGTGGTTTAACCCACAGCACCACCCGTGTCCCTTTCAAGAAGGCTTACTTCTGAGTAAATATGTAGATGATTAGTGACTGCAACTAGGGTAGAAAGCAGGGTCGGATTTAGGTTTGATGAGGTCCTAAGCTACTGAAGGTAATGGGGCCCTTTATATGTCCAGCTGTCCTTCGTTAACAACATACTGTCACATTTGTTTTTGTGTTGAATATATGTTATATAGTAATTTATGGACCTGATAGGTATCTAAAGCCATTTGCACACAACAAATAGGAGTCTACACAACACAAAACACTGTTGCTGTATGCACGTTTTATTTTATTTGTTTTTTATCTCATATTTTGGAAATGTGCATCCAGTCCCCCCCCTTTAAATTTTTTGGGAGCCCCCAAGAGAGTGGGACCCTAAGCTATAGCTTGTTTAGCTTATACGTAAATCTGGCACTGGTAGACAGCATAAGTGATCTGGCAGAAAGCTTATCCCTTATAAAGACTGAATACAGTGACCCAGAGCTGCCTGAATGCAACCCAGAGACCCATGTTTAACAACCAGTTTAGCAGGTGATTCAATGGCCGCAGCTCATCCTGCCTGCTCCTTTGCCAGCCCTTTGGTCCCCCACACAACCCACCCTGCTTGCTGTGCAGCACGCTGGAAGTCCAGTTCTGGGCACCACAATTTAAAGATGCTATTGACAAGCTGGAGCTTGGAGGGCAACCAAGATGATCAAGGGTCAGGAAACCAAGCCTTATGAGGAACGGTTAAGGGAGTTGGGCATGTTTAGCCTGGAAAAGAGGAGACTGAGAGGACATATGAGAGCCAACTTCACATATTTCAAGGGCTGTCACATGGAAGAGGGAGCAAGACTGTTCTCTCCTGCTCTGGAGGGAAGGGCTCAAACCGATGGATTCAAGTTACAAGAAAGGAGATTCTGACGAAACATCAGAAATAAAGTGGTACCTCGGGTTAAGTACTTAATTCGTTCTGGAGGTCCATTCTTAACCTGAAACTGTTCTTAACCTGAAGAACCACTTTAGCTAATGGGGCCTCCTGCTGCTGCCGTGCCGCAGGAGAACAATTTCTGTTCTTATCCTGAAGCAAAGTTCTTAACCTGAAGCACTATTTCTGGGTTAGCGGAGAAGTAACCTGAAGCGTATGTAACCCGAGGTACCACTGTAATGTTCTGACAGCTGTTTGACAGTCGAACAGTGAGGAGGAGGTTGTGGACTCTCCTTCCTTGGAGGTTTTTAAGCAGAGGTTGGATGGCCATCTGTCATGGATGCTTTAGCTGAGATTCCTGCATTGCAGTGGGTTGGACTAGATGACCCTTGGGTCCCTTCCAACTTTACAATTCTTTGATTCTATAACTCTATATGGCAGGTGGGAGAGGAGAGAAAACAGAAGCTCAAGAAGAGCCACAGTGTCTCTCTCACTTAAGTAGTTTAAAAGGGCAGAGTAATTTCCTTGTGTCACAGCGTGGAAGCCACAGCTCCACATTACCATCAGGTATATATCTAATCTACCAGCATGAAAAATGAGAAACTTCACTATGAAGACATAATGAATATATTTTCCTTATTCGCTTTTCTCCCTTCTCCCTCCCAACCTCGTTTCCTTTTGTGTTGTGGCTTTTAAATTGTAAGCCCAAGGGAACAGGACTGTTTTTCTTCTGGATATTTGCAAGCTGCTCTGAAATGCATTTTTTGGCTGAAGGGTAAAAAGAAAGGGACAAACTTTACATAAATAAATCCCAGCTTAGATTGTAAGCTCCTTGGGAGCAGGGACCTACCTATTTTGTCACAGCAACCATGTGCTTTAAACAAGAACAACAAATGGAACAGTTCTGGACACAAGAGGGTTAAGAGAAACACGCAACTGCAGAATCGTATCAGATCTGCTATGGAAAACAAAACAGAACCCTGTTCTGCATTAGGTTTGCAGGTTTATTGAATATGGATATGACAATAGCACCTTTATTGGCTTATTACACTCCCAGGATCCCTTTCAAAGTCATAGCTGGCTGACACCATTTTCAAAGGCATAGTTGCCAATGTTCATAATTATAACTGAGGCCAGGCAATATCTAATGCTTTCTTTAAAAGCAGCTATTTCCTGATACATTCAAAATAAAAGCCTCAACTTTTAAAATCTAGTTGCACACAAACATTTGAAAATATGGGCCATGCTTGCCCACACAAAAACCAACCACAATTTACCATAAAAAACACTATGGCTTCAAACGACATTTCAGTGAAACGTAATCTACCTCATGTAAAGTACCTGGGCATCAAAGTGGCTACAGAATTATCATGACCAGTATAATGGAGCAAATCTCACTTTTAAAACCCAATGGATAGGAAACGTTTTGAATTTCAGAGAACAATGGGGATGTTAAAAAGACTTGGACCACAGTCCTAACTAACCCCCCCCCCAAAAAAAACCCCCCAGAAAGCTGGGAACTATAGTTTGTTAAGGTGCTGAGAATCAAAGCCCTGCGAAGGGGGAAACTACAGTTCCCAATATTTTTGGGAGGAGTGATGTGCTTTGCATGTATGGTTCTTTATATGTTGGGCAGGGCAGATGTGTGCACAACCAAAACTGTTCTGAAAGCTTTTCCTGGAGTTGATCACCTGACTTCACAGGTAAAACTGTCTTCAAATGGAAAAGCAGTTTGCCTGTTCAGCTACAGTAAAGAACAACCAACAAACCCTACTTTCAAAACACTTCCATCCACAGAGATATTTTATCCCTATCTACGAGTAACCAGGACTGCAGTAGAAGACCCAGTTGCAGTGCATAATTATGTGAACTTAACAGACATTGATTTCAAGGGCCTTTAGTAACCGCCAGTAAATTGCAGCAAAAGTAGGAAGCTGCCTTATGCTGTGTCCATTTGCCTATCTAGTTCAGTACTGCTTACACTGACTGGCAGCTACTCTCTAGGATTTCAGGTGGGGATTCTTTCCCAGCCCCAACTAGGGATGCCCCAGGTTGAACCTGAGTCCTTCTGGATCAGTGTTTCCCAAACTTGGGTCTCCAGCCATTTTGAGGGGACTACAATTCCCATCATCCCTGACCTCTAGTCCTGCTAGCTAGGGATGATGGGAGTTGTAGTCCAAAAAAACAGCTAAAGACCCAAGCTTGGGAAACACTGTTCTGGATGAAGAACAGGTGTTACATCACTGGGCTACGGCCATTCTTTCAGGTGTTGCGGTGCTATAAAGAATGGATAAAGAGTTCTTTTTGTGTCCTGTATTTTAGATTGGAAGCTCTCAGGAAGGGGGGAGCTGCTTTGAAAAAATAAGTAATATCTTGATATTGTGAAATGAGGGCGACGTTGAGAGGCAGTGGCTTCCCTAGGTCTCTGAGTGATTTCCAGGCTGAGCTAAGATGTGAAGCTGGATTTAGTGGCTCATAACATATTACGAGGGATGCGGGTGGCACTGTGGTTAAATCACAGAGCCTATGACTTGCTGATCAGAAGGTTGGCGGTTCGAATCCACGGGGCGAGCTCCCGTTGCTCTGTTCCAGCTCCTGCCAACCTAGCAGTTTGAAAGCATGTCAAAGTGCAAGTAGATAAATAGGTACCGCTCTGGTGGGAAGGTAAACGGCATTTCCGTGCGCTGCTCTGGTTCGCCAGAAGCGGCTTAGTCATGCTGGCCACATGACCCGGAAGCTGTACGCCGGCTCCCTCGGCCAATAAAGCGAGATGAGCGCCGCAACCCCAGAGTCGGCCACGACTGGACCTAATGGTCAGGGGTCCCTTTACCTTTACCTTTTTAACATATTAAGAACATAGGAAGAGCCTGGCAATATTGCACCAAAGATCCATAGCTGGGCATTCAGGGAAGCTCAAACACAGAATATGAACAATATGAACGTTGGTGTCCTTAGGTAATTTTAGACTTTGGGCTGCATGACCTTATACAGTCTCAGTCTCTCTCTCTCTCTCTCTCTCTCTCTCTCTCTCTGTGTGTGTGTGTGTGTGTCTACAGATGCTTAAGTGCATCATTTCACATGGTAAGCCTGCTTTGATAAATTCAGAGGGACTTTTCACTTTTAACTGTGGCAAGATGGATACCTTTAGCCATGACACTATGTCTCCAGCAGTGTTAGAAACTCAGAGATATATAAGCTAGGCACCAAAGGGCTCCTTAAACCAAGGTTACAGTCACCAAAACAGAATAGCTAGTTGCCATTTTGGGGCAAGACAGCTCTAAAGTCTTATTTTTCAAATGATGGACTGACTGTGATTGATCATCAGTTAAACATCTGGCTAGTTCAGACGGCAACCTTGAGCTGGGTGAAGAACTTTGAGAACTAAAAGAAGAAGAGTCACTTGATCCAGGGAAGAGTCCTGGCCTATTCCGACCTCTTTTTCTGAATGGTGACACAGACCATTCATAACTAAGAATATTCTTCACAACTGTGAGCAAGGCAGTGGGGTGGGTTAAGTGAAGACAAGCGGCAACAATTAACTATAAAGTTGTTTACTGCTCCTGCTCAGGCGGCACAGAAAAAAGCATTTTGGTTCCTGAGATTCATTCCAATGCTGGAGATAAAATATAACTGATAGAATTCTTCATTCTCAAAAATTTTATTGGTTTTCACAATATCATAAACAAACAAACAAACAAACACACACACACACAAGACAAACAAACAAAACTAACATAAATCATAGCCTTATTAAAAATTACAGTTATTAACTTTGTTAAATGACTTCCTCGCTTCCCTTTGGTTGAATTTCATTGCATGTCCTTTTAACGGTTTTCCAAATCCCAATTTTTTCTGAAATTTAACTTAAACATTAACATCCTTAAATCTTCACCTTATAAAATTAAACATATTAATTCATCACTTAACATAAATAAAATCCTAAGCCCATTAAGTATCTGCAAGCTATTTCCAGTTAGTTTAACTTAACAAATTTAACTAAATAATCATTAAATTTATTCCATTCTTCCTGATACTCCTCCTCCTTCTGGTCACGGACTCTTAACTGATAGAATTCTACAAGGTGTGGTATTAGTGTGTGAAAACAGTCAAGAATGAAGCTAGGTGGTTTAAGCAGTAATGCCATAAAGGTGTATGTAAAAAATGAAAATTTAAAGTTATAGTATATTAAGTTAAAGGATTATGAGAAAACAAAGAGGGAAAGAAATTGCTGACTTAACTAATTGAACTGGAATACAAAAAAGGGAGGTATGAGGAGGTCAGGGAAACAAGGATATGAATGTAAGCTATGGAAAGATTGATCTATTTTTCTTTTTTTTCTTTTCTTTTTAAGTGTCTTTTATTCTTTTATTCTGTATTTTGTATTTTTCTTGTATTTTTACTTCTTGTTTTTGTGTGATTCTTTTTTCTGAAATTTCAATAAATATCATACATATATAAAAAAATAAAAACAGTCAAGATCCAATAATCCCCGGGCATGCACCTCCAGATGGGGGAGATGTTGGGTGCTGCTGTCCTGGCACCCAGGTACCTTCACTTGGTCACAAGTGGGTGATAAAAAGGTAAAGGTACCCCTGACCATTAGGTCCAGTCATGGACGACTCTGGGGTTGCGGCGCTCATCTTGCTCTAGAGGCTGAGGGAGCCGGTGTTTGTCTGCAGACAGCTTCCAGTCATGTGGCCAGCATGACTAAGCTGCTTCTGGTGAACCAGAGCAGCGCACGGAAACGCCGTTTACCTTCCTGCCGGAGTGGTACCTATTTATCTACTTGAACTGGTTTGCTTTCAAACTGCTAGGTGGGCAGGAGCTGGGACCGAGCAAGGGGAGCTCACCCCGTCGTGGGGATTCGAACCGCAGACCTTCTGATCGGCGCCTGGTTGATTTTGAACACTGGTCTCAAGGGCTTAGGAAGCTGCCTGATGCTATGTCAGCTCACTGGTTCATCTAGCTATTGCCTACACTGACCTGCAGAAGCTCTCCAGGATTTCAGGCAGGGGACTGAACCAAGGAATTTCTGCATGCAATGCCTGATCTGCCCCTGAGCTATAACCTTTCCCTAAGACTTGCACAGATAATGTCTTTAGTGACACAGATTCTTGTCCTTCTTTGGCAACCTAGCCCTAACAACAACAACAGCAACAACAGCAGTCTGTTAGCATCTTTCATGAAATCTAGTAGGCCTGCATTATTAAAAGTAAGGGTTCCCAGTCCATCTTATCTTATGTACTAACAGCTGTACCTGTTCCTCTTGAAGCCTGAAATGCCAGCGCATCATTTTCACCATATATTGTGGAAGGCTGCACTCACAAGTCACGTTTAAATTGATTTTATTTCTTTTATTTTATGCCTCTCGCCCCCCCTCCGCCTTCTGCACAGGTCTGCAATGGAAAAGTAAAACCCATTTTGGCTAGGGTGAAAATTTAATGGAAGAATCGCCTCCTATCTGCCATTCATTAACAGCATTCACATTCCAGGCTTAAAGGCATTCATCCCAGGGAAGACATGCCAAATTCCGGACATGATTCCCTTTCCCCCAGGTTGTAAGTGTGCCAAAAACAGCAAACACAGGTGTATCTGGGAAGGTGGGCCAGCAAAACTTGTGTGCGCTTAGTGAAGTTGAGCTAAAGGTAGTGTGTGAGGCCATTTTAAATTACATTTTACATTTCTGACATTTATATACTCCTGTTTCCTCCAAGGTGGTGCACATCTAGTTCTCTCCTCATTTTATTCTCACAACAGCCTTGTGAGGTAGCCCAAGGTCACCCTGTGAGCTTCACAGCTAAGAGGGGATTTGAACTCCTGGCCTCCCAGTTCCTAGTCTGACACTCTAACCACTACACCACGCTGGCTAGTGGTTCAGTGATGGATTAGGACTCGAATCCCCACTCAGCTATGAAGTTCATTGCGTGATCTTGAGCTAATCACTTCTTGGCCTAGCCTACCTCACAGGATTGTTGAGAGGATAAAATGGGTAAGAATGCCAAGACGGGGCTTCTTCCCAAATTGGAGGCTCCAAGAACTACCCAGTCATTACTCTTCCACTGTAAGCTACAAGTGGGATTGCAATTGCCTTTCCTCCCTATTAGGAGTATTCTGCTTTTTCTAGATGTACATCCAGCTATGTTCTGTTCATATAAGGGGGCGTGGCATAATTGTTGTGGGCGGGGCCAGTTGAAGTTTAGCACACATTCCTTATAACCAGGGCTTTCCCCCCCCCGGAACTCGATTCCGGCACCTCTCAGGTGGGCGCCATTGCCATTATGAGAGAACAAGGGTGGCGTTCATGGCATGTTCCGGCACCTCTTTTCCTAGAAAAACTGCACTGCTCATAACCCTTGTGGTGGATACCATTTTATGACTGCTTTCACTTAAAACCCCCCCCCACAGTCTTTCAATAATCAATAAAACATATTTCAGACCCTGCAAGTGTCCCTATTTCCCAGGGACAGTCCCAGATTTACAGAAGCCGTCCTGGTTTCTGATCTGATCCCGGAATGTCCTGCTTTTCCTTAGGACGTCCCTATTTTCATCAGAGAAATGCTGGAGGGTATGATATTTCTGTCAGTTTTATAAATGAAAGAAACAGATATTGTACTATGACATGATATTGCTATAATATTAATTTGTGCTACTAGACCATAATATGACTATCATAGAATTGTAGAGTTGGAAGGGACCCCAGATCCTATAGTATTATAGTTTTCTAGCACTATACCTCTCTCTCATTATTATTATTTTAAAATATGCAGCAGAAAACTGCCATCTTGCCCAAAAATGGCAACTAGGCTTTGTGTTTTGGCAACTGCAACCTTGCTTCAAGGAGCTATTTGGTGCCTAGCTTATATATCCAAGTTTCTAACAATGGGTGCGGGAGTTGCACTTTCTGTGATCTGAGAAAAGGATGAAAGATGTGCAGAGAAAATGGTGGTTCCCTCACTGCAAGAAGCAAAGTTACAGGGAACCAGGCAGAGGGCCTTCTCGGTAGTGGCACCCTCCCTGTGGAACGCCCTCCCAGCAGATATCAAAGAGAACAACAACTATCTGACATTTAGAAGACATCTGAAGGCAGCCCTGTTTAGGGAAGCTTTTAATGACTGATGTTTTAATGTATTTTTAATATTTTGTTGGAAGCAGCCCCGAGTGGCTGGGGAAACCCAGCCAGATGGGCGGGGTACAAATAAATTATTATTATTATTATTACTTTTATTATTATACAATACAGGATGCCAATAACTGGATGACGTTGTTATGTGGCCATCCTATAAAAAGGGTGTGAGCACAGCAACCCAGCGTTAAATGTGGCCTGCTTAAATAGATGCCTTTCCCCAGGAATGGCCTCAAGGCAGTAGCTGTTTTTCAAGTTAATGGCCAGTTTGCCTCAAAATACAAGATAAAATTGGCTCATGCATGGGTCTTCAAACTCTTGAATGTTCTCCCTGAAAACTTTGGGCTATATCCAACTAAGGCCACCATCAGGCCATACATTGAAAGCACTACAATTCCACTTCAAACAGTCATGGCTCCCCTCCCAAAGAATGATGGGAGCTGTCGTTCGTTAAGGCTGCTGCTACGACTCCCCTATTCCCCTTGCATTCCCAGAGGGATTAATCGTCATATCACTCAGGGAATTGTAGCTCTGGGAGGGGAACAGGGATCTCTTAACTCACAAACTACAGCGCCCAGAATTCTTTGGTGGAAGCCACAACTATTCAAGTTCTATCATAGTGCTTTAAATGAATGATGTGAAGTTATACACAAAATAGGCCCGTTTAATGGACCTAAGGTAAAGGTAAAGGGACCCCTGACTATTAGGTCCAGTCGTGGTCGACTCTGGGGTTGCGGCGCTCATCTCGCTTTATTGGCCGAGGGAGCTGGCGTACAGCTTCCGGGTCATGTGGCCAGCATGACTAAGCCACTTCTGGAAAACCAGAGCAGCACACAGAAACGCCGTTTACCTTCCCGCCAGAGCGGTACCTATTTATCTACTTGCACTTTGACCTGCTTTCAAACTGCTAGGTTGGCAGGAGCAGGGACTGAGCAACGGGAGCTCACCCCATTGTGGGGATTCAAACCGCCGACCTTCGACAAGTCCTAGGCTCTGTGGTTTAACCCACAGCGCCACCCGCGTCCCTAGTCATGTTCTATAATTTCAGTGGAACTGGATCCAGGGCTGCACATTGACCAACATGCCTTCTTCCACTTTCAGTTGATTTATTTTTACTCCACACCGCTTGTAATTTATCTCATCAGAGTCAACTCTGGTGTAACTGTACAGCTTGAAGATCTGAAGCTTGTTTGACAGACTAAGAATAAAAGAATGGCCCTCCTGGATCAAGCCAATGGCCCATCAAGTCCAGCATCCTGTTCTCACATTGGCCAACCAGATGCCTATGAGAACATCGCCATCCTGACTCTCATTTCCATATTCAGCAGGGATCTTAGAATCACTTCCTGTTCTAGACAATGACCCTTTGCTTGTTGTATTAGGAGAGAACAGCTATATTCATTTGATTTGTATTTTTTAATGCAACACATATGTTCCTCATGGGCTAAACAAAGCCTTGTTTTGTGATGGCCTTTGGTCACAAACAAATACATTTGACTCACGGGCTGATAGTATTATAAATTTTGGAAGAGCCCACGAGGAACCAGACTGTATGTAGATCGAAAGGTTGTCAGCATGGAATGCAGAGCTGGAGATGATCTCAGAATGATTTGCAGTGGAGCTGCCGAGCCGAGTAACCCCACAACACTGGCTTCTGAACTTTCCTTTTAACTAAGGATATGCAGCAAGAAAATGATTTTCTATGTTCAGGGCTAACCTGGTGACCCCTTAATCTGGAAATAAAACCCTGTTGTATCTGCTGGCATCTGCTGCTGAGTTCTGGCAGGCTGGCAAGCCAACCCAACCGCTAAACTTCTGGGAGGTGCTTGCAAAATTTCACCTCCGTGTTTGGGAAAGATTGCTCTCAGAATTGTACTTAACAGCTTTAGTAAAGCCCAAAGTTTATGTACACTTCATTATATACACTGGATGTGCCCTCCAGATGTTTTGGACCATAACTTCCATCATCCCTGATCATCAGCTTGTGCTGACTGGGGAGGATGGGTACTGTAGTCCACAACATCTGGAAGACTCTATTTTGGCTATGCCATCATAATCCCATTTATCTCTGTGGGCATAGGTGTGTCTGCCCTGTCTTGTGAGCATTCCCTGTATGCCGACTGGGGGACTAAAGGCACATTCCAGGCAAAGTTGAGCTCTTCGTTGACTGTACATCCTTGCCTCTGCCCTTGAAATGAATGACCCCAGTGTGAACTGGATTTTACCTTAGTACAGTGGTACCTTGGGTTAAGAACTTAATTCATTCTGGAGGTCTGTTCTTAACCTGAAACTGTTCTTAACCTGAGGTACCACTTTAGCTAATGCGGCCTCCTGCTGCTGTTGCGCCGCTGCTGCACGATTTCTGTTCTCATCCTGAAGCAAAGTTCTTAACCCGAGGTAATATTTCTGGGTTAGCGGAGTCTGTAACCTGAAATGTATGTAACCCGAGGTACCACTGTACAGCCTTTCTCAACCTTGGGTCCCCAGATGTTTTCGCCTATAACTCCCATCATCCCTGACCACTGGTCCTGTGAGCTAGGGATCATGGGAGTTGTAGGCCAAAAACATCTGGGGATCCAAGGTTGAGAACCACTGCCTTAGTAGGTCTGAAATGTTGCTAAATCCCTGTGAAGTTAGGCTGAAAGACAGTGACTGGGCCAAAGTCACCCAGTGAGCACCATAGCCAAGTGGGGAATTTGAACCCTGATCCTCCCAGGTCTTAGTCTGGCACTCTAACCACTACACCACACTGTATGTTGATGAGAAATTTTGGATTCTATGAGTGTATATTGAGTTTAAACCACAATGGTCTGCTGGGATCAGAATAAGCCCATCCTCCCAAGTCAAAATGTGTTCACCCTGCTTCTTCTTCCCTGACAAGGGGGGGGGGAATAAACCTCCAGATATTCTTGGACCCCAACTATTGTCACCCTTAACAAGAGGGCCACAGGTCCCCCACTCTACGGCATAAAAGCTGACTGCTCAGCTGAGTGCTTGAACTAAATAAAAAAATTTTTTCCTTCCAGTAGCACCTTAGAGACCAACTAGGTTCGTTATTGGTATGAGCTTTCATGTACATGCACACGAAAGCTCATACCAATAACAAACTTAGTTGGTTTCTAAGGTGCTACTGGAAGGAAATATTTTTTTTGTTTTGTTTCGACTACGGCAGACCAACATGGCTACCTACCTGTGCTTGAACTAAGATACTAGACATTGAATGGATAGCAAAGGGCTAATGAAAGCATCTCCCAGTAGGCTTGATGGATGGATACTGGCCACAGATTCAGGCTCCCAAGAGTCATTTCCAACTCATCATCCCAAGCTGCATGAAACTGAAATTTCTGTGTATGCATGTAATAAAATCCAGCCCCTACTAAGTATGCCATCTCCTGCAAAGTCAAAGTATTTGTCCATGCAGTCTGGTACTGTCTACTCTAACCAGCAGAAACCCTCCATGAATTCGGGCAGAAATAGGTCTTTCTCATCACAGGTACTGAACCTGGGATATACAATTGAGCTAAGGTCCCTTCCCTATATAGAAAGATGTCATGAATGAGATTTCCTGATAATATTGCTGGAGATAACAGGAAGATGGTCTCAAGAAGAAAGATCTGTGCGTCTTCCAAGAAGGGGATGCCCCTCTCTCTTTAAATGGTCGTTTCTCTAAAAATTTTGTAACACTCATGTACTATTTATAAAAAGTGTTTATAAATAGACAGATGATGCTCCTATTTTAAGGAGGATAGTGTACCATCAGTTTTGATTCTTCATTTAATGCTGGGTGGTGGTGAATCTGCTGCACAGATCAGGCCCACGAAGCCCTCTCCTCATTTTAGCACTGGGCTGGATTTATCATAGAACCATAGAATTGGACGGGATCCCAAGGGTCTTTGAGTGCAACCCTTCTGCAACGCAGGAATTTCAGTGCAGTCACCCATCCAATTTGAAACCAGACCAGACCCTGCTTAGTTTTGCAAACATACTAGCAGTTTTATTGCGGCCCCACCAGGAAATGGGTTTCCTCCCCTCCCAGAGCAGCAGGAGGCAGTAACTGCCCTCTCCATCACAGTGCTGAACTGAGAGGTTTACCCCTCTCCATCTAGCCCAGTGCTGTGATGGGAAGAGCCAGCTCATTGCAACTCTGGGCTGAGTGGAGAGGGAATCACCCTGTTGCAGCGCTGGGCCAAGAAGAGAGGTTTAAAGCACTCCTCCACATCCAGCACTATGTGTGCACTGTGTGAGAGTGTGTGTCCTGTGAGTTTGTGTGTGGTTTTACGTGTGGCACATATATGTGTAGTGATCCACTACATGCATGTGAGGGCATGAGGCGGTCATTTGCACCATGACCACAGAACAGCCTTTGGACAATTTGAATGTGGCTCTGAGCAATGGCATGTGGTCAGTGGACTTGGGGGACTAGGCCAGCCCCATAAATGTTCCTGGTAAGTATTAACGCCTAGTGCCTTCTTCCTAAAACCTGGGAAGCTTCTGTCCAGCTTAGGGAGGGAGGCACGATGCTCTTGCATGCAACATCACCCCCGTCCCACTTGCAAGCTGGCATCTCTGGTCCTAATTGTTCCCCTGCGAAAAATTTCACTGCACGCCACCGGCTCTGAGGCTGAAAAAGGTTAGTCGCCCCTTTCCACTGGTGGCTCCTGGGGGGCATTAACCACAACTGGGATAGTGCCCCCTGCTGGACTCAACAGGCAGAGCCAAGCAGACTTCCTTATGCAAGGAAAACTGCCCCCTAGGTTCCCAGACACTGAGAGCTGATATGTTGTACCTGTGCCCAGAGGAACTTTGGGAGAAGTGAAGGTATGGGGGAAATAGAAAAGTATCCCAAATATATGGGCTCCCTGTAGTTGCAGGTTTTTGTATGCAGGTAGAATACATGCTTGTCTTCATCGATAGCACCGTGACCCCATGAAGGTGAACTCTGTATTCTGAATAGGCAGCCATGGTTTGTATTCCCAAACAGGTACACCTTTCTCTGCTATGGTTGCCAACTGACCAGGAAACAAACAACACACAAGGTTGCCCTTGTAACCTCAGCACCATCAGCCCTGAAGCATGGCTGGCTGGAGGTTGAGCGGCTGCAAAAGGCACAGCTACAGGGGCCAGCGGAAAAGTTGGCAACCCTCCCCTTTGGCCACCCTCAGCTGCTTTCATGAGAGAAGCAAACATGAAATACCTAATGAAAAACCCAACTTGGAAGAAGAAAATGACTGCAGGTTCAGGGCCTAGTGCCTAAATTATGATGGGAAGGGAAGCAGGAGAAGCGGAAGGCTGAAGGAACCGGCACGAAGACCCACTCCCTGATTTCCCCCCCCCCCCAAATCAAACCATGCCCTTCTCTCCTTGCAGTCTTCTAAACAGGGAGGCGTTACAAAAGGCAAAGAGGGCAGCCAGGCCTGCTCTGCACCCCCTTGCAGTTCAAGCACTGCCAGGATCCTGCCCTCTGCCTGCACACCTGATCCACTGCTCTGTACCTGGGTCTGGCAGGTACATTTCGGAGCTTTAGGCCCCAGTGGTAAGCAATCATTTCCTGGGCAATTTGCACCGCTTCGATCCTCAAGGTTCTGAGACTCAGGATGCGACCCCCCGCACTCCTTTCTGCCTCTTTACCAACAATATGATTTAATCACAGTGTCCGAAGGGGAAAGGAAAACCACCTTTCTCTTTCGCTGCCCCCCCACCCCCTTTCTGGCGCCTTCAAAGGAGCAAGGGGGCGGGGTGATGGTGGCTGCTTTGAGTAGTGAGTTTGGGGTGGCGGGAAGAAGGGACAGCGAGAGGCGGTCGAATAAACCAGCATCATTGTCATGCACAGGCTGCCTTGCCCCCCCTTGCCCCCCCTCAATAACAATACTTCAGGTACGGCCGCCTTCTCGTCTACCTCCCCCGCCCCCCCCCGATTCCGTTTCTGCTGCCAAAGGGGGTGGGCAGGGTGTTGTTGTCTGATCAAAATGAAGCTCGGAGAATAATGAAAGGGGGCGAGGATCCGGAGATGGAGAAATCTCGGGGTTGTCGTGCGCTCCCCGCCCCCACCCCCTCCATCGCATCCTCCCACCGATTATCCCATTGTGGAGCATGGAAGGATGGAGGTTCTGGGGGGAGGTGGGGCTGTGTGTGTGTGTGTTTCCCCCTCCCTCTCTGCAAATGCAATGGCTCCATCACGCCCCTGGAGAGGGAAGAGAAAGGAGAAGCAGCGGCGGCGGCGGCGGCGGCCAACCTTTGCGGCACCGGGGTGGGGGGAGAGAAAAGAAGGGGATGCGTGGGGGAGGCTTGGCCCTGGGGCTGAGTGGGGGGCTAAGATTAGAGTCCTCGGCCACCTCTCCCTCCCCCGCACACACCCCTCGGTTAAACGCCCCCCCTCCACGCCCGCCATCCCTGCGTACTTACCCTGGCCGGCCAGTGCGGGTAGCCTTTCATTTTGGCGAAAACCAGATCTCCAGCTTTGTATTCGCGGGGCCTCGGACGAGCCATCGGGTCCTGCCCTGCCCTCCTGCCCGTCGCCAACTCCGAAGCAACCCCCAGCACCGCTCCCAGGCCTTCCCGGCGCTGCGCGGCCCCCCCTTGACCCTCCACAAACTCGGGGAGAGGGGAGAGGCGAGGAGGGGGGTGGGAAAGAGGCGCTCGGCTCCCCCTTCCTGACAACAACAATATTATCGATAATAAGAAGGAGGGTGGTGGTGGTGGTGGTGATGGGGACACGACGGCTGCTGCGCGCCGATCGAGCGAAGGAGGCTTCCGGAGAGCGAAGGATCGGCCCCGGGCACAGGAGAAGCGGCGGCTGGAGGAGGCGGTGGAGGAGCAGGAGAAGGAGGAGAGGGGGGCTGGGGTGTGTGTGCGTGTACGTGTGTGTGTGTGCAAAAGGGGGGAGGGGAGGCCCTGGACTCGGCACCCCCAGCCCCCAAGAATCGAGGGATCCAGCAGCTTTGCGGGGCTCCTCCGCTAGGAAAGGCTGGTGGGGGCTGGGCAGGAGTGGGGGGGGGGCGCCACAGGGGGGGAGGCGGAGATCCCCTCCCCCAAGCCCTGGCTTGGGAACAATGTGGCCAGGAAGGAAGGGCGAAATGTAGCCGCCGCCGAGCTGCCTACATTGCGCTTCCCATCCCGAACGCTCGTCGGTGCAGCAGAGAGAAAAAATATGGACCCTTCTGCAAAATTATTCCTCGGGCAGCGACCGAAAACACGATTTTTCTCCCCTCCTTCCTTTCTTTAATGGCTCGCTCGCCCGCTCGCCGCCTTCTCTCCCTTCCTGTTATTTTCTAGGTACACGGATCGTTTTCTATGAAAACAAGAAACGGCGCACGGAAGGAGGAGGTTTGTAGCTTGCACAGAGAAAGAGAGACACAAACACAGAGGGAGAAATGGGCGGGAGAGCCTTTTATTTCTTTGGACGTTGCAGAAAGAGATGCATAAACGGGATCTTGGTCGCTTATAGGAAGAATGCTTATAGGAAGCATTCTTGCTGGCTTGCTGTTGTTTGCAGACCGGACTGAGGTGCCTCGGTTTCATGCCTAGGTACACAAAGAAACAAACCACTGCTCTGGAGGCGCCGAGCAAACAGACTGAAGCCTGCCTGAATATTGGCAGGGAATTGGTCATTGTCTCCTTCCAAAATGGGAGAATTTGCACGCGTGATCAGTGGCAGGCCGCACACGGAATTCGTGACTATTTCCTACAGCCATAAAAAAATGGCTGCTTTTGGAACTGAGGATGCAGGAGAAGAAACCAGGGAAACACACAAACACACCAGACAGGGTATTGTATTGTTTTGTTGTGTTTTGTTTTTAGGCCTGGGCAGAGGTTTGTCCCTCCTGCTCAGCTGCTGAACAAGAGCGATGCTTGGAAAAAGAGAAAGTATTGGGCAGAGTTCTCCTAGATGGAGAAAGTTGATAAAAAGTCACACAAACACCCTACCAGCAAACAGATGTTGGTCACAGACAACACTTTTCTCCACATCTGTGGATACTTGCGCACCATACACTGAAAGTGTGTCTTCCACTCCCTCACTTTAACAGTCACAGCTTCCCCTGAAAAATCCTGGGAACTGTAGTTCAGGGTGCTGGGAATTGTAGCTCCACAAAAGGTTAGTTACTGTTCCCAGGATTCTGGAAGCAGCTGCTGGGACCATATAACACCTGTCCTAAAGGATCTGCATTGGCTCCCAGTACATTTCCAAGTACAATTCAAAGTGTTGGTGCTGACATTTAAAGCCCTAAACAGCCTCGGCCCAGTATACCTGAAGGAGCATCTCCACCCCTATCATTCAGCCCAGACACCTAGGTCCAGCTCCGAGGGTCTTCTGGCGGTTCCCTCACTGCGAGAAGTGAAATTACAGTCCCATCAGATGTCAAGGATATAAAGAACTACGCAACTTTTAGACGCCACCTGAAGGCAGCCCTGTATTGGGAACTTTTTAATGCTTGATGTTTTATTATGCTTTTATATATGTTGGAAACTCCCCAGAGTGGCTGGGGCAACCTAGTCAGATGGGCAGGGTAATAATAATACAGTGGTGCCTCGCAAGACGAAATTAATTCGTTCCGTGAGTTTTTTCGTCTAGCGAATTTTTCGTCTTGCGAAGCACGAAATCCCATAGGAATGCATTGAAATTCAATTAATGCGTTCCTATGGTCAAAAAAAGTCCAAACAAAGCCAAATTTGGTACAACAAGAGTTTATTAAGTGCTCTTTAAAGTCACACATACTGTAAAGAGCATTTCAAAAACTGAAGGAACAATAAATTCAAAAATTGAAGGAACAATAAAAATCATAAAAATTCAGAAAAAAACCACACAAACTTCCAGATTCTTGCAAACCCCTCCTCAACTGTTCCCCCAGCCACCCACCACACAGAAATTCAAATCCAGATTTTTTTTAAAAAAACAGCAGAGTGGCCCAATGGTCACAGAAAATCATAAAAATTCAAAAAAACCCCACACAAGCTCCCAGATTCTTGCAAACCCCTCCTCAACTGTTCCCCCAGCCACCCACCACACAGAAATTCAAACCCAGAATTTTTTTTTTTAAAAAAACCAACATGGCCCAATGGTCACAGAAAATCATAAAAATGCAGAAAAAAAATACACAAGCTTCCAGATTCTTGCAAACCCCTCCCCAACACCAAGTCCTTGAATTCCAAACACCCCAACCCAAAATCCAAAAACCCCCCAAAAAGTTTTAAAATTTAACTTACCAAATGGCTGCAAAAGAAGTTTTGGAAAAGCTTCAAAAATCGCCAAAGTCTTCAAAAACCTCAAAAAAGGCTACCACACTGTGTGCTATGAGTTGCTCCTCGAAGTCAAGTCGCAACTGCACCTCTTCAAGCAAAGGAAACAAACTTGCAAGACGTTTTCGTCTTGCGAAGCAAGCCCATAGGGAAATTCGTCTTGCGAAGCAGCTCAAAAACCGCAAAACCCTTTCGTCTAGCGAGTTTTTTGTCTTGCGAGGCATTCGTCTTGCGGGGCACCACTGTAATAATAATATTTTTTTTACCAGTTCCGGCACATCTCAGGTGGGTTCTGGCACTTCTCCAGTGCCATTCTAAGAGAACAAAGGAGGTGTTCATTGTGAGTTCTTTTTCTAGAAAAATAGCACTAATAAAAATAATAATACAAAAGTCATGTGCTTTAAGGCTCCATCTGCACCCTATGTTTAAAGCAGTATCATACCACTTTAAGAGTCATAGCTTCCAACAAATAATCCTGGGAAATGTAGTTTGTTTAAGGGCGCTGAAAGTTGTCAGGAGTTCCCTATTCCTCTCTCAGAGCTACAGTTCCCAGAAAGGGAGGAAACAATCAATCCTTCTTTACAGGGAACTCTGATAACTGTAGCTCTTGGCTGGAAAATAGTTCTCCTGACCACTCTCTGTACCCCTTAACAAACTACTGTTCCCATAATTCTCTGGGGGAATGCCATGACTGTTAAAATGCTATGTGAAAGGATAAACCTGTAGCCAATGAGGGCTCAGAGGTGTTTTTCTAAGCATGTTGCAATACTAGGCAAGAAAGTCTCTCTTCTTTCAACCCTTTGTCATGAAGTGGCCTTGTGATTATTCTTCATGCTCTCAGACTTGCAATCCTGGACGTTTTCCCTATTAAAACATTTTATCAGACAATCAGTCATTTCTTTAAAGCATATGCAAAATATGAAGGATTTCAAGACTAATTAATCAATTAATTACATTTCTATCCCTCGTTCCCTTCAAGGCTCTCAAGGCAGAGCAGACTTGAGAGCAGCAGAGGAAGTGAGAAAAGCAAGGAAATCCAGACAAATGCAATTTCTTTCCCTAGTATTAATTTGCAAGGCCCTCAACAGCTTGGGGCTTCAGGATACTTTAAGGACAAATAAAATAAAATAAAGGATATGCAAATCCCAGCCTCCAAAAGTGGACTTTGATACAGAAGAGGGCATCCTCCAGATCTCGGATTATAGATTATTTACTATTCTTTAATTATTTATTGCACTTATTATATTTAATTATTATTATTATAAATATTATTTATTATTATTATAAATATTATTTATTATATTTATATATATATAATATATATAATATAATTACAATATATATAATATTATAAATATTAATATAATATAAATATAATTTATTGCATAAATTATATTTATCGCATTTATTGCATTTATATCCAAGGTGGTGCATGTAGTCCCCTCCCTCAATCCCCACAACAATCCTGAGAGGCAGTGATTGGTCCAAGGTCACTCAGTGGTCGAGTGGGGATTTGAACCCTGATGCCCCAGTCTGATACTCTAACCCAGTGATGGCCAAACGTGGCCCTCCAGCTGTTTTTGGACTACAACTCCCATCATTCCCAGCTAACAGGACCAGTGGTCAGGGATGATGGGAACTGTAGTCCCAAAACAGCTGGAGGGCCAAGTTTGGCCATCACTGCTCTAACCACTGCACCACACTGCCTCTCTGTAATTAATCTGATATTTACTTCATGTGGACCCCTTGAAATTAATGGACCTAACCTGGTCGTGTTCATTAATGCCACTGGATCTGCTCTGAGTAAAACTTAGCTGAATGCCACTCAGATCTTGCCTGCACCTCTGATTGGATTTAACAATGTAATCAGCAAAAGTTCCTACTCCTTGTTTGGAGTATAGGTCGTCTTTAATGGTTTCTTTTTCATCTCGTTCTAGTCGCATACAAGAACAAAAATGGCACAAAAAACTAAACAGGTGTACACAGCCATAATTCAGAACCAGCACACCAAATTTTAGGACTTGGCAATCATAGAGAAACTAGGATTGGATCTAGACACATAAAAATAAATGTTTCAGGAAAACATGCGGTAAACTTCATCATGGAATATCGTGTTGGTGAAAGATGGAACTCGACAGCGCCATCTGGTGTCACAGCCTTATAACGCATTTAAAACACTTTTTCTTTACTAATGTAGCTGAATGCTCAGGCGCCACCTTAAGGGACTAAGGCCACAGACTCCTTTTCAACATCTTGGTGGCTGAACAATCACTCTCTCTTCCGAGGGAATTCTGGGAAATGGAGCTTTGTGATGGGAATGAGGGTCTCCTAACAACTCTCAGCACCCTTAACAAACTACAATACCCAGAATTCTTTGGGGGGAGGGATCAGCCAGGACTTCTTAAAGTGGTATGATACTGCTTTAAGTATATAGTGCAGATGTGGCTAAGCTATCCCTGTTTGGGAATAGTCATCGTTGTCATATCAGCCAATGCTAACAAAAGGCACACCTATCCACTGAAGCCATCTGCGTAAGAGGCACCCTATAACTTGGATAAGGAAGAAGCTATCAGATTTCTTATTTGGTCCTCTCTCGTGCTGGACCTTATTAAATGCTATTTCAAAAGGCATTTTGATGGATGCGCCACTGGGCATATGACAGAAATCTAGTATTTATGAAAGAAAATCATGGCAGTGAAGAAGTCATCAATCTACCTCAGATTTTTCGGTCCCTTCCTGTCAGCTCTCCCAGCATTTCTCTGTGGCTTCTGGTGTGACATGTTATGAATATTTCGCCATGGGAGGAAAGCCATAAGCATAGACTTGAAATATGTCGAAATGAGATTTATGGTTGCTTAATTATGCTACTTTAAGTGTGGGGATTGTCTATTACTTATTATTAGCAGTTGTAGTGATTGTGGTAATTAATAATAATAATAATAATAACAATAATTTATTT